GGACTCCTTGATTCTGTAGGGCCAGCGCACACTCACTGCCTTGAAATGACCTTGGGGGAATTCAGTTCGATCATCCGCGCGTGGTCGTGCAAACTGTCTCGCAGGAGTCCGGTTGAGGTTATGTGAATGACTCTAGGGCAGCGATACCAAGTTTTACCGCCCCTAATAGCCAGGCAGGTGGCTGCGGAGCCAGAGGTAGGCAGTTCGATTCCCCCTTGTGCCTTTAGGGAGAAGAGCCCAACTGTGTTAGCCGCCCAGGAAAGGGGAAGAATGATCAAACCACTTCTGAAGACTCTGCGTAGAATTACCGTGAAAAGAGTTGTCATCAATCAGAATGGAGTTGTTTGCACTTGATTATTCGAATATTTTCAGCGGTAATCCTGGAGTCAAGGGGGAGCAGCCTCTGAACGTATTCCAACTCCCAGAGCAACTGCGATTAAATGCCGGCGCATACGGCCACAAGGAGAGAGGCTAAAGGCTACTAAATTAGTTACTTAAATTGTCTTTTCTCTACCCCCTCCCCAAATCGGCTCCAATTTATAAGGCTGCTTAGGGCGACCCTATGAACGATCAGTCTCGAAAACCTTCCGTCCTCAACTGTTCTGCTCAGCTCTTGAAAACTCGAGACTGTGGCTTCCTTTAGGGAGTCTATCCAACTCATATTCCATATAAGGCTGCTTAGGGCGACCCTATGAACCAGCAGTCTCGAAAACCTTCTGTCCTCAACAGTTCTGCTCAGCTCTTGAAAATTCGAGACTGTGGCTTCCTTTAGAGAGTCTATCCAACTCATATTCCAACTTCCTCTTTTCCCGCTGCCTTCAGCTTTTCCCAGCATTATTATCTTTTATTTATTTAAAATATTTTTACCCCACCTTTCTTCTTGAAAAGGACCCAAGGTGGCTTACCACGATGAAAGCCAATATTTAAATTTGAAAACCATTAGTATACAACGGTAGTTAACATAATTAAAAGACAGCATTTAAATCTACAATCAACGAGTAGAGAGGTATCTAGCATCATAACAGGCAATTTTTCCAGTGAGTCTTACTGAGCCCAAAGTCTGGTAGCTTCAAGTTTCCTCATTTCGTCACTCAAATTAGTGGAGAGGAAAAAATGTAGAAACACTTGTTAATAGAAAAAAGGGAAAGTTCTACTCTGATCATCTTTTAAAAAGAAAACATGACCTCCCTTCCATATGATTCCTAAGCGCAGTTTATATGTGTGATGGACTAGGACTCCTTAGCAGGTTCTCCCTCCCGCCTTGTGAGGTGGGCCAGATTGTAATTTTTATCACGACCAGCTCTTCCAAATCACGAAGTCCTTCACAGAGTAAGTACAGTATGCTTGCTCTTCCTCTGACAGGGCTTTTGGGCGCTCAACAGATCCAGAAATAATGCCACCACAGATCAACTTTTTCTCTGCCCTGGAGACTACGGTGATGAAGTCATTTACTCCGTGCCTGTCCCGTATCAGTTAAAAGTCCAGGAGCTCTATTGGAGACAAATAGGTGGCAACCCAGGAGCCTTGCTCTTCTCCGCTCTCTCTCCTGGATTGGGTCCCATTGCGTTTTATGATACAGGAAGGAAAGGGTTACAGCGCACACGGCAGGAGGGAACTTTTAGATCGACGGCAACTTCCGGTTCCGGCCAGTGCGCCCGGAAAGAGGGGGTGAGGCGTTGCAAGGTTGAGGTAAGAAGAAGCAAGACTATTAGGGACCTGTGTATTAAAGGGGGGGGGAGACTGTTTTTGGGCTGCGTCTCTCATCAGTTCTACTTGTGGCGGCGGGAGCCGATGGGAGTTGTAGTCCATGAGCATTTACACGACTACACGTGCCTAGTCCTGATGTTGGAAGAGCTCTACAGCGGGTGGGAACGAAGGCCCATCTCGTTTATCACAGCCATGCTTCTAGGAAGCATGTCCCTAAGTAGGGCATGAAAAAAATAATAGTCCTACCCAGCATCTGGTAGACTGCCTCAAAATGTGGAGGCTTTCTTTATGCCCTATGGACATATGTAAGATGCTTTATAAATTTGTCTTTCCCTTTGGAAAGCCAGCTAAGAGAACATCCATTGCATTTTTTGGGGCAGGGAACAATGTAAAATAAAGTTATATTGCGTGAAGAAGTACCTCACGGAATATATGGGCCCCCCCTTGTGTTGGGGAGGGAAGAATCTCATGTGCCTCCTCCCTGCCATGTCGGCTTCAGCTGCATCCCCCTTAGTTCTCATCACTCTCCTTAGTCTCTTTGCTCCATCTTCCTTGCTGGATTATCCAGTTTCTGATGGGAAATTTTACAAGGCATCTCCACTTTTATATTTAAATATTTATATTGCAATTATTCCAATGCCTGAAGGACAGGATAATGCTGGCAGTTTTAATAAATACAAATATTGGAACTGCTTTTTGGATATTTTTCTCATTCCATACGTTTGCTGTCATCTTCAGCCGGCATCCCTGACAATGAAGAAAACTCCACGGAAAAACCAAGGTGAACGCTACCGGCTGAAATTTCGGCGCCTGTGTCGCGCAGCCAAGGTACTGGTTTATGAGAATGCAGCTTTGTGTGACGAGATTGCCAGGCTCGAGGCCAAATACTTCCGTGTGCGTGAAGAGCGCCGGTTTCTGCTTGCTCGTCTGTTGCAGGCACAAGCTCTAGCAGAGGATGATCCACCTGTGCCAGCTGTAGGTCCCGTTTCACAGCCCTCACCAGAAGAACCAGCTGTTCGTAAGCCCCGCAGAGAACGCAAAGGCAAAGAGAACGGCCGGGCACCCAAACGCAGGGTGGCACCAGAGCTGGGTGCCCGCCGGTTGGTCCCACCTCTTGCCTTGGATCCTTCTGGCCGGCCAGTGTTTCCCATCACGCTGGGTCCTGTGACGGTGTACAGCTTAGGTGAAATTGTCTCGGACCGCCCTGGTTTCCACACAGAGAGTGCCATCTACCCTGTTGGCTATTGTAGCACCAGGATCTTTGCCAGTATTCGCCGACCAGTTCACCGCTGCCTCTACACCTGCCAAATCAAGGATGGTGGCCCTGGACCACTCTTTGAGATTGTCCCTGAGGACGACCCAGGGTGTGTAATGGCTGGTTCCACCCCTGATGCCTGTCATGCTCAACTCCTCAAAGCTGTGGGTGCAGCACAGCTGGAAGCAGCTGGTGCTGAGTTCTTTGGCCTCTCTTACCCTGCCATCCAGCACCTGATCCAGAGCTGTCCAGGAGCACGCAAGTGTGCTGGGTACCACTGGCTCCGCTTTGAGGTATGCCGCTCATCAGATGGGCCCCCTCCTGAGGGGTTGCCTTCAGGAAATCCTGGAACAGACTATGAGGCTTTCCGAAACCAAGGCTTGGTAGGGCCGGTGGGACTTGATTTTCCAGCTGCCACCCCTTCACCACCCAGTGGCAATGGTTATGCTGAACTTTTTCTGCCATGTGCTCCTTCAGGAGGGTCTCCTGTTCCACAAAGTCCAGAAAGTGACACAGACTGAATTTGGTCAGACGCTTGCCACTACAAAGCTTCCCTCTGGAGACTAGGGACCATCTACCTCCCTCTGTCCCTCCTGAGTGTTCCTGTAGCTCCAGGGTGCACAGCATGTGGGTGTCTGGCATGATCCCTACACTAGATAGAGCTGATCCCTAGTTAGGGTGTCCCATGATCCCTACACTATTTAGGGTTGATGGGAGTTGCAGTCCACAGATATGAGTGCATGTAAACTGCCCACCTTTGCATGTAGCTGAAGTCACATTGATGTCATAAACTGTATCATACCCTGTTCTTTCAAAATCTGATGTACTGTTATCTGTCATGGATTCAGTTTATATGTAGGTTCAAGTGTGGATTTTTACTTTCAGATGGGCTCCTGAAATTAGGATTTCCATGAGTCATTTGTTAGTTCTGTGTTCTTGTTTTTTGCCTTTGCCATCTTGCCTTTTGTGAATATGCCTCTGTAGGTGAATGCTAGCATCAGTTTTTTAGGGTCCCAGAAAAGACATGTCCTTCCAAATGTGATGTTATCCCCATGGAGGTGTAAGCCATTCACAGCCACTCAGTTGTGCCTGTCTTTGCCACCCACTTTACCATATGGCTTCATATACATTGAAATTGTATCCCCTTGGCCACGATCAATGCATTTGATTCCACTGAGGCATTATTCACAAGGTAATTTCAGTATGAGAATAACTGTTCCTTGTCATAAAATGGTTAGTGTGTACTGAAATGTTACCACTAAAGGAAATCTGTCAAGCAAAAAAATTCTTTCAAAAACTAGGAGCATGTTACGTGTTTTACCACACACATCCATGTTTCCACAGTTATGGCTAGTTTTAGTGTTTTGTGGTCAAGCCAAGAAGACTAAGGCCAAGAGAAATCTTGTGGGTGTGGATAAACTTTCTTAGGGTACAAAGTGATCATTCACATGAAATAGGGACCTGCCACTAATTGAACTGAGTGTCAAAGATGTGTCTTCCCTTTCTTTTGTTTTCTGGGCTATATTAAGAGAATTGTATGTGCAACTTGTTGTGGAAACTTGTTTATAGTAAAATTTTGAAATTAGATTAGCAAGAATTCTCAACTCTCAATTATTCAACCAAGCAGTAAGAAAACATGCCATTGCCCACCCATCCATCCTTTACATGACTGAACAGAAGAAAGCTTAAGGGTAAACAGGCATAAATGTTTGTGTGGAAGGACTTCAAAAGAAATTGCTGGACTCATGACTCTTTCATTCTAAGGGTATGGCATCAAGATTCAGCTGCTAGATCCGAAAGTTCTAAGTGGAAAACAAAGTAGATCCTGCAAGTCAGACATTAACCCATCCCTGATTTGAACATACACGGGTGGAAGGGACAGATGCTGTGACAGAACACACAGACAGAAACACACAAACTAGCTGTGTCCACGTAGTATAATTGAGTTGTGACACCAGACATAAGTTTGAGCCTGGCAAAGCCACTATTTACATTGGAATGGCTTTAAAATGCTAAAGCAGAGCTTGGAAAAAAATTACCGTTTGGATTGCCAGAATCCCTGAGCCATGCTAGTTGAGGGATGCTGCAAATATTAATCCAAAACCTGAAATTTTTTTATGGTTTGGAAAGGGAATAACTTTTATTCACATGCTGTCTAGCAATCCCTTCAAAGAGGGAAGTGAAAAAAATCAGTAATGCATGGAGACACCAGACAAGGATTCGCTTTGGTTTGCTCTCCTTGCCTCTCTTATAAGACTCCTGCAATCCCTTCAAAGAGGGAAGTGAAAAAAAACCACAGTAATGCATGGAGACGCCAGACAAGGATTCCCTTTGGTTTGCTCTCCTTGCCTGTCTTATAAGACTCCTCAACCAAAAAGGGGAAGGCATGAACCATATTTGTGATTTTTTTTTTCAGCAATGGAGAGGTATTACTGCTGTTTAAAGTGCAGAATCAGAAAGACAACAATAGTATTCTTGAAAGATGGACTTTATTTCACCCCAAATACTGAGCAGCATTTAGAATGAGGACAGGTGATTCCTAATGAGATGGACTTTATTTCACCCCAAATACTGAGCAGCATTTCTCCTAATAACAGGATCAGTTTGCTGGACACACACTGGCTCCCCTGTATTGCCAATGCCTTGCAACCCAGAAGCATGTGCTCAGACTACTTCTGCCACACAAACATTCACGTTTTGGTCTTCCTTTTAAATGTGCTTGCATCTCACGGCTTTCCCAAGAAGCCTTTGCCAGTATTTCACCCCAAATACTGAGCAGCATTTCTCCTAATAACAGGATCAGTTTGCTGGACACACACTGGCTCCCCTGTATTGCCAATGCCTTGCAACCCAGAAGCATGTGCTCAGACTACTTCTGCCACACAAACATTCACGTTTTGGTCTTCCTTTTAAATGTGCTTGCATCTCACGGCTTTCCCAAGAAGCCTTTGCCAGTGCAGACTTCTTGTCAAATTTCTGCTCCTTTTATAGGGCTACTGAGCAATCCCCCACACTCTCAGAAATAGGGAACACAGTTCGGCTATCACAGGGATGGAGAGACATTTGAGTAGCTTGTCCAACACTGACTCAGGAAAAGCCCTCCATGACTTTCCTAGTTCTGGAGTGAGGGTCAACCATTGAGAAGCTAGGGAGACCATGGCTGTGTGGCAGGGTTTGCACGTCACCAAGCTGCAGTGCAGTTTCAACCAAAGAATAGGTTTTCGGCTTTCATGGTAAACGCTTCTTGACCGTTGCTAGTGTGCAAAATGGCCAAATTCCAAGCCCTTATGGAAATGCTCCCCCAGCATTAATATCAATTTGCCAGTATATTTCACTTTGTAGATGGAGATGAGGGTGTTTTCAGACAAGAAATCTGACTGAGAGAAGCTGAACGGCAGCAAGTGGATGCCTAAAAAATATTGAGGGTGTTTTCAGACAAGAAATCTGACTATGAGAGAAGTTGAACGGCAGCAAGTGGATGCCTAAAAAACTACGGCAACTCTGACCCTTGGTTGTCAAATCCGAATTACTCTGTAAAAGGCATTTTAGGGTTGTCCTGCCTATAAGGCCAAACAAAATGCAAACCAGAATTTAGCTGTCAAGTCTTTAGTAGTGTCCCTTTAGAAGTCCTAAGGAGGCAGGCCTGCACATCTAGGCAATGTTGTCATAGACCTGAACAACATCCTCGTTGTCTTTGAGTGCCTGTAACATTTGCGATGCCTGTTCCATATCCTCGTCTGACAGCTCGACAGTGGTGACTGGGATGTACCCAAGACCAGAAGAAAGCAAGCAAAGGCCCAGTGACTTCAGCTTCTCACGGACCTGGTGCAGGCTTGGCACAGCGCAAATAAACTGTAGCAGGAGAGAAGAACAAACAAAGGCAGTTGTGATCCTTCACAGGCTAGAAAGTATTCAGTTGAACAATGGATGTCACACTTAAGTCTCTTGGTGTTGGAGGAAAACAGTAGAACTCTTGTATTTGTGGGAGGGGAAAGGGTAATGCATTTTGGGAGACACAAAGAATTGTTACATGTCTACATCAAGGATAAGTTGTAAGCATTTTAGGAAATAAGATGAGGATCCAGGAGGTTAAAGCAAACGGGACTCCTTTGTTTTGCTTCAAAAGTGGATTCTATCTAAGGCATGGGGGTGAGGAGAATGTGGACTTCCAGATATCTGACTACAATGCCACTGAATTCCTCACCATTGGCTAGATGATTCTACAATATTCAGCAACATCTGGAAGGGTAAAACTCTGTCCTCCCTAGATCTAAGGTATTGTTTACTTTTGGCCAAATAGATACAAATCCAGCACTAAGAAAGTGCCAGATTTGGCAATCAAGATATATTGTGCCAATTAAGTTCATACGACTCCAATGGAGACACTCCATGCATGGTATAGATTTCTGCTTGGAACGCAGACATTATGTAGTGGAGCTGTCATCCACTAATGGGCAAAGGTTTCCTCAACCTCGCAACCTCCAGATGTGCAGCATGACCAGGTGTTGTGGAGGTGGAGATGATAGACTAAGGTGATGGGAGTTACCCAATATATCTGAAAGATGCCTGGTTGGGAAAAGGCATTAAAGGATGTTGTTGCTCCATAGAGGTCCTTCCTCCTTACCATGACCGAACCTGCTGTTAAAATAAGTGGGGCATTCACAATGCTAAACACATTAAATGAATACTATGTTTGTGTGGCAAGACCGTGGCATACGCACCTGTGAGTTGGTGGGGTTAAAAAGGAAGTGTATTGGGATAAAAACACTCCAAGGTGTTAAGGTTATACCTGACCTCAGTAGGGAAAGAGGTCAGACAAGAATCACCACCTTCCCTTATTTCAGCTTCACTTGCACCTCACCTTCAGCATCATCTTCTCATTCTCTTCCTCTTCTTCCTGGACGTCTTCTGCTCCAACCTCAATAGCCAACTCCAATGCTTTGTCCAAGGTGATGGGACTGCCGGATTGGTCTTTGTCACTCACTGTGACAATGCCCTTCCTCTCAAAATTGTGCCGCCCTCCCTCGGCAATGAGCCCCCTGCAGAGAACCAAGTGGGAAACCTTTTTTAAAAAAAACTTTCAATATTGCATTTAAAAAAGAGATTGACTTTTAATCTTTATTGCATTTAAAAAAGAGATTATAAAAAAAGTAAATCATTATCACAACATTAGCACATAACCAAAATAACTTTCTATTACCGTGTTTCCCCGAAAATAAGACAGGGTCTTACAGTAGTGCCTCGCATAAAGAGCGCACCGTTTAATGATGAATCCGCATAGCGACGCGGTTTTTGCGATCGCTAATGCAATCGCATTGCAATGTTTTAGGTGGCAAAACATCGCGTTGCGATGATCGGTAAGCGTTTCGCTTACCGATCTTTGCATTGCAATGTTTGCGAAACAGCTGATCGGCGGTTCCAAAATGGCCACCGGAAAAAGAAAATGGCTGCCCGCTCCATTTTCGCGCCCTGCCCTCGCTTACCGGGCAGCGAAAATGGCGGCCGGATGGAGGATTCCCCGCATAGCGGTGAGTTTTTCCCCCCCGTATAGCGATGTTTTCGGATAGTGACGTTAATCCTGGAACGGATTAATGTCGCTATGCGGGGCGCCACTGTATATTAATTTTTGTTCCAAAAAATGCAGTAGGGCTTATTTTCAGGGGATATTTTATTTTTTTCCATATACGACAATCCACATTTATTCAAATACAGTCATGTCTTCTTCTGGTTGCTGCACAAGGGTGGAGGGTGGGGTTTCACTTAACTAGGGCTTATTTTTGAGGTAGGGCTTATATTATGAGCACCCTGAAAAATCATACTAGGGCTTATTTTCAGGTTAGATCTTATTTTAGGCAAAACAGTATCTCTTTCGCAAAACAGTACATCCTTAACATTTTTACTTCCTTATTTTCCACCAAATATTTATTTTCTTTGCAATCTTAATAATACCTTTCTTAATTGTTATTTTATATCCATATTAACAATCTACTTTTGTTTTTACTTTTGTTGAGAGCAGTTCTGCTTCTAATTAAAACACTTGGTACAAGTTTGGAATCTTTCTTCCATTTCTCTCCCACTGAGATTCGTGCTCCATTCTACTCTTTCCTTTCAATGAGTCTGTTAGTTTGTCCATTAATATTAGTTTCTGTAATTTTATTAAACACTCCTTCCACCAAAGGTTCCTCCTTGTCTTTCCATTGTTTTGCCACTTGAATTCTGGCTGCATGAATGTATGAACACATTTCTGTCTCTTGTCTTGAGTTTAGCTTTAGTATATTGAACAAGTAAGTTTCAGGTTCTGGGCCTGGTGTTGTTCCCCGTTTTACTTTTTTAATTGCCTCTTGTACTTCCATTGTCGATATTGGTGCATTTAATCTACAGTGGTGCCTCGCATTACGACGTTAATTCGTTCCAGCGAAAACGTAATGCGAAAATAAAAAACCCATTGCAATGCATTAAAACCCGTTTAATGCGTTCCAATGGGCTAAAAACTCACCGTCCAGAGAAGATCCTCCATAGGGCAGCCATTTTCAGTGGCTGTCTTGCGAGGAATCCATCCCAGAAAAGAGCGGGGAGCCATTTTATTTACCCGGTGGCCATTTTGAAACCGCCGATCAGCTGTAGGAAAATTGTTGTTTTGCGAAGAATCGGTTCCCGAAGCAGGGAACCGATCATCGCAGTGAAAAAAGCCTATTCAGACCATCGTTTTGCGATCGCAAAAACGTCGTCATAATGTGGTTTTGTCATAATGTGAGGCAATCGTAAAGCGAGGCACCACTGTAGTTCTCTGGTCATCATTTAGTTTAGGTAGGTCTTGACTTTTTAAGTATATTTGATTTTCTTCTTTTTTCCTTAAATTATTTTCTTTTAAAAGTTCCTCATAGTATTTTTCAAATGAATCCTTTATAATCTTTGGGTCGGAAAATATTTCCTCTCCCTTTCTGATTCCCTTATATTTTCTTCTCTTTTCTTCCTGTACTTGATAAGTTAACCGTTTACTTGGTTTATTTCCTTGTTCGTAGAATTTTTATTTAGTATTTTTTCTATATTTCCTAGCATGAGTTCCGACAGTTGATTCTGTAGGTTTTTTTATCTCTTTTAAAATTTCTTTTTTTCCTGGAATTTTCAGTGATGTTCTTTCTCCCTAATTTTTTCTAAAAGTTTTTCTTGCCTTTGTTTTTTCTTTTTAGTTACTTCCCAGTTTATTTTCATTATTAATCCACATAGGACTGATTTTCCTGCCTCCCAAACTGTTTTTATTTTTGTCTCCTTGTTCATATTTTGTTTAAAGCAGTGGTTCTTAACCTTTGTTACTCGGATGTTTTTGAACTGCAACTCCCAGAAACCCCAGTCAGGACAGCTGGTGGTGAAGGCTTCTGGGAGTTGCAGTCCAAAACTCCTGAGTAACCCAAGGTTAAGAACCACTGGTTTAAAGTATTCCTTCAGTTCGATCCTCAACCATTCTAAAATGTCTTCCTCTTTTAGAACCAAGTGGGAAACCTAAGCAAACTACCAAACAGGGATTCCTATGCCTTCCAAACAAAAGGAAACCAGAAAACTCTGCTCTCTTTCCTATGAGAGTACTAAAGCAGAGAATCAGGGGCCTTTTCTCTACTCATTAACCAGGACATATCATCCCATGCAAACCAGTCAGACTTTTTATCACAGACTTACCCATGCACATTCATAATATGGCGGATTTCAGAAGACGTTCTCTTTGAGTTGTCTGTTAGTACTTCGATAAGCATAGTGTAGCCACCGGGGCCTCGCACTTCATAAAGCAAAGAGGACGTTTTGATTTTATCCTGTCAAAGAAGTTTAAAACAACAAACAAAAGTAAGCTGCTTTTTTTAAAAAAATGATCCCATCCATATAATGCAAGGATGGGAAACCAATTTAAATTCCGGGGCCGAGTTCAGTTTAAGATCACTTGTTGCAGAGGGACATTCCAGTGGCAACAGGTCAGAAGGCAAAAGGGGAGACATTCATATCAGCACATTTTAATTTACAATGTTTATTTTCATCTTTGAAAACAGAGAAAACACAAAAAAGTCATGAAACTACCAAATAATTATGTCATGGGGAAGAAGATACAACCATATCCAGAAGGCAGGATTTAACCACAAAGCTTAAGATTCTCCCACTCTATATTTAAGACATGATCACCCTGAGGACAAAAAAATAGGTGACTGCACAAAATGAAGAATGTCTCAACAATACAAGGCTGGGCAAATTGTAGGCCTCCGGTTGTTGCAGGACAGCAACTCCTATTGGCACAGCCTGTAGTGAGGTTTGATGCAATCCTACAGGCGACAAGATGCCACTTAGGCATGGGATTTTTGGAATTCATGAACTACAGCCCCATAAATCTGCAGGAATTCTCCCAGCCAAACACTCAGGGTCTTTAATCTATAAATCAACATCTCAACAGTTATTTTCAACTTCTTCAGCTAACAAATTCATAGTCCAGCAGCCATTTTCATCCCAAGGAGAAGACAGGAAAAATGGGTGGGCAAGACTAAGATCTGTGGGATCTACAAGGGATTATGGGTGTGGTAGTCTCTATCCAGGAAGCCTCTCAAAAATACTGCCACAGGATGAAAATGGCAGATTTCTTGATTAAAGTCCCCTAGAGTCAGGCTGGGAGAATTCCTGGAAGCTGCAAGTCCATTAATTCTGAAAATCCCATGTCTAATGCTAATCTCTGCATGAACTTTTCCTTGCTACTCTAACCTTTCCTGCAAAATACAACTTTCTCACACAATAGCTACTTCTGCACCACTATTCCAAGCCTTTTGGAAACATACCCCTTTGCTGATGGCTGCTTCAATGGAGGCTTTGGGCATGGACACGTTCCGGCACTGCTCAATCACGTTGGCCAAACTCCTGTTCAGTTCAGGGTTGGTACTGCCTCCTTCTGCCGGGGCAAATGGGAGGACACAACGAATTAATTATATTGCTGTAATGCTGGTATATTATAGCCCTATGATGATACAGTGCACTTTACAATCAAAAACAAATCCCTGCCATGAGGAACGTGCACTTTAAAATTCAACACGTGAAAAGTAGCAAAGGGAAGGGAGATAAACAGGGGAAAGAGCAAAGAAGGGAAAGGTAGGTTTTTCAATCAGTTACACATTCATCTTGCTGATTTTTTGTTGTCCCAGCCTTCTCCAAGAAAGGTGGGTGAAAAATTACTGTAGGCAAACTGAGGGAAGCAGGCAAACACATAAGCAAAGTCAAAGAACCTCTTCAGTGTGAATCAATGAAGGCCAAAGGCCCTCCACTATCGCTTCTCAGACCTCCCCATCACACCTCTTTCTTGGGCATTAGAATTAATTGTGCCACACACCCAAACTGCCTTACCTGCCTTAGGTGAGGTGATGGGTGCTACTCCGTCATAAGTGTTTTTTGTTTATACTTTTGAAATTGTTTTAATTTTTTTAAATACCCATTGTGGTGTGATAACTTTCTTGTTCATAAAATCGTATCTTTATACACAAACACACACACTCATATCTTTATATGCACACACACAGAGACACACACACAGAGTATTTACATTATCTCCTTATCTTTTCACATAGTCTCTTCCTTGGCTCATTATTGCATTTTTATGTCTAGCTAATGCCACTTAGAATAACCAGCAGTCCAAACCATTATCCATTTGGTTTACTTCATGTTTTGATTTCATGACAGATTTCAACAGGGGGTGCCATCTCTTCATGAAGTTATCTTTATAAATCTCCCCTCTGTATAATCTGATTTGATTTGTCAGTTTCTCCATCAGAACCATTGTCCACATTTTATTCATATATCTTTGCAAAGCATCTTCCCAGCATTGGGCAATTTCGTACTGCGCTGCCCCTATCGGAGTTGCCATCAATTCTTTATTTGATCAATTTTCATTTCCTCCGTAAATAAGAGAGAATAATAATAATGTTTCATTTAGAACAATTTTTTGATTTGTTATTTTTTTCCAGCCAATTAATTACCTCATACCAGAATACTTCTACTTTCGGGCAATCTAATCACATGTGTTCTAACATTTCTTCACAGTCACACTCTCTCCAGCACAAATCTGGTATCTCTCTATTAATTTTATGTAGTTTGGTAGGATGTAAGTGCCACCTATCAACTACTTTCAATATCATTTCTTTAGATTTTGCTAGCTTAGGAAACAAATTTAAACACAGGACCAAAGGTAGCCATCATGTATGTAAAGAGTCAACTGCCAATCCTATAACTTTTGTACATGGATGGGAGGGACCGCTCTGCCCTTATACGGCAAAATGCCTGTTTGCCTAAACAACCCATATCTCCCTATGCAGTTCCAAGTGTGGGAGAGAGAGGCCTTCCAGGTTGTGAGTAAAAGTATGGGTGTTGATCTTCTCTAACTCCGTACAGATACCAAAATTCAGGTTTCACATCCATTATAACCGCTGTGGCAAAATTTTTCTCCTCCGTCTGCTTTGATGTACAGCTCTCATAATCTTTGACACCGGTTACACATGTTGGGGCTCAAAGTTCAGAACTCCTGGAGGCTCTTGCATTCCAAAATAAAATGAAAATTAAAATGCTGTTACACTATACCTTTTACTGCTATTCGGATCAACATGCTTAACTTATGGAAGATCTGGGAACGAGCGACATCCTTGGGGCCCTTCACGTGTTTCACTTTGGACCATTTGTTGTGGCCAGCGAGAGCAGCACAGGAGGTATGGATGGTGTGACTCGGATAATGCAGGAATGTCAACATATGCGGCCGAAACAGGCCATTCACCCGCTGGAGAATGGAACCTACTGACATGGCTCAGATGAGGTCACCTCTGTACTCAACCTTAGAAACAGAAAAGGATGGAAATAACTATTGTGACTTTTAAAAAATAAGTCTCTGAAATGCAATCAACCTACAATACACATTTATTGCAGCCAAAAATTATTTACCCAGGAAGTCATTGAAGAACGAAAAGGAAAGTCCTTGTTCTTACTGTGTTTTATTTATACCTACAAACATCCTTATGTGCATCCCTCTATTTACATTTTTCCCCTCCAGGTTATTTAACCGAAGATAATTTTCAAAGGGATAACTGTACCAACTCTGTTGAAATTTAAAAAAAACCAATCAAGAGTACAGTGGCTCTTTAGAGACCATTACAGCAAAGATGAGGTGGTCTAGAATTCACTTTATCAGGGACATGAAACAGCATCCTCACCTGACAGGTGGCATTCTTTTCTTGTGAGATGCATTCTGTGTGCATACAAAATGCAATGCAAAAATGACAGACCACGTTGGTCCTATGAAATGAGTGAATGTACTGTATGCTGAACAAGCCACAGCATCACACTATACAGTATGTTTGAAAAGAAACACTTTTAAAAGCTAGTTTTCTGCTCTAATGGCTGCAACCCCGTGCACACTTGCCTAGAGTAGTAAGCTATTCATACAGGAAGATTGATTACTCAAAGAAGCATGCTGTGGATTCAGTGGCGGCTGGGGGACTTCCTGCAGTGCAAAAGCAGGGCTAAAATCTGTTGCAGGCAAAGATATAACTCAAACATTAATGCAGATCAGCCCACTCCTTTTTATGGGGAGACAAGAGATTCTTCCCCGCCCTCCCCCCCCAAAAAAACCCCAACTGTCGTTCAAAGAGGCTACTATGCAAGCAATCTGCAAAGGGGAATCCAGGGCGCACCCCTTAGAAACCCAAAGTCCCGGGTTCCAACGTCTGCTGTCTTGAACCCATTAAACCCCCCTCCCCTCGCCTTCGCTCAGAATCCAGACGTCCTTACTTACCCACCGGTGACTGAGACCTTATCCCAGCATTCCACCGAATGCTTCCGCAGGTAACTCCGCCTGCGGGGAGGCGGGGCTTAACATTAACTCTTTCGCCTCCGCTTAACAAGGCTGCCCCCGTCTGGGGAGAGCGGGACGGTCTGGTGTTCTGAGCAGGCAAGATTTTAGTAGGAAAGATCCCCGCAGGAAAAACTGAAGGCAACAAGAAAGAAAGAAGGCGGCTGAGCATGAGATGAAGAGAGGGCATCAATTCATCCATTGCCTGGGGGTAATTCACTCAGCATTGTAGCTGCTTCCAAAACCTCCTATAAAGAATAAAAAAGGTCTTTAACAACTGTAAAAAGCCAGTATAATTAACATTTATGTTGTTCTGCCATTGTTATTCATGCCATCATGTCTTTCTTATACTGTACGGTACTGTATCTGAGGAAGTGGACTTGTCCACGAAAGCTCACATTAAACTGTAACAGTTAATCCTTAAGGTGCCACTATGTTTTTGTCTTTTCAATTTGTTCTGGTATTTATTTATTTATCCTTTTTACCTGTAATGAGTGAATCAAGGAAGCCACGGCTTTTAAGTTTGCAAAAGTTGATCAGGGCTGTTAAAGACAGGGACTTTTGGAAGTCGCTAAATCAAAAAGTCATCGTAACTCAGAAGCAACTTGATGATATTTAAAAATAAGTATTGTGTATGTGAGAGAGATTATAGAAGAGTTTTCTGCCATTTTTACAATGCAACTTGTTAGCGTGTAAGTAGCCTTAGAATCTTCAAATTAGGACTAATAAACTAATACCTTGGAGTGCAATAGCTGTCTGTTAGAGTCATTGGACACCTAGTGTGGTGTAGTGCAGTAGTTCTCAACCTTGGGTAGGGTGTTCTTGGACTGCGATTCCCAGAAGCCTTCACTGTCTTTTGTGCTGTCCAGGAGTTTCTGGGAATTGCAGTCCAAGAACACCCTGCATACCCAAGGATAGGAACCACTGGTATAGTGAATAGAGTGACAGACTAGGATTCAGGAGACTTGGATGCAAATCCCCACTCCGCCATGGATGTTCACTGGGGGAGTGGTACTGGTAAAACCACTGCTTCAATGTTTCATTTACCTTGAAAGACCTATTAGGACTCATGGGACTCAATGTCGTTCACTCCTTAATACGTTTGATTAAGATTGCAAGTCTTTCTGAGTTCATGAAACTTACTCCTTAGTACGGTTATCACAAGATGACAGCTTTAATTGGCAATTATACGCTTTCCTATAATTAATGTCCACTTAGAATCCCATTATGTTGAATGGGTCTTACTAATAAATAGGTTTAGGGATGTAGCCTTGAAATATTCAAATTTAGACTAATAAGTCAACATTGGCAGTGTAATTGCATACATTTCTACCCAAATTTAAGTCTCACTCAGTTAGTTTCCCCCTCCCAATCACTAAAATGTGCATACTTCAGGGTTATGGAACATATCAAGATGTGGTTAAATCACAATTGCCATCATTCCTGCCCCCTAGCTTTGCCGGCTCGGCTGGTGGGAGTTGTAGTTCAACCTATCTTGAGCTACCTATGCCCCATCTCCAATATACAAAGTGGCAACCTAAAGAGCCAGAGCAGAATTGGGGAGCATGTGACCCTCTCTGGATGTTTCAAGGGTAGTTGTATTGATCTGTTGGCAGCAATGTAGCCATCCTTGAACAAAGAAAGTTAAAGGGAACTTCAATAAGAATACATCAAGATGTTCAGCTCTATCCTCCCTTGCTTGAACAGGGATAAGGGTGTGTTATATCATTGCATATGTTATAAACATTTTGTCCCTATCACTACCCATCTGTTGTATGCCCTATGACAACTGGAGATGCTTATTCTCCTGTGAGAACAGGTTTGGGTCACCGGTTTATGAGCACCTAAGATTTACCTTATTTATCATGGCACTATATGCCAGTCTGGACAGACCCACTGTTGTTTTCTAATGTGGAGAAAACAGATAATGGATCCAGTGAGGCTGAATGTTGGGAGATTCAGGATAAACACAGAGACTTATTGACACAGCATACAGTTAAACTGTAGAATGTATTGCCTCAAGATGTCGCAGTGGCAGAGTAACTACACAATGTGGAAAAGATTCCTAGATCTGCTGTAATCCACAATTTTTCAAAGCATGCCCGCATACAGTTAAACTGTAGAATGTATTGCCGCAAGATGTCGCAGTGGCAGACAACTCAGTGAGTAACTACACAATGCGGAAGATTCCTAGATCTGCTGTAATCTACAGTTTTTCAAAGCATGCCTTGCTTGTTTCCATGAGCGAAACTGCTGTAGTTGTCCAAACGACTACAAGTTTTTCTTTTCATTCTATCCACTAGCACCTTTGACCTGACAAGGTGCTAATTGGCTATTTCAAGGTGGCTTGAAATTGGGGGCTGGATAAATTCATGGCAGATTAACACTACCAAAGGCTACCAGCTGCAGTATGCCTCTCAATGCCAGCTGATGAGAAACCAACGTGAAAGAGTGTTGTTGCCCTCTTCCTTGTGCTTCCCAAGGGCATCTTAAGGAACCAAATACTGGACTAAACAAGCTGGTGGTCTGTTTCAGCAGGTCTCATCTTACATTTTCTACCATAAGCAGTGCCATCAGAGAGAAATGAGACACAGAAAATATAGGCAGTTATACAGTAACTGCTTTATTAATAATTATCATTTATAAAAGTTCTGCTGGTGACAGCAGAGGTTCAGGCATTGATAAGCCAACTAATACATGTACCTTTTTGTATTCCACATGCTTCCAAGTTCCAACGGCTATACTTTGTCTCCAGCACATACAGCCAACCATCAAGACAAAGAAACCTATGGGAGTATGAGTATTATCTGCTTGGAGCGGCCAACTTTTAATCAGTTTAGCACTCCTGTGCCTTTAACAGCAGCCTGGCCCACTGAAGAGAAGCTTTTCTTGAGGACACAGAGATCATAGTGGGCACAGGAATGGCAAAACATTCCAAGTTTCTGTACATCAAGTTAGTAAAGTCACCAGAAAACATCTTATTCCACTTCTGCTTCCGCCACACAAAATTTAACCCCTCACTGACTTTTCCTTTGCTTCTCTCGTCTCCCTTCCCAGTTTTCCCACAGTTCGCCCAAACGGACAGTTTTTAACTGCCACTTCACCCTCCCAATCCAAAACCACGTTCACAGAAATTATCACAGGCTTACAGGCACACACATGGCACACCCACCCATATCTGATCCCTAGGGGAGTGGAGGAAAGCCAGCATCTGAAGCTGCTATAGCATAAAGAAGGCTTGCCATACCAAGCTGTGGATCCAGACAAGCAAGTTTCAGCTCCCATTTTTGGGTAAGTCAGTAAAAGGAGTGCTGTGTGAACAAAATGTGCAATCTTTTTTCTATTTCAGCAGCAGTTCTGTGTTTTCTGTTAAGGATTAACAGAAACTGGGTCACATGAAAAGTGAGGAAACGCAGAAGGGGAGGGTGGCATTGCAGCCTTCCAGAATGACAGGCGTGCCAGCCTATCGGAGACGCCGTACGGTGGCTTAAAATAACCTCCTCCAGATGTCTATGATTGGACAGCTGCAGAAGAAGATCTGCCTGCCTAAGGAAGTGGGACTGTGGGAAAAAGGGGAACGATCGAAGGGTCAGAAACCAAAAAGAAAGAGAGAGTCACAGGAAAGGGCAGGGGACCATCCATAGGGTGGAGTAAGACCAGGAGAGTGGATCTAAAGGATGGACATGGCTCTGTAGGGCTAGATCACAAGAGATACAGGAACGTCTCCGTAAACTGCTGAGTTGTAGGGGGAAGTCTCTCACGTGCACATGTGGGTCAGTGGTGTGCAGAGAGCGAGTACAGCACAGGGGTAGGTATTGGGAAACACAGACAAGGCGATCTGGGAAGGAAACAGAGCAAGGCGAGTGCTGTCGGTGGCAAAGGAAGGACAAGACCTACAGAGAAACAAGGTGTGTATTTGTTGAGCGTGCACAGGAATGCGGATGTATATCTCATATGTAATGTGTGGGGGGGGGAGAGGCTTGCTCACGGCATATGGTTGCAGCATTTATAACTACTGTTAATAAGGGAGTACCAACGAAGCTCCAATGGGATGTTATGCAAAGCATGTGAAGGCTGAAAAAAAGAAAAAGAAAAAAACTAGGGAATGGCAAATAGAGAGCTGCTTCAATGGCTTTTTCCTTTGTACCCACCTGGAGCAGACAGGCCTAAGGGAAGGATTCCCTTATAAACATCTGAATAAACATCTGAATAGGCCTCAGCCCTTTGAACCTGAGGCTGAATCGCACCTTGTTGAGGTGGAGGAGGATTTTCAGTAATACCTGGGCTTGTGAATTGGAGAGGAGAAAAAAGTTTGTGAGGTGCTTTAGGGCTTGTTCTCTTCCTGGGCTTGTGAATTGGAGAGGAGAAAAAACGTTTGTGATGTGCTTTAGGGCTTGTTCTCTTAATAGAAAGGAGAATTTGAGAAAGTTACTTTGGGGGGGGGATAAAGTCCCGGGACATGACATCTCTGTGGCATGGCCACTACCCATGCTGAGTGAGGGAGGGGGATTCTGGGAATTGTAGTCCAGTAAAGTAACTTTTATAGTATGGGGAAAGGGGGAGGAAGTGCCATTTGGCACGATATAATGCAGCATGAGAGTGTGACGCTCATTTGAATTCTTTTCATAAAGTCAGTTTTCTGAGTGTCCTCTCTTTCTGAGTTGTTATCGGGCTAAAATGCTGCTGCATATTTTGTTGCATATAATAATTTTTTTGTGGCTACCCACAAGCCAAAGATTTTAGACAAACAGTGTGTATATAGCGATACATTACACTGTTCCTAATTAAAAGCATTAAAACTGCATGCATGAAGTGAAATGAACACTTCTTACACAGAACCGGCTTCTAGATACAAAGTCCTGTCTGGGGTGAAATAGCCCTAAATGATACTTCAGAAAGTGTTATAAGGGATGGGTCCCAATTTTACTTTCCACCTCCTGGTACGTTTTTATTTTGTGGAGGCAAATTCCGGGAGAACACTGTGATACGTACATTGCACAGCACGCACATTTTAAAATCAATATAAAATGAAATTATGTGGCATATATGTGTAGGGGTGAGGGATCTTCTCAGTTTGATTCACCAACACATAAAATTAAATTATATTATTTTATATGTTATATTATTTTAATTCATATTTATACAGTGGTGCCTCACTAAACGATTACCTCGCAAAATGGTTTATTCGCAAGACGATAAGTTTTTGCGATCTCTATAGCGCTTCGCAAAACAGTTTTCCCTATGGGTGATGTTTCGGACTGTGCTTCACAAGACATTTTTTCTTCTTCCCGGGACCATTTTTTGCAAGACGACGATTTTGACAGCTAGATCCACAACTCGCAAAACGGGTGTTTTCGGGACGGTTTTTCGCAAGATAGCGATTTTGACAGCTGATCCGCGCTTCACAAAACGGTTTATCTATGGGCCATTTTCGCAAGACAATGACTATTTTCCCCATTGGAACACATTAAATAGATTTCAATGCATTCCAATGGGGAAACGCATTTCGCAAGACAATGTTTTCGCAAAACAGCGATTTTCGCAGAACGAATTAACATCATTTTGCGATGCACCACTGTATATTCTTATTATTTTAATTTATTTGTGGGGTAATCTGGCAGGATTGAGCCATTTTTTGCCTTTTAAAGTCATTTTTTTCCCAACAGTTTTAAGAACAATTAACATAACCGGTGGATTTTGTAAATTCATCTGTATCTTTAATATTCATTAATTTATTTTCTTCTATAGTTTAAACACTAATATGTTGGCATTAACACCAATGTTCCCATGTTTGTAGCATTTTGCAACCCACTTTGCATTTATCTTTACTATCCTGGTTTAATTTCTTTCAAACACAGCAGTGGCCCAGTAACTTAACGATTTTAGGGTCTGCAAGGCCTGGGGTTCAAAAAGGTCAAGAATATGGCTGCCAAAGTAGAGACCAGATTGGCATTCACCAGAGAGACCCCAACAGAGCCAGCTCTGAACAAGATGGATGCTTCCACAGAATTGTCTGAGTTGCCCAATGTTGTACAGTGCGGGACCATTGAAGACCTGCTCCACCACATGGCCCCTCAGCAAGGACAGGCTAGGACACCCCAATGCTGGGAAGATGCCTGGCAGCAGATATTACAGGTCATGGGCAGTGAGCCTTTGACAAAGACCATGTCCAGTGGAGAACCACAAACCGAAGGAGTTGATGCTGCTCAAGAAAATGCCAAGCCAGCAGGTATGTTGGAGCAGCCAGCTACAGACGTCAATGTCCCTCCTGAGATCACGCCAACTTTGCCTTTCCCACCAAAAAACATGTGGATGCTGCACTTCCAGATAGACGAGGATATTGAAGCCTGCTTGGAGACCTTTGAATGGATGGCCTACACCCACCATTGGCCCAGGGAACAGTGGGTGGCCCGGCTGAAGCCATACCTGAGCTGCAAAGCCCTCCTAGCCTGCAATGTCTTGGGCCATGACGTGGTTCCCACCTATGATGCGGTGAAGGAGAGCATCCTGTGTCGGTACGGCATCACTCCCGAGATGCAGCGCCGGGGCTTCAGGGAATTCCGATACCAAGAGGCCAAGGGCCCCCGAAAAGCCTACCAGAAGCTCCGCATGCTGGGACGGCGTTGGCTGAAGCCCGAGAAGCACACCAAAGAGCAGATCTTGGAGCTACTCCTTTTGGAGCAGTTTCTGGCCATCCTGCCACAGGAAATGCAAAGCTGGGTCCGAGAACGTAGCCCTCAGACGTGTACCCAGGCTGTGGAGCTTGCTGAAGGTTTCCAGCTGAGAAATGAGGTAAGAGGAACATGCGGCGTGGACAAGAGCTTGCTTTGCACCTAAAAAATTGTTCCTTTTTTATTTAGTTGATTTGCTAACTAACCATGGCAATTTAAACTGAAGGCACATTTTTATACCAAGTGGGCAAATTTTGCCTTGATCAGGATTTGTTCCTTTAAGTGAACAAGGGGTGAAATTTAATATTGTAGTGAGAGTAAACCTTGTGTCAAGTCACTGATAGCATACAGATGGGACAAGCTTAGGTGATGCTTGTCCACCATGTTCAACTGCCAAGTGTGTTAGGTTGCTCTCAGTATTTAAGCAAGTGTGTGAGAACAACACTTCACCACTCAGTTGTGAGTCTGGTGGTCATTACTTTACTTGAATGTGTATATTATGTTGCTCAGAGATGTCTATGCCAATGTATATGTTGCCATGTATACAGTATTTGTCTGACTAAGTCTAATATATTTTAAGTTCTCTGAAGAAGAGTGGGCCTTCCTAACAGAGGAGCAAAGAGCCTTATACCGAGACATTGCTTATATATAAGTATTTATCAGAACTCTCTCCGTACGTTTTCTTACACGTCCGCGTCTTTACTCTGCTAATTAAGGGGAGAATTTGAAGCTACCACATAAGAGGCTCTGTGTAACTCGTTATCTTGGGCTCCAAGGTTTGTTTTCCCTAACAAGGTGCTCTTATAAGCTTCATTATCCGACTCTAACTCCAAGCTTCCGGAGAGGCAATAGCCATATCAAGCCTCTGGAGTTGGCCCCACGCCAACAGTTGGTGGACTCTAACTCCCATTAGCCTTAGCAAACGTAACTCCAATTATGGGAGCTGGTGGACTCTAACTCCCATTAGCCTTAGCAGATGTAATTCCAATTATGGGAGCTGCAGTCCAACAAAATCTGGCCCACTATACCTTGCCTATATGTGCCTTTTACAAAGATGAAGTAAAGGCAGGAACTCACCTAGCTGTTAGAAATTACCTTGATCCTTTTTTCATATTGTTTGGCTGTTTTCAAAAGAGACAAGATGTTTATTTGTGCAACATGGGTTACACAGTAGTGTTTTTTCCCCCCTTCTGAGGACTGCTGCTTTATTTGTTACCATCGTATTTGCATGGAATATATGCTCATCAGGCTAATGAGGTGGGTGAGGATCACATAACAGAGCCCATAGGATCATAATGTCCCATTCAGGACCTGTATTTAACTACCGGTACATTGTTAGGCTTTGTCATACAGCAGTTTCATTTGGCCAATTTTTGAAGATTGGCCAATTTAATGTTTGACCAGTTTTTAAACTTCCCTGTTTTGAAAATGAATTCCAGCATGTTCCTATATCATCCTGAACATTCATTTGAAAAGCCCACGCAGAAATATGTGTTAATTTTCACACACCACTCTCTGTATATGCACATGTTTATGCTGTTCTGCCAAACAGGCATATCTTCTGCAAGCAACTTAATATAATATAATGCATTTCTATGCTATTTTTTACAAATTGATATGCAATTTTTGTGTGCATTTAAAAAAAGTTCATTTCCTCAGTACATTTTTCATTGCAGCATTAAGAATAGCTGAAATATTAGTGTTAGACTGTGTTTAAATTTTGGTCCAGCAATATGAATTTTGCTCTATAAGCCAAACAGATTATTTCCTCTCTTCTTATATCACATAAGGCAAATGTTGGAAGTAGTTTTAGATCCAATTGGACTATCCGTCCATCGATTCCCACTTTATCTAATTTGATTGGGAGAGGCCTTTAGATTAGCTGTAAATCAAGTGCAACTTATGGGCTGTATGTAGCCCCAAGGCTATCTTTAAGGCCTCTAAGACCACCCGTCCCCCAGGGAACCCACCAAAGGCACCCAGACTAGGGGAGAGGGGGAAGCGTTGCCAAAAAAAAAAGGTGAATGTGCTAGGATGTGGATGTCCTGTGGTTGGGGTGCAGAATTTATGACTTTCTACATGCTGCTAAAATCAGTCCTGGTCAAGGTAAGCAATGGTGAGGATTGGCAGAAGCTGCACTCCAACATGCAGAAGGATGATAGTTCTCTTTCTCTCCTATCTCATCTTTATAGAGGAATTCACCTGGTTCTGAAATGCTCTGAGCTCAGGGTTTATGGAGTTGTGGTTCTCCTATCTCATCTTTATAGAGGAATTCAGCTGGTTCTGAAATGCTCTGAGTTTGGGGATTATGGAGTTGTGGTCCAAAAAAACAGAGGTTACTTACCTGTAACCATAGTTCTTTGAGTGGTCCTCTGTGAATTGACATACTGTCTTGTCTGCGCCTGTGCTGACATTCTGGGAAGATTCTAGAGCTAACAGTAACAATTTTATGGTGTGATTTTCCCCAGCCCAGGAGGCTCCTCCCACCCACCACTTCTCTCAGTTTCTTTTTTTCCACCAAGCTGAACAAGTTGTTCAGGAAGATGGAGCTTTTGCAACCTCCTTTTCTCAGCTGGTTCTGAAACGCTCTGAGCTCGGGAATTATGGAGTTGTGGTCCAAAAATTAGTACTGTATATATGTTTTTCCCCCAAGTTCTGCCCATAAGTGAGCCAAGGGAGGCTATTCAACATTTCCTAGGCATGCATCAGTAGGGTTGAAAGGACTGCCTTTCCCCCAATGTGTATGTGGGGCTTTCTGGAATTTGCCTTCTGTTTATTTTTTTCCTGTTCCATTTCTAACTGTTACCTGTTTCTTCCCTCCAACCCAAAAAGCCACCAGTTCCACTGGAAGACGTCTGTGTAAAGTTCTCTGAAGACTGTTTCTTCCCTCCAACCCAAAAAGCCACCCATTCCATTGGAAGACGTCTGTGTGAAGTTCTCTGAAGAAGAGTGGGCCTCCTAACAGAGGAGCAACGAGCCTTATATCGAGACATTGTGCTGGAGAATTTTCAGAATGCCTCCGCTTTGGGTAAGGATTGGCCTCATGAGTAAAGCTTGTCTCTCCGGCCTCTTTCACAGGATAGGAAGGAAAAGGCAGACTGGCTCCTTCCTCATCTCTTATGAGCCCAATTGTTAGGATAACGAGTGGAAGTCTTGGGAGAACAGGGGTGGAATATTACTTTTTAGAAAGACTTCGTTGTGTTACTCATTGCTTTTCAACTGCAAGGTGATAGTTCTAGTCAGGGGTGGAATATTACTTTTTAGAAAGACCTCATTGTGTTACCCGTTCAGAGTGGTCGTATAGACCAGATGGGCGGGATATAAATCAAATCAAATCAAATCAATAAATTACTCATTGATTTTCAACTGCAAGGTGATAGTTCTAGCTGTCACTCATAAAAGAAGTCTGCTGTGTTGCTTGTTATGCATGGCTGTTACAAATGGGCCAGAAAAATACTCTCCAGGTCCAATTCTGATACTGCACCGATAAAAATATAGAAAACAAAACAGTATGTCCCTTGCTACTTAGAGAAAGCACAAAAAGGATGCCATACAGTTTTTATAAATCAAATCAAATCAAATCAATAAATTACTCATTGATTTTCAACTGCAAGGTGATAGTTCTAGCTGTCACTCATAAAAGAAGTCTGCTGTGTTGCTTGTTATGCATGGCTGTTACGAATGGGCCAGAAAAATACTCTCCAGGTCCAATTCTGATACTGCACCGATAAAAATATAGAAAACAAAACAGTATGTCCCTTGCTACTTAGAGAAAGCACAAAAAGGATGCCATACAGTTTTAAATATTCCTGTCATAATGCATTTAAAATGCCCTTAAAATGATTTTTGAAAGTACCTAGAACATGTTCTATATTACAACCCAAATGTAACTCTGATTATTCACTCCTTCTAGTGGCCAATTCTGATACTGCACCTATAAAAATATAGAAAACAAAACAGTATTATGTCCCTTGCCACTTAGGGAAAGCACAAAGAGGATGGCATACAGTTTGAAATATTCCTGTCATAATGCATTTAAAATGCCCTTAAAATGATTTTTGGAAATACCTAGAACATGTTCCATATTACAACCCAAATGTAACTCTGATTCTTTGCTGTTGGACATGCGGCTTCGTTACAGCTTGAGTATTCCCCGAAACTAACTAGATACAAGTAACTACATTTCTTGTAACTAGTTACTTCAGAGTTCTTGTACAACCAGGTCTCAGTTCTTTGTTCCATATATTGTGGTCCTGTACTGCATAAATTTATCAGATCTGGACCCAGTATAAAAGGTGTTCCCAGGTGATGCCCTGATCCAGATCTCTCTCTCCCCCCCCGCCTCACACACCCTATACACCCACTGTTTTCCTTAAAATTAAATGCATGAATTGTGTCACACTGAATTTAGTCCTGACTTTCAGAGCCGTATCCTGAAGAACTGTGAGCCAACTGAAAATACATTTCGTGCATATTCTCTGACAGACCTTTCTCTCTTTCCACCCTTCTCTTTTGACAGGAATTCCTCAGGAGAAGCCAACACTAATTAAGCAAATACAAGAAGAGAGAATACCCTGTTTTCAGGATTATGTCCTGAGAGGAGATTCTCAAGATAATCCATTCACAGGTACAGATGCGGATTAAAACTGGTTTAGCAGGCTAGGTAGACATTCCAAAGGCAATGCCTTTTCTTAGCTGAGAGAAAGGAGAAGCATTTTCTGCCTGTGCTCTGACAGATTTTTCTCTCTTCCCTCTTTTTTAACAGGATTTCCTCTGGAGAATCTAGACGTAATTAGGCAGATGCCAAAAGAGGGAATACACTGTCTTCAAGATGATACCTTGAGAGAAGATTCGCAGGAGAGTCCACTCACAGGTACAGAAGAGGATCAAACTTTGAATGCATACAGTAGACATAAAAAAGATAATAGCTTTTCTTTGATTAGATAGATAAGAAACATTATCTGCCTGAGCTCCAAAGGCCTTTCTTCTTTTCCACCCTTCTCTTTTGACAGGAGCATCTCTGGAGAAACCTGAGGTAATTAAGCAGGCACAAGAATTGGGAATACCATGTTTTCCAGATGATACCCTGAGAGGAGATTCTCAAGACTGCCATTTCAGAGGTACAGATGGGGATTGAAACCAGGAACTGAGCTATGATCTGCTTAACTTGATAACTAGATTTGTTTCTTCTTCCACTACTAAAAGCACTCTGTCTTGTGTGGTAGAAGAAGGTCGTGCCAAAAGTTGGACATAGGACCATCTCAAATTCCCCAATAACAGCTGTAACAGCCATATATAGTAGCTGCAAACTGAGCAACCAGAAAGTTAAAACTGGAATTAGAACATATTTAGTTTCAATAATCATGTTTGTGTGTAGATCTGTTCAGTGCTGCAGCAGGCAATTAAAATAGAAATAGAGAAGTCGAGGCAAACAACATCAAGCACATGATTTAGCTTTATTGATTTTGATTTGATATCATGCCTTTTAGAACAAGGGCCCAAAGAGCAGCATGTGATATAAAACTACAGTACAACAATGTATTAGAATACAAGTCATTAACTTTCTGAGTTTCAAATACAGCACAGTTAAAAACAGAGTACTACAATCAATACAAGGTTGAAGGGGTAGAAATGTTCTCAGCATCCGTCTGAAGAGCAAAAGATAAGACCTTCAGGGACAGGAATTCACAGCCCTTCCAGTAAAAGAAAACTAGTAACCAGATTGGGTCTACTACCTGAAACTTCTCCCCGCCCAGAGAGAGACTCAGGTGGTAGCTGTAGTAGCCCTCATCGTTCATGGGAAAACTATCCTCAGGCAGAACCATGGATACATGATTCTAGCCTGAATCCCAGAACCCCCCAATAGCCTTACCTGATAAGGATAGATAATATGGTTTTGAGTGCTTTTATTAGAATTCACTAGAACAGCCACTCTTTTTTTTCCAGCAGGGCTCTTGCACCTTTAAGTAACAGATGGAAATTCCTCACTGTTGCATCTCTGTGCTTGGAAAAGCTGCCTCTGTTCAATTTCCATCTGTGCAGCTTTTGAAGGCATACTGTAGAAGCCCCGCTGCCATGCAAAAAAGGTAGCCATTCTATCTGTGATGGCTACAAATGTCTCTTTGTTCTAAAAGAAAAGCTGCTGCTTGTCCCAGATTCCATGGCAGCCCAAGTGTTAAATGCAGATTTCTGAATGGTGCTCAAGATCTGGTTGTGTCTTCGGTCCTTCAGCAGAGATGTGATCTTTCTTTTAAGCTTCCCTCTCTCGCAGATGAATCAGAGAGGTCATGTAACTTATGGTGCAGAAATCTGGCAAGCGACTTCGCCTCTTGTCTTTTTCACTACTGAGGAGGTGCAGCTCCTCCAGCAGTGGCAGAAATAAGTGTTGATAAACAGAATAAATAAATAAATAAAATAAATCAATTGGGGTACATGGTGCTTTCAAAGGAACATATGGACGGGTCTGTGCCCCAAGGGCTTTGCAAGCCAGAAACCTACCGAGGCGATGCTCTTTCCTCTCTAAGCCTTGATCTTCTCTCTTCCTCAACTAAGGAATGGGGCCAACGAGAAGAGAACATCCATTGAGACAAGCTCACGTTCCTTTTCTTTTCTACAGAAAACGCACGGCTTCCAAACTCTACGGAAAAGAGGATAGCTTCAAAGAAAGCAGAGATGGAAATGAAGGAACAGTCCACAGCAGCAGAGGTGACTCAGGACCGTTTGGACTCCAGCAGAGCCCCTGAGGGTGAGTTCCTCAGATCAGAGAAGCAGCCTCCTCAGCCTCTCAAGCCCAGCCCTGTAAGGACGTCCCCATCCAGGTCTCATCCCCGAAAAAAGCAAGTGTCAGCCTCAAAGGGTCAACCACCGAAAAGGAAGAAGCAGCCGCCACCCACAGCCAGTGAGCCTCATTCTGGAGGAAAGAGACTTCAGCTGCCCTCACCAGGAGATATGTCTGGAGGGCTAGGATCTGACGCCACCCTTTCAACCCCCAAGTCCCTCAAACAGAAAAAGAGAGCAAAGGGACAGGATGGGCCACCAAAGCTGAAGAAGCAACCAATGCCCACGGGGAAGCCTCCAAAGCTGAGGAACAAAACTGCGCCTGATGATGAGCCCCCGACATTGAAGAAGGGCCCACAGCAAGAAAAGAAGGCACTGCTTCAGAAGAAGAGGTGCCGCCAGCCGGAAGAAAAGCAGCAGCCGCTGCCACTGGCCCCAAGCAGAAAACCTCACGCGGGCACCCTCTCCGTGATCACTTGGCACCCGCCATTCAGTGCCACTGTCGTCTCTGACCTGACATGCGTGGAGTGTGGCCGGACGTTCCGGCAGAGGGCGGACCTGCGCCACCACCAGTACGTCCACACCCAGGAGAAGCCCTACGCCTGCACAGTGTGCGACAAGTGCTTCCGACATCCCAGCAACCTCCACATTCACCTGCGGATACACAGCGGCGAGAAACCCTACCGGTGCCCCGAGTGCGGAAGGACCTTCTCCCAGAGCTGTAACCTTCGGACACACCGTAAGATCCACACGGACAGCAAGCCCTTCAACTGCTGCGTGTGCGGGAAGACCTTCCGCCACCGAGCCAACCTCACCATCCACCAGCGCATACACACAGGGGAGCGCCCGTACTCTTGTTCCGTCTGCCCCAAGAGCTTCTGTGACCGGTCCAGCCTGGTGCAGCATGAGCGCGTGCACACGGGGGAGAGGCCCTACGCTTGCCGCGTCTGCGATCAGAAGTTCAGCCAGATCTCTCATCTCATAAAACACTGCCGGGTGCACCCGGGTGCCAGAGGCCCACCAAAGTCCAAGACCTCCGGGGGGCGCTCCCTGAGCCCTCCGAAGAATGGTTTCTCACGCTCCCATGGGAAAGACTCCTTCAGAGTGACAGCAGTGAACAAGCAGGATCAAAAATCTGCCTGGGTCTCAAAAACGTGGGTTTCCCCTGCCAAGCCAGATCCTGCACAGACTGGAACTACCACGTAGAGGAAAGGGTGGAAAACCTTTGGTCTGAGATCTACAACTCTCACACCCCCATCCAGCATGGCCAATGGGACTAGGGGAATTTCTCTTGACACGGAGAAAGCCGAAGAAGTATCAGGAACCTAGTGGGCCCGAGTAGGCAAAAGGAAATCCCAACGAGGAAGAGTGTGGATCAGAATGTTAGAAAGCGGAAGGAAAAAATAAAGTTACTGCAATCCCTGTGGCCTTCATACCTTGTACTTAGCTCCAGTGAACACTGCTGGATTTATTTTGGAATTAACTTTGTGATTGGGTTCAGTGGAAGGGGGAGGCAGCTCCTCTTTTTGGGCGGGAAATAACCAAGAAGAGTCATTTTGAAATGTTAACTGATTTATTAAATTTAACTTCTGGAGATTCAACAGCCACTTCTTTTGGTTCGAAGCAACTCAGTTCAGGTAATTGTCCATAAAAACTAGGCAACATTCCAAAGGCAGAACCGTCCGGTTTCACTGCGGGGCTGGCCCAAAGCGTTCTGTGTCGGTTGGTTTCCTCAATGGGGGCGCTCCTCATGGCGCAGATCGTGCCACAACACGGGTGGCGTGCCCAACCTCCCTCGATCGGCGGTTGATTGAAGGAGGCATCCGGCCGGATCACCCTCCTCCATTAGATGGGGGAATTTCGCTTAACGTCGATCGGTTCCCTGTTTCGTGAACTGGTTTTTCGCTTTACAACGATCAGCAAACAGCTGATCGTCGGGTTTCAAAATGGCCACCAGCTGTAGAAAATGGTTCCCCGCTGTGTTAGGGATGGATTCCTCACATTACAGGCACCAGAAAATGGCCGCTGTGTGGAGGATCTTCACTGGACGAGCAGGTATTTCACCCATTGGAACGCATTGAATGGTTTTCAATGTGTTTCAATGGTTTTCTTATTTCACTTGACATTTTCACTCTACAGCGATTTCGCTGGAACGAATTAACGTCGTTACCACTGTAACAGCCTGCCAGAGTTTCCCTCCCTGATTCTCAACAGATCTGCTCACACCAACGTCTTTCTTTATTTTGCAATTACATTTTTTATTTATAGGAAAAGACTTCACCTTACGCCAGCCTTTTTGCTTTCAGTGCCCATGATCCCTGGGGATTAACATAGTTGAAACCCACCCAGTGGCTAAAAAGTACCAAGGCATGCTTTCTCTCTACTCAGCCTTAAGCAAAGAGCACCAGCGGCAGCACAAGGACTACAGTTGTTCCTGAGTCTTAAGTTGAAAGAGTTAAGAATGACTGGGTTGCCAGAATGAAGAACAAGGTGGGGCAAAAGGCAACTTTGTTGGACTACAATTCCCAGCATTCCTCACCACTGGCTGTGCTGGCTAGGGCAACTGGGAGTTGTAGTCCATCCACAATCATAGGGTTACAGTTTGCTCAGCTCTGATTAGAAGGGAAGCAGAATGGGAGCTGGGTAAATGGCTTCTGAATCCATGGAGAAAAGAGCTATCTGAAAGACCTGGAGATACAGTAGGACCCCCTTATCCACAGGATCAGCTGACTCACTTATCCACCATCTGAAATATTAAAAATATTAAAAGAAAAAGCCCATAAATACTGTACAGTATTTCTAACAATGAAGTTTCCAGAACTGGCCACTAGAGGGAGCAAAAGAACATGCTCAATATTATACTGTACTGTAATAGCCTTCACTATACAGTAATCTGTTTTTCAGCATCCCCAGGGGTAGGGGCTTGGAATCTACCTCCTGCAGATAATGGAGGTCCTACTGTATAGAGCTGGGCAGAACAAAAGCATCTTTTTGGTAACAGAAGAGGCAGAAATGCTTCTAAGATAGGACTCTTTTAAGAAATAAAGTGCTGGCATGGGACAGTGGTTAGAAGAGTGGGCTAGAACCCCCACTGGGTCTCTTCCCAGGTTCGACCCTCACCCAGTCACTTCTTCTCAGCCTAACCTACCTCACAGGGCTGTTGTGAAGATGAAAACACGAAGGAGGACCATGTTGCTGTGAGGATGAAAGGATAACCTTTTGTTCTGGGCCATCATGATACCTCCAACGTATGGTAACCCTATGAATAAGAAATCTGCAAAATGTCCTGTCTTCAACTGTCCTGCTCAGCTCTTATAAACTCAAGTCCATGGCATCCTTTAGGGAGTCAGTCCATCTTGTATTTGGTCTTTCTCTTTTCCTGCTGCTTTCAACCTTTCCTAGTACTATTTTTTCCAGAGAATCTTGCCTTCTTGTCTGGATTTTGACAAATTCAGTCTCTGTGGTTTGAAACAGGCCTCTTGGTATTCCGTCTAACCCTAGTGATTTATTTTTTCCTTGTGCTTTCAGAGCAGCTTTCACTGCACTTTCTAGAACTACAGGTTCTTCATCATGGGATTCCTTTTCACCTGATCACACATTATTATTTTTAAAAGAACTGGGAAACAGCTTTTTTGAACGACAACCCCTAAAATCCCCCAATGGCCATGCTTGGTAGAGGAGTCAGGGAGATGTAGTACAAAAGTAACTTTTCCAGTCTGTTTTTTAATACCTCAACTCTAAAATTATGGAGCATTTAATAATTGCTGCTGCAATTCCCAATGCCATTCTTGCCACAACAAAGGATCTGAGGTTAAACAGTGTACTGTATTCAGAAAATCCAAAGCTGCAAATGTCCTGCTGTTTAATGATGCCAAAAGCCTAAGATGGCCACCTCACTTGATCTCGTAACAAGGTGAGATCATCTTGCAGGTTCCGACAGATAAAGAATTTACTGTATCTGGCTCAGCATTTTCTTGTGGACATGACCAAGGGGATATCAAGCTGGTCCTAGAGAAATGAAATAAATAAGTACATTTTCAGTCCTGCCATGGGAAAGATTTCTACCCGTATTGCAGTTCAAACACTAGTTGGTTTGTGGTACACCAGGATATACTGCAGTGATGAATTACAATGAGTCCATGCCAGCTTGCTGGTGAAAGTGCACCCTCCCCAAATTTTGCTACACTGCAATTCCCATGATTCTTTGTTGTACGGTAGGATCATGAGTCCATGCCAGCTTGCTGGTGAAAGTGGACCCTCCCCCAAATTTTGCTGCACTGCAATTCCCATGATTCTTCACTGTACAGTAGGATCCCCATATCCACAGGATCAATATCCACAGATTCACTTATCCGGTCTAAAAATATTAAAAGAAAAATTCTAGAAATTTATGATTTCAAAGACAGAACTAGCCACTAGAGGGAGCCAGAGACCATGCTATGTATTCTCATTTCTAGAGAAATATTGTACCATAAATTTCTATGATATTACAAGAACTGGCCACTAGAAGGAGCCAGAGATCATGCTATGTACATACTGTATAGCTTTCCTCTACAGATTTGGACATCCTACTTTACAACAGCAGAATATACAATGTATGGCCATGCTATGTATTCTCATTTCTAGAGAAAAATTGTACCGTATATTTCTATGATGATATTACAAGAACTGGCCACCAGAAGGAGCCAGAGGTCATGCTATGTACGTATAGCTTTCCCCTACAGATTTGGGCATCCTACCTTACAACAGCAGAATATAGAATGTATGTGACTCATACCACTGCTGGTGGAACATTTACTTTTTACTTTACTTTTATTGAATTTATACCCTGCCCCTCTAGACAAAGTCTACTCGGGGCGGCTTACATGAGTGATAAAACAGGATAAAATAACATACATAGAAAACCTAACATAAAAGTATTCCAGTTGGGGCACAGGATCTTCACAGAAACTGCTAGGAGTTCATTGTCCTTCAGCTTCCATTACATGAGTGATAAAACAGGATAAAATAAAATACACAGAAAACCTAACATAAAAGTATTCCAGTTAGGGTACAGGATCTTCACAGCAACTGCTGTTCACTGTCCTTCGGCTTCCCCGTCTTCCTGCAAGTGTGATGTGCCACATCCTTCTGACCCAGCTGCACTAAATTATCCATATGGGACAGTTTGATGTGCTAAGCAGTAATTTTGGACCCTCACCATTTCATCTAATCCTGCTCCCTCATCTTACAATTTACGCATAGAGGAGAAAATGAACAATATCCTAAACTTCAAATATGCAAATGATAATATCTATAAATATATAAATTGCTTCTCAGGGGAAAAATTACCTTTCTGTTTCTATCATGGTGGGACTCAGGTTCTTGAACAGAGTGATTGACAGCAAGTAAAATAGCAAAGGCTGAGAATCAATATATTAGAGTATACTGAATTTTGGAAGATGAAGAAAAATGAAGTAAAAATAATTATAGCTAAGAAATAACATGGAGGATGACGGGTAGAAAAAATTAAATATAAATACAGACTGGCAACATGAGAAAGGAATTCATGTTACGTTAGGCCCTGTCCTTTCCAGATCTGCCATCTCGACTAGTTGCCCAATGTGAAAAATGGCTTTTGGTCTTCCAAAAGTTCCTTACGCTTGAAATATAGGAGTAATGCCACTTGTGTGCCCATGTGTATTGCTGAATTTCAGCTCCTTAGTATCTCTTGAGTGTTTCTATAGGATGTGAATCCTTAAAATAGCCCAAATTGCGAATAAAAGCTATATCAGGGCAAGCATATATGTTTGGTTCATTTGCATCGTCTTTTGCAGTTAGGTGCCTATACAATATCTGTGAATGTGGTCTTTACATCCTCAGTGGTAAAATTCATGCTTTGCCTGTTGACATTTTCTCTATTTATTTTTCTCAGCAGCTAAAAACAATCTAGGATTGCAAGGCAAGAAATATGTTTTCTTGAATACTTAGGACTTGCTACCAATCAGAGCAGACTGCACTGTTCTTGACAGATCAATGGCCAGATTTAATATTGTTAGGATTGTTTGGCATTAGCCAGCAGAGAACAGCAGCCTTCTTTCTAACCTTGTGAGTATGAAAAAGGAATGACGATCTTTGGAGACTGGAAATAAGCCATAAAGGAACCTTAGTTTTTGTTATCTAGGAAATCAATGTAGAGATAGTGCTGGAGGAAAATCACTAAACTTTATTACTGAAGCCCCTAAGAGAGGCTTCTACGCATGGATGGAAGTCTAATCAGATAGACATTACTCTAACCAAGGAAAAACAGGAAGTAGTATCAAACACAGTCTTCATGTACATGTTTCTTTTAAAGAAAAAGAAGAGGAAACACCCGTTTCCTTGTGACCCCTGTTACTTGTTCAAATCACTTGATACATGCCTTGGTACTGTATTCCATCAAATACAGAATAAATTCATGTGTCTTGTCAACCTTACACCTGTTTACTTAGAAATAAGATTATTGAGTTCAACTGGATTTACTTCTATGTATGTATGTATGTATATGGGCAGGCACTCTTGAAAAAATTAAATTCCATGCATGCAGTAAAAAAAAAAGACATAAAAAAGCAGGTGTGGATATCATACTCTGTGACCTCTAAAAACATTTTATGTTGAATCTTGGAACCTTTTATCCCATTCCCTCCCAAAAAGCAGGTATTGCGCTCCTTAATTTTGATCATCCCACAGAAGGGAAGAAGGGTTCATCCTCCTCTTTTCTTCATGTCATAGTCCTCCACCTCAGTCAGATCTTAGATACTGTACTTATTTATTACAAATCAGGCATTAAAGGGCTAAAAATAGGAATAATTATATTTGTAATATTTTGGCCCTTTAGCACTTGGTAGTGTGGAAGGAAATGGGTAAAGTGTATGTGAAATGAAATGTAAGCCATAAATGTGAGATTTTAAAAAGCAAATAAACATGATGCATCAAATAGATTCAGATTTCTCTGTCTTGATTGAGTCCTTTCTAGTAGTCACTGTTTATCATGGGTTGGAACATTGTTGTTGTTGTTGTTTAGTCATTTAGTCGTGTCCGACTCTTCGTGACCCCATGGACCAGAGCACGCCAGGCCCTCCTGTCTTCCACTGCCTCCAGGAGTTGGGTCAAATGGAGCATTTGTGGAACATTAGTGTGGCTTAAGAGAAACACTCATACTGATCCAGAGGTGGTTTGCTACATTTAAAAGCTGCACAGGACTATAGTCTTAAAGTGGTGTGTTCAAGTATATGCATCATAATTTACAATGACAAACTATAGCATGCACAAGCCATCAAGCCACTTCTGACTTATAGCAACCCTTTCCAAGGTTTCCCAGGTAAAGAGTACTTAGAAGTGGTATATTACAGGTGTATTCCCTTCTTCTGGGGGGTGCCCTGGGACTATGCACCTTGCCCAAAGCCAAGCGGGCTGGCTCTTCCCCCTGGAGGCACAGTGGGGGAATTGAACTCCCAACCTCTGGCTCCACGGCCAGATACTTCACTCACACTTATAGCAACCCTTTCCAAGGTTTCCCAGGTAAAGAGTACTTAGAAGTGGTATATTACAGGTGTATTCCCTTCTTCTGGGGGGTGCCCTGGGACTATGCACCTTGCCCAAAGCCAAGCGGGCTGGCTCTTCCCCCTGGAGGCACAGTGGGGGAATTGAACTCCCAACCTCTGGCTCCATGGCCAGATACTTCACTCATTGAGCCAGCTAGCCAGTCTTAAATACTTCCTTAGGATGGAGTCACAACAAAATGCTATCAAACTGGCATCAACTTCCCCTTGCTTCCCTTCCTCCCACGTGATCTTTATTTCCAAGCAGCACCAGTTGACTAGGCCTAGCTTCCATTTTATTTTCCCACAATTCCACCCAGCAACCCTAGGAGAAATTTAAATGAGGCCAAGGATATTGAGTGGTAAAAGCTTATATCCTCCTATACTATAAGGCGGACAACATGGGATCTATTCCATCTGCTGTTATAATGACCCCAAACTTCAGGTTGTCAAGTGATGGGGGGGCATGAAGCAAGAAAGAGGAAAACGTATAGATCTTGTTCATAACAAATCTCCTGTGCCTTCAAGAGTTAAATGCAAAATTGCCATCTGTCTGTGATGTGGCGGGGTTATTTGGACACCTTGGGGAATGGCAACTGCCTCCACCTATGAAATTCCACCATATCGGTCTGAACACATCGCAGGGGGAGGCCCAGATGAAATACCACCACCATGGAATACCAGGAAGTTCCAGGTTGAGTTGGGAGGGAATACACTCTGAAGTTTTAAAGACTGCTGCCAGTCAAAGTTGGCAATACACTTGATTAGATGTCAGCTTCAACATAAAACAGTTAACAATATTTCCGTCTGATATCAAATGTACTTAGAATGAGCATTCTTAGAGGAAGGATAAAATTACTCTGTTGGGATTAGAGCTTCACGGAATCTACAGACAGCAACACCAGGAGCAAATTCTTGTAGCACTTGAAAAAGAAACACACCAAGAAATCCATTATGACAATCCCTTGCCATCATGACAAAGGCTACTTTTGTATATGAAAGGTTATGCTACAACAAAAATCCATATAAGATATGTCCCTTGCCATCATGACAAAGGCTACTTTTCTATACAAAAGTTTATGCTACAACATAAATCCATATAAGATACACACACACATAATACACAAATATATATGTGTGCGCACACACATATACTGTATTTTAAGATGTAGTGTGATTCTCTGCCTGAGTGTGCTCACTGGAAGGACAGATCCTGAAGCTGAGGCTCCAGTACTTTGGCCATCTCATAAGAAGACTCCCTGGAAAAGCCCCTCATGTAGGGAAAGTGTGAAGGCAAGAGGAGAAGAGGACGACAGAGGATGAGATGGCTGGACAGGGTCATTGAAGCAACCAACATGAATTTGACCCAACTCTGGGAGACAGCGGGAGACAGGAGGGCCTGGCGTGCTCTGGTCCATGGGGTCACGAAGAGTTGGACACGACTAAATGACTAAACAACAACGACGATTTTCTGTTGATTTTGTTGCAGTTTACTACCAGCCTGGAGAACGTATCAGTAAATATTGGAAAACATCTTAAATAATCAAAGGGTTTTTTAAATAATTAAAAAAACCCAGCCGTCTTCCTAGAAAAGCACTGAAATATGCAAGGGAAGGGTGCAAAGGGGGTCTACGTTCCCTCCCTGTTCTCCCCAAAGAGGGGGAAATGGTTTGGGGGCTGATTTTTCCTCCCTCCAGCAAAGGAGTAGCTTCCCAGGACCAGAGGGTGAGTTCCAGCTACAACGGGTGTGTGTGTGTTGGGGGTGTCAGGAAACCACAAGGAAGCGAAACTGCTGCTTTCTCCACTGCTTAGGATCACCCTAAATTAGGAGGGTCACCCCACACCTAGCTCGAGAGCATTCGCCTGAGGTGCCTTTGAATTCCTGGGAACCCCTCAGAGTTGCTCTGCTGCGCGCATTGCCCCTCGCACGCACTTCTTCCCCGACTTCGGTGGTCTATAATATTATAATATTCACACGTCGTTTAACACGGATCCGTTCCTCCTACGTTGCGTTCAGGCACCAGGGCGCCCGTGGCGGTATGAATGGAGCGGTCCTGACGCGGTCCCACTATAGAAGACTTCCCAGTCGGAAGGTGCCATTGTTAATGATCCAACCCTATTGCGAACCCCCCACCCGCACCCCGCAAGCCGAAAACGAGCTCCTCGAGGAGAAAAGTCCCCCCCGCGCTCAGTGTTGCGCTAGGCTTCTGCTTGCAGGAAAGTTGTCCCGCAGAGGTTGGGAAGCACGGGACGAGGGGCTTCCCCCCTCACGCACAGGGTGAAGTGGTACAGTCCATTCCTCCTGGGCTGTGTTGCCGCACGCGGAGATCACAGGCCTGCCCTGCTTCCGAGAAAGGTGAGACAACAAGGGTCCTACTATTGCCTTAAAAGGGGGGAGTTCGGGTTGGAAGGAATACCTGTTTATGGGACTCCTCCCTTTCCCGAGCAGAAAAGCCCATCGGCCTTCCAGCTGGCCGGTTTATCACAAGGAAAAGTTGAACCAACGAGGCCCATTTTCCCTGCTGAGCTGGTTACACTTTGTCTCCTCATTTCCTTTTCCAGCCCTGCCTTCGTCCGTGGCCTCTCCTACTACTAGTCACTGTAACATGTATTATATTAATTTCAGGAAGGGCTAACCTAAGGGGAAAAACGTGGCCTCTGAAGTTGCCTATGGCATTAGCTTCTTTTGCATGATGCCTGTTAAACTCCAAAGTCCGCGGTGAGAAAGAACCTCTAAGAGTTTCCCTTTTCTTCCAGCAGCATATCCAAGAATGCAGATGGTTCAATAATGCTAATCTTGTTTAGCATTGTTTTTTAATTGATTAGAGTTTGGGTATTTTCTATACCTTGGTGCAGCCTTTAGTCAAACTGGTGTATATACGGCTGCAATTTCACCCACACATACAGTGCTTGGAAATTTTGAATACAGGAGGGAAAGAGGAGGGTGTAACATCAAGTGGGTTGCCTTAGTAAAGGAAGCCATGGTCTTCAGCTTGCAAGACTTGAGTAGGACCTTTTGGAGGTCATTAATTTATAGTTGTAAATATAATTCCGAAGTAACCCACTGACACATAATAACAATAAAGTGACTTTGCTTATCTCCAGTGCGCTTTTGCTTTTTGGCTGTCTTTAGAGCTGATGCATCTGCCATTTCTTCTTTGCTATTCCTGATGTTTGTAATTTCACCTCTGTCCTGCTAGTGTCTTCCTTTGAATCGCAGTTTCCTATGAAGCTTTTAATACAACCCCTTGAAGTAACTGCACAGCCTTTTGTCCTGTTAAATGCTGCCTCGGCTCCTTTGACCTTTCCCTGCAATTTCCTGACTATCTTGTTTTCAAATTATAAATCCTTTAAAGCAGAGAACAGTCCTGTCATTCTTTGTAAACCTCCCTGTACATGGATGTTGCTACATATAATAGAGTTAATAATCAACAAGCTGCAGAGCGAGAGAGTAGAATAGATTGCCCCAAGCTTTATGCCTGATTCTTCTGTCTGGCTGTCATTTCATTAAAATATTCTCATCAACCGTTGCCAAGGTACCTGATATATTAGCACATTCGTGGTTGCATCTGCACCAGAGGCCAAGAAATTCTGACTTGGAGATGAGCCCATTTTACTACCTGACTTTCACAAGTGCTTTCAACAGACATTGTTGTGTCTTCACATTGAAAATGATGGATTTCCCTTCATCACAGAATGGAAGGGACATCTTATGGCTTTCCAAGTGTTGTCTGACTGCAACTCTTACAGTTTCTCAGCACTGGAGATGCTGATGAGAATTGCATGCCAAAAACATCTGGCGGGACATGTTGGCCTGCCATGGTGTTAGAGGGGCTAGGAGCCTTTTAAAAGATGTCTGGGCACCAAGCTTTTGGAACACCCATTGAAGGATGGGGGAGGGAACAGTGTTCCATTTTTCTGACAAAGACATACCTTACCACAGAATATTTTTCTCACCACAGCATTTCCCTTCTGTGTGAGAGAAAGCAGCTCAAGAGGAAGCTGCTGCTTTTGCTATCCCTTGAGAAACGAAATGGCCGCAGACCTCTTCACAAACAAAATGGCGGCCTCTCCAGGAGAAATGGTAGAGCCAGGCCTCCCAGTGCAGAGTCGTGTGAAACTGGAGGCTCAGCACCAAGGGGACAGCAGCACAAGGGGAGAAGATGGAAAATGTCCCAACATAATCCAGTCTGGGATGACGGAGGCCTTAGCCAAGGGGGGATCGGTGCCGAAAGTGAAGCAGGAACTCTTAGAAGAACCACCACCACCACCACAGATCTGGGATTGCCAGTGGCCGAGGGTGTTAGAGGTGGTACCAACTCCTATGAACACACCAGTTTGGGACAGTCTGCAGTTGCCTCCTCTGACTCAAGGGGCCAACACTGAGACCTATTTGGCCACCTTTGAGCAGATGGCCAATGCTTCTCAGTGGCCTCGACAAGAATGGGTGACACGGCTTATGCCTGTTCTCAGCGGACAAGCTCAGCAGGCCTGTTTCAGCCTGGATGCAAAAGACAAGGGTGACTATGGAAAGGTGAAAGTGGCCATCGTGAGGCTAGACAGCTACATTGCTACTGAGACACATCGCCAAGGTTTTCGGCATTTCTGTTACCAGGATGCTGAGGGGCCACGAGGGACCCACCAGCAGCTGCAGGAGCTTTGTCGTCGGTGGTTGAGGCCTGAGAGCCAGACCAAGGAGCAGATCCTGGACCTGCTCATCTTAGAGCAGTTCCTTTTCATCTTGCCCCAGGAAATGCAAGACTGGATTAGGGAACGTGGACCTGAGACCTGCGATCGGGCTGTAGCCCTGGCAGAGGAATTCCTGGAGCAGCAGGAGGCTGAGAAGTGGGCACAACAGGTGAGGAACATTTCAGTCATTGACTTTCCTAGGGATATAGAAATCTGTCTTGCATTTGCAGATGGGAAGTGTCATTTTTTTCTAGAGAAAATTTTGAGCCAAAACAAGGAAGAATATTGTGGTCTTGGATTGCGATACTGGACTTTCCAACCATTTTCTGGATGCCGGATTCCACACCCAGTATTATTTTAAGCAGCCCATACTGTTACCATAGCAATGGTGATCAGAGTTTGGAAAGGTGCATTTTAAAAAGTGATGTGTCTCTTTTACTCATTGCAGCATTTGAGCAGTAGTTCATCATTGTTACTCCATTCAGTGCTACACAAATACAGTGGTGCCTCACTTTATGATGAAATCGCTGTAGAGCGAAAACATCGTAAAATGAAATTTAAAAGCCCATTGAAATGCATTGAAAACCATTCAATGCATTCCAATGGGCTGAAAACTCACCGTCCAGCAAAGATCCCCCATAGGGGCAGCCATTTTCGGTGCCTGAGCAGTGAGAAATCTGTCCCTAAGCACAGCAAGGGGCCATTTTCTTCAGCTGGTGGCCATTTTGAAACCCTACGACCAGCTGTTTTTGATTGTCGTAAAGTGAAAATTGGTTCCTGAAGCATGGAACCAATCAACGCAAAGCGGAAAAACGCCATTCAAACCATTGTTTTGCGATTGCAAAAGCAATCGCAAAAACCTCACCGTCAAGGGGATTCGTCGTTAAACAGGGTAATCGTAAAGCGGGGCACGACTGTAGCTCACTGTGTTACTAGTTGGGTTGTTCCTTGCTTTTTTCTCTTTTTTCAGTGTTGGGATTGAGCAAACAAATAGCCTAATGTTTGAAAAATACCTCTTGAAATGCTTGTAAAAAGGACAATATGGCTTTTACAACTACCTTTTAAAATTAACTAGGAACTGTTGCTAGTTACATCTGCTTGTTGCATTACTTTTGAATTCAGTTTTCCTATGCCCTCAAGTGATTTGAAAATTTCACTTGTCATAGGCTTGTACAACTACCTTTTAAAATTAACTAGGAACTATTGCTAGTTACATCTGTTTGTTGCATTACTTTTGAAATGCAGTTTTCCTGTGCCCTCGAGTGATTTGAAAATTTCACTTGTTATAGGCTTGTTTGGGACATGCTGGCGCTGCGGGTTAAACCACAGAAGCCTCTGTGCTGCAAGGTCAGAAGACCAGCAGCCGTAAGATCAGATCCACGTGATGGAGTGAGCTCCCGTCGCTTGTCCCAGCTCCTGCCAACCTAGCGGTTCGAAAGCATGTAAAAATGCAAGTAGATGAATAGGTACCACCTCGCTGGGAAGGTAATGGCATTCCGTGTCTAGTCACGCTGGCCACGTGACCACGGAAACTGTCTACGGACAAACGCTGGCTCTATGGCTTGGAAATGGGGATGAGCACCACGCCATAGAGTCGAAAATGACTGGACTGAATGTCAAGGGGAACCTTTACCTTTTACCTTTATAGATTTGTTTATGGCTCTGATATTGATTCCAGTAGGAAAGGAGATGCTGTATCCTAGGAGTAACTAGTGCTTATCTCAAACTGGTTGAAGAGGCCTGACCCCATCTCTCTGTTTTTGTTGTTTCAGATAACCTTGCCAATTGAAATGGTGATTGTAAACTCCCCTGTTGTAGATCAGACTGTGTCTGAAGGAATACAGAGACATCAACACAAGGAGGTTAAACAGGCTCACCAAGAGGATAACAGCTTGCAAGGTACCGTAACTGTTACCAAAAGCAGTGCTTCAAAATGGCTGTGTAATAACCGGATTAGGTCCTTGGAATACAAGAGCCTATTCACCCATATCTAGAATTTAGGCAAAGCTTAGGAAAGTTGCTGGTTGGAGATTCTAAGTCCAAAACTTTTACAAATTCTAGATTTTGAATGGGTTCATCTGATTTCCTTATTGCTCTGCAACAGTTTTTGACAAAAGAAACTTCAGCAGATTGGGGTGTGCCAAGAGATGCATAGGTACTGACCAAGGTATTGGGAACCCAGTTATAGGATCTCATTCCTGTACAGGATTCTCTCTTGTAAGGAGACTGAAAGAAGGGGCTTGTCCTGGAAAAATCAGCCCCTTGAATGCTTAAGGTGAGCAAGAAGGCAGGACGTTGCAAAGGGAGAACATCTGTGCCAGTATGAAACATTAAGCAAGAAAGAAGAATGTCAGGCTCTTGAGATCCCAAATGTTGCAAATGGCATTCTGTCTTCCATCCACATAAGTAAACAGTCCTGAGACCATTAATTAAGACAATAGGCGATCGGTTCTATAACATCAAATTCATGCCACACCTCCGGCCTCTAGTCCTTCCCATTATCTCCCAATTGACAGAGTGTTAGTAATTTGATTATTCAAAATAACTGTAAGTGATTAACATCAGAAACTGTGCCACAGCTATAGAAAAGATTTTTTCAGTTTTGAATTGTTTCATAGAGGCATAATTTGTGTTATTTTAAATTCTGATGAAATTGACATATTTAGGTAAAATTATGGATCAGGAATCAGGCACTTGAGTTCGACAGTTCAGTTGAGAACGTGGGATAGTTTAAATCTGAGATTACTGTAAAATTGCCAGTACGGTTTTGAAATTATCTTGAGGGCTGCAAGCATTGTTTTTAAAAATCACGCACAATTAAAGATAAACCACTCTGAATGCTGAAATCTGTGCTCACTATAACTCTCAAAATCCTCCAGCCAGCATAACTAGTGCTGGCCATGGCGATTTTGATGCAGTTGAATCTGAGACTTTCTCTATATGCAACATAGAGGTTCTTCAGCTGAGCATACAGCGGCTGTTTTTCTGTCCAACAGAAAGCAACTTTTCAAGTAGAAATGGGGCCAAGGATGTTCATGAAGGAGAGGCTGAGGAGCAAAGAAGATTATCTGAAGGAGGAGGACTGGGAGAGGCTCTTTTACCTAGGGGTGACCTTAAGAGATCCCAGACAAGCGAGTGCAGGGTGGGAAGGCCACAGAAAGGCTGCCTGTCCATGAGGATGATCCAAGACCGAGGGCTCAGCAACATCCTGACCGACCTGGAAGCAAAGCGGCACCTGTGTAAGGAATGCGGCCGACGGTTCCGCAAGAAGTGGGACCTGATCAGGCACGAAAGAATCCACACGGGCGAGAAGCCCTACCAGTGCCCAGAATGTGGGAATAGCTTCAACCGCAACACAACCCTCACCAAACATCTCCTCATTCACTCTGGGGAGAAACCTCACCAATGTGCCTACTGCGGGAAGAAATTCACAAGGCGGTCACATGTCATTAACCACCAGAGACGACATTCATGGTAGGTGTTACTCCATTCTTCTCATTTTATTTATTCATAGCATTTATAACACACTCTAAAAAAAAACAAAAGAAAAGAAAAGGCAGCTGGGGAGAGAAAAGGAAATAAAGAAGTAAAAGGAGAGGCACAAGTTCTTATTAGTTCTTAGCCTGGTAGAGAAGCAAAATCCAGCGGCATGCAGGTTTCTGGATGTCTACTCAGACATCAGCCCCACTGAGTTCAGTGAGGCCCACTTCCAGGTAAGGGAGGGCAGGACCCTCATGCAAGGGTACAAGATCGCTTTCAGCATGGATGAATGACATTCAAGCCACTAGTCCATTTGTACACAATACCCATAGTCCCAGGAGGATTGAACAGCACGCTCTTCTGAAAGTTTTGATCAGTCTCCCCACAAGTGAAAGCTTGGCATTCAGGCATTCACTGTCAGCCCAAACCGACAAAAGAGAATAAGCCTTGATTTTCTGTAGCTCTCTCCCCCACCCCCCCAATAACATATTATCTGTTTTGATTGCAGCCAAGGAAGGTCTTGACAAAGAATTCATGGCTTTTAATCCACGTGATGGAAAGGAAACGTGAAGGCATGTCACTTTTATACCCCAAGGAAAAGAGGATAGCTGCGTGTTCCTGGCGCCAGGCTCAGAATGCAAGCTAGTAAATTCCTGCAGCACGTCGGTCGTTCTGAGAGCGCCCGCTGCTTGCGTGCCTGAAGCTGGTGATCCAAAACACACCTGAAGACAACCAGCTTTCAAAGCTGTTGGCAAAAAGCTCTGGCTGCTTTCTGCCAGAATGAAGAAGCACTTGAAAGAGAGGAGCATTCAGTGATACCCAATCCAGAATGGTGGCACCGAGGTCCTTTTCCAAATTATTTATTTTATTTATTTTTAGGACAACTTGTTGGAGCAGGAGTTAGCTTTTCATCATGGAACTTGTAGATTTGGAATATGCTTCTGAAGAATAGCTAATTTTAAGCAAACTACTCGCTTTTTATTTTTAAACCAAGCCACCCTCATCAGGTCTTTCACCTACCCCCAAGTTTGACTTTAATGCCTTATACATTAAGTAGACTGTATGAGGCATTCAAGTCTGCTCTAGCAATAGGCAGTACTATTACTACTATTCTGTACTAATATTCCCTCCCTGCCACACTGCCTTTGGGTTTGCTTTGTAGACATGGCTCTACAGTTGAACACCCAACAGACAGATCTCAGTGAGAAATACAAGTACAGCCTATTCCATGTTAAAGCAAACTCCAGGCCTTCAACTAGAGAGAAGATAAGACAGCCAAAAGGTTTCACAACATATTTGGGGATGACATTATGGTCAGCTGCTGATCTCCGAATCTCAGGTGGCTCTTTAAAGTATAAAAACTGGCATCTCTCAGATGGCAAGAGGGCTGGGTGAGAAAACAGGAAACACACCAGCTGTACCTATTCTATGTTGTTGTTGCTGATGGAACCTGAAGGAAATTCCTTCTCTGTGCTTGTGCAGGGCTTGATCATGGCTCTTCTGAGGTGGAATTGATCTGGCTGCTACTGTCTGAATTACCCTTTTAAAAACAAATCAATGCAGTGTCTACTTGTGTAATAATTTATTTTCCTCTTTCGTAAATGTTGCCTATATGCACTTACAAGCTTTGACTGCAAAATGCATAAGTTATCAAACATACACAATATACCTGTTTTAATAAAACCTGTCAACAGCTGCTGTTATTTCTTGAGGATGTTTCTTGCTTTTTTAAAACCTCTGTTTTAACTTGAAGATGCAGACTGTTTATATTTAAAGCTAATAGAGAAATCCCAACTTTTTTTTTTTTTTGAAATATCTGATGTCCTCCATCTTTTGTTATTTTCAAACATGAGACATAGCGCATTTGCCGATCTAGGGGATGCTTCACAATGGTCATCACAGCTAATTTGGGTTCATATTAAATTTTTTGCATTTGATCATCTGTATATTCCTAATCCTCTTCATCTGGTTTGTTAACTGGGCTGATAGGAGTGACCTTAAAATATTGATGTACTTTGGCTCCCATGAGTCCTAGTCACAGTAGCCAATGGTGAGACATAATGGGAGTTGTAGTGCAGTAACAAAGGTTCCTCATTCCTGTGTACAATGATAGAGAATACAGAGCCCAAATGGAGAAGATCTCAGTTCCAGGGGATCTGCTAATTTAAAGCACAACAGAAACCCAGCTTCACATCTTCCCAAATATGTTCACTTGACTAGAACTGAGGTAGGACATCTGTGGTTCAGAGTTAACAAAAATTGCTTTTTTGGATGACAAGTGCCAGAATCCCCTAGCTAGCATGTTCATGCTGGCTGGGGGATTCTGGCACTTGTGATTCATAACAGTAACTCTCCTGAACTCTGCTCAGGTTCAGTTCTTACCTCATTCATAAATTCTTTTAAAAACATCTGGCAGGTTTCATCCAATCTAGTGCCTTCTGGATGTGCTGGATTACAATTCTCATTAACCTATGTAGTGGCCTGTGGGATTACAAGAATTGTGATCCCACACAGCTGGAAAGTAATGAAGTGGATGAAGCTCCATAATACTCAGTCCTCCCATCTCCTGTACAAAGACACTAGCGTAAGAGCAGGGTTTGTAAAAAATAGTTGCGACATTAAGTGCTTCAAATATTTTCGAAAAGGGCAATAGAATAAAATGTAGATCTATTATTAATTCAAGGATTTTCCATGTTCCATACAAGCACCAACACACTTTTTATGTGCTATTAAATAGAATAAGATTTAAAAACAAAGGCTAAAATAGGCAATCTGATCCCCTCCACTGTTTTATCTCCAGGTCCCAGCCAGAAAGGCCTGTGATCAAAGATTACTGACAGTGAATATTTTAGGTACCCCACTTTGCCTATCCCAATCTAGCAAATGTTCATTCTGTCCTTTTCCAGGGGAATCCAGCAGTCTTCCACCCCCCGCCACATTCTCCACAATTTGCTGTTTTCTTATTTTATCATTCCATTTAAGAAAATCCATCCATTCATTTGTTGCATGATTCTGGGGACAGGAGTTTTAAAGATCCCAGGTCCAGCTGAGAAAGGGTTAAGTACAGGGAATGTGACTGGTAGAAAAGGTAGAGGAGCTGGTCCCCTATCAACGCTTGAATTCCTGAAGACTCTTCTGAAAGGGAACAGGGTCTTCTTGAAAGCAAAGGCACAGGCTCCTTCACGTCTGCAGTTCGTTAGCCCAATGATCCTGCAGAATAAAAGAAGGTAAAGATAATTACATGGGACAAAGACATCAGTGGGACTTCTACAAGAAGTGTACAGAAGACAACACTTAACATTCTACAGGGAGTGAGTTGAAAAGTAAAGATGGCAGTTTAAGAGATTATATTAGTTCAGAGAGAAGAAAACCAGGCTCCTTCACGTCTGCAGTTCGTTAGCCCAATGATCCTGCAGAATAAAAGAAGGTAAAGATAATTACATGGGACAAAGACATCAGTGGGACTTCTACAAGAAGTGTACAGAAGACAACACTTAACATTCTACAGGGAGTGAGTTGAAAAGTAAAGATGGCAGTTTAAGAGATTATATTAGTTCAGAGAGAAGAAAACGATCTAGAGGGACAAAGACATCAGTGGGACTTCTACAAGCAGTGTACAGAAGGCAACAGTTAACATTCTATAAGGAGTGAGGTGAAAAGTAAAGATGGCAGTTTAAGAGGTTATATTAGTTCAGAGAGAAGAAAGTGATCTAGAGAAGCTTTATACAGATCAGGAAAGTGCTTACATTGAACGAAGTGTACATCTCTTATTTTAACACATTGTTATAAACTAGATCAGAGGTCTCCAAAATACGGCCCAGGGGCCACATCCAGCCCACCTGGCCTTTTTATCCGCCCTGTCTATGTGGGCAGGCAGGAGTAAGAGCGGGTGGGCGGATTATAAACTAGATCAGAGGTCTCCAAAATATGGCCCAGGGGCCATATCCAGCCCACCTGGCCTTTTTATCCTCCCTGTCTATGTGGGCAGGCAGGAGTGCGAGCGGGTGGGCGGGAGTGCAGGAGGGAGCGAAGGCGGGCGGGAGACCCCTGTACTAGATGGATAGATTTAGGAATAAGTGTGGAATCTTTACCTGGGAGGAGGTGAGGTCAGGCTCTAGGTCACCATAACAGCCTTTATGATGCCGGATCAAATCTCCCCAAAGCACAAGATTCTTGCATCTGAGGAAGAGTTTGAAAAAAGATTTGAGGTAATGGTGATAGGGAATCTGTTAACATCTACATTCTGCTTATTCTATGTCACTTTTAAATTCCACCCATGCACTGGAAGACTGACTTACCCTGGGCACTGCCCTTCCACGGGCAGGAAATGATGTGGCTCTTTCTCCAGGAAAAGCCGAGAGAGGCAAAAAATATGAGCAGCCATGGTACAGTAGGGATGAAAACAACGCAAAGGGATATCATCATCCCCATCCTGCAGAGAAAGATTGCAGAAAGCTAGTTCTCATTTCCTTTCAACCGAAACCCTCTTTCCTTCCCCCGGTTTCAGACAGGAAAAACTGGTATTGGATAAAATTAGGGACAGAAGTCCCACAGCCCCCATAGGCTCTGTTCTGGCTCCTGGACTTCTGCCCTCATGGAAAAATAAAACTTGGGACTTCTGCTTCAAGAGCAGCTAGTTTCCCTTGCCATTGTTTCCCCCTCCCTTCCCCACACTCTGTGTTACCTGGAACTTTTCCAAACAGACACTACAGCAGCTTGGAGTGGCGGTCAGTTCCTGTGAAGGTGTCAGCTTCGCTTTGGCCTTGACAGCTCGCACTGGCCCAAAGGCCACGGGCATGTGCAAAGGAGGTTCCAAACCTGGAGGGAAATCTCGGCGGTATTCCTGCTTGAGCCAACGTATCGTGAGAGGCAAACGGCACCAAGGAGCAACTTGGAGCATGTGGGCCAAGACGCGCAAGTGGAAGTCGAACGAACGTTCCCGGGAGGTGCGCCGAGTAACATGGGTGAGGCGACGAGAAGAGTGTGGATGCTGCCAGGCCCACTCAAACTGGGAAGAGGAACAAATGGGGGTGGAGTTAATCAGGACTGCTGAGAAATTGGCAGTGGTGGCACAACCCTGCTGTTGAAGGGAAAATGCAGCCATGAAAAAAATGTAAGCAGCCTCTTACTCGCAAAGCAGCCACATCTGATGGGAAACCGTGGACGATCAACACCATGTCCCTGCAAAGAGAGAAAAGCACTCAATTTTTCAGCATCTATGGCTCTGAAAGTTTATTCACAGCATACCATAGAGTCCCCTCCAAACTGCTGGCCTCAAAAGTGTTCATCTTTTTTAAAAAATCTGATTTCTGCCTTCCCACCAATTACCAAGGCCCACGGCCACTTGTCTTCCAAGCTCCGCCACGCCGCTTTCCCGCATTGTGCTGATTGATACGTCGCTCTGGATTGACTGTGAAGCCAACATAGATCCGGCCGTGATAACGGGGGTTGGTGCAGTAAAGCAGATAGACCCCAAAGAAGCTGCACACTTCCACCACCATGGCTACAGCAGGTGTTGAACAGGTAGGTCTGGGAGATCTACAGGCAAGAAGGAAGCATGCGTTAGAAATCCAGCTCTCTTTCACTGGCGCTGCCACTTTCCATCACAGCTTCTGTCTTACTATATGGTACACAAGGACCATTAGAAATCCAGCTCTCTTTCACTGGCGCTACCACTTTCCATCACGGCTTCTGTTCTTACTATATGGTACACAAGGATCACTTGTGGCCCCCCAGAGGCTACCGGGCTGTGAATCTCGTCAGCCTGTTAACATTATAAGGAACATATATATATGAGTTACAAGCCAATACACACACAAACCTGCCTTCCTTCCCTATTTCTCACTTTAGAGAACAGATAGGGTTGCTATATTTTAAGAACTGTAAGCAAGATATCCAGTGTGGTGTAGTGAATGGTGTGATAAAAAGGACATTCAGGAGAACTGGGCATGAATCCTCACTGGGTAATAACCATAGTAGGACCACTCCTTAAATATTTCACTTACCTTGATACCCTGTTAGGGTCGCTATAAACTGGATGCAGCTTGACGGCACATAACACACAAATACAAGCAAGGCATTGATTGATTCAGTACCCCTGCATCTCGGTAGTATAAAGAACCAGGGATCCTGAACTCTCCCTTGTCAACATAGCTCTTAAACTATTAGGCTTTAAGAATTGCACATCTCGGATTTCTGCCTGCTAGACTCTTGTTCAGCAGCTAAAAAGAAGAGGAGGAGACAGGCTGCAAACCTAGTGCTGCACGTGACCCCCAAGGGTCTCCCCCCCACACCGGCTCGATGCTCCTGCCCTTTTGGCCAAGCCCTCTTTCCAACCCTGACATTTCCCATCACGCCCTGCGACATATTCTCCCGGCAGCCTCTTGGCGGCGTCTCCCCGCTTTACCTCGCGTTCTCTTCTCACGCCCCGCCCCCAAAAGCTCCCCCTCGCCAATAGGAACCCTGGCTGGTTGTCGCCTTCCCCCCGCTTCCGCTTACCTTTTGTTTGAATTCAGCGCCGCTTACATTCTATTGGCTGCCACGAAACGATGCGCCACCTCCATCAGCACCTCATTGGCCATAAACGGCCGGCGGGGGATGATGTCATGGCGAGGGCGGGAGTTGAGCACACATAGATCTTGGGTAGCGCGGTTGACGAGCAAGGGCTTAAAGGAGTGAATCTCAATTTTGGGGCAGCCCAACAGTTCCATTTGGACTTCCGTTCCCAGAGACCCAAGCAAGGGTAGCCAATGGCGAGGAATTCTGGGAGTGGAAGTCTAAAGGTTCAGAACCAGTTCTCTAAGCTGGGTAAGGCTGCTGGGAATTGTAGTCCAGGAGCAACTTGTTAGGCATCCTTCAGCCTCGAGAGACTATGGTAACGTGCTCTGTATGGAGGACTTGGAGCAGCGGAAGGCGTTTTCTCCCTCCCTGATACGTACAGTACTGGGATTCTTTTCTGTGACAGTCGGAACTGTGCTCTTGTCGATTAAAAAGAAAAAGAAACGCAGAAGGCGCTGTGTTAACCAATTACCCAAATCTCTTATTAAGACATTGCCTTTATTAGACTAACTCTGAAAAAGAAAAAAAGTGTGTACACTATTTTCTTTAACAACTCCTTTAATAAAGATTCCGTCCTGATTTGGATGCTGGCTTCTCCTTCCATATTCCGTACGGAAAGTTAGAACAGAAAGGTGATTCATTTTCCCAGTAAAGACGGAGTGGGATGTGTAATAAAAAATAAAAGCAGGGCGATAGAGTGCAAGTGGTTCCCAGCCTTGGGTAACCAGTTCTTAGAAATCCTAGCCAGCACAGCTGCTGGTGAAGGCTTCTGGGAATTGTAGTCCAAGAATATCTGGGTTACCCAAGGCTGGGAACCACTGGACTGTAGTGGAAAGTGACGGGGACAAGGAGTAAGAAGACCTGGGTTCAAATCCTCGCTCCTCCACGGAAACTTAATGGAGGACTAAGAGGAACTTATAAAACCATTCCTTAAATATCACACTTACCTCGACAGCCCTATTAGGGTCGGTATAAATCGGTTCCGACTTGACGGCACGTAACAACAAGAACGTTTACCCAATTATTTCAGTTGGCACTTTCCTGGATTCGTCCGTTTTGTCCGAGCGATACAACAGGACCGATAGGAGGGGACGTGTGACTCTTCCTTTTTTCCTTCTGCAGGGTGGAATCTACGACCAAATGACGTAAAACGTACCTTTCAGCTACGTAATTTTGATTGGTCCAAAAGAAGAGGCATAACGAAGGGCGGAAGTGACGTAAACCATAGGCGGAAATGAAGGTGCTGGTGGTTTTCTTTCATTTCGGATAATCTGCTCATTAGGATGGAGGTTTCTGTATCTCTCAGCGCGGAGGCTTTGCGGGAGCGGCTGATTCAGGGGCTTGAGGCCGAGCATGTGGTAAGTGAAGCAGACTACTGTTAATTGTTTGTTAACCCCCTTCTCCAAAACACCCAGTTTTAATTTAATACTGCTTCTGATTTAGAATTTGGGTGCTTTTGTTAAAGAGGGGGTCCTGTTCGTTTTCAGTCTGACTCGTGTTACTCTCCTCTTTTTAGTCTTGTGGGGTGTTTTTGTTTTAAATCTAATTTTTATTCGATATTCGTGCCCATTGGGCTTACTCCTAAAGAAATGTACAGTATGCATAATTTCAACCACACACTATTCCTGAGCAGACTTTATTCTATCTAATGTGGAAAGTGGTAACTGGGAATAATATGTAATTAACGCACTAGGATATAAAGAAGCACCAGTAAAAGGATGGGAAATCAAAGTTGCATAGATGCCAAGTGTCAAACTTAGGTCGGACCAGCAAGATGACTGCTTGTTTGCCACCTATAGCCCCATCTAAAGTCTTTTTATGTAAGTGTACATTCTGTAAAGCTGGCTGGAACTGACCCCCTCAGCTCAAGAGTCTTCTGTAATGTGTGCGCATTTTCTTTTTGCTTGTCAAGCAGTTTTGTGATTTAGTGGTATTTTACTGTGAAATGAATTTGCAGTGAAAGGGTTTATCGTGTTCTCAATAACGTATGTTAACCTTTTTGTGCACCTGACACAAGGAAGTGGAAGACACAACTCCTGGACGCTGTGCCACAAGCTTCAAAGTCCTGGTAGTGTCCCCATGTTTCCGGGGAAAGGCATTGCTCCAGCGGCACCGGTAAGTGGTAGTAAGCTGAGAAAGCTTAGCGGGGGTGGGTGTGAATGAACTGTTCCTCTTAGTTCCTTAAGGCAGGGACAGTCAACTGCCTTCGCTAATACAGTCAACTGTTTCAAATGTTCTGCAACTACTGCTCCCGCAATCTATCCCCATTAGTTGTGCCAACTAGAACTGATGGTAGTTGTAAGGCAGAAGAATATTTGCAAGGGGCACAGTCTGTCTTATTCCTTCCTTACTGTTTGGAGTTATTTTAGCATTTAGACTCCGATCGAGCGAGGGATTTTATATATATAAAATCACAGTTTGTTCCACTTTCCCTCCAAGGTGCTCAGGACTGTGTACATCATTCTTCTTTCTCTTACTCTTTTTATTCTTGCAAGCAGTCTGCGAGGTATGTAAGGCACAGTGAGAATGAGTGATTGGCTCAAGGTCACAACTGCTACATTTCATTTGCTACATCGCTTCTTCAGTAATCATCCAGATTTGCACTTAAATTTAGCAATGGGCATATTAAACTCATTCATGCCATTGATATAGTCTTTCTCTAAGAACATATTTATTAAATTACTTTTTGCTGTTGTTCCATTAGTAATGTTGAGAGACCTAGATCAAAGTGGTCCAGCCTAGTACAAAGTTATACTAAATCAGTAGGTAATTCATAACTAATAATAAACATTCAACAGAATATTTTTTAAAAATAGATATAATCTGTATTTCTTGTGTGGTAGTTAATGATGGACTGGGACTTGGGAGAACCAGATTCTTGTCCATGGTAAGCCATGAAACTCACTGGATGACTTTAGGCCAACCAGTCTCTCTCCCTGACCCACCTCACAGTGTTGAGAGAATAAAGTGGGGAAGACTGTTGGTGTGCATCATTTGGAGTAAGGCCTGATATAAATGTAATCAATAGAAATAAATATGTTTTGACTAATTGACTAAAATTTTGATTAATTTTGATGTTGATTTTGTAGCAGACTTTTAACCATGAAAATCCTAAACAGATCTGGAGCTTATTTAACATACTAATTTTACATGCATTTAGTCCATAAAACTAAAAGTACAGTATATGCTATATTAATGTTACTTGACTGAAATAAAATGGTTGAAATATCTGTGGTTTTTCCCATTAGCCAGCAGTATTCGAACGTAAATAATTTGACTTGGGGAAAACATTATTTCACACATACTTAAAGTGCCCTTCCATACTGTATCTTTGGAGATTATTTTCATTGGAATACAGTGGTGCCCCGCTTGACGATAATCCGTTCCGTTAAAATCGCTGTTAAGCAATATCATCGTCAAGAGAAAGAAAAAAAACCATTGAAATGCATTGAAAACCGGTTCAGTGCGTTCCAGTGGGCGAAATACCTCATCGTCCAGCGAAGATCCTCCATAGGGGAAGCCATTTTCGGTCGCTGTCTTCTGGAAATAGGTCTTACGGGTGGCCATTTTGAAACCCGACGATCATCTGTTTTTGATCGTTGTAATGCGAAGAATCGGTTCCCGAAGCAGGGAACTGATGGTTGTAAAACGGATTTTCCCCTTTGAATCATTGTTTTGCGATCGCAACAGCGATAGCAAAAACCTCATCGTGAAGCGATTTCGTCATGGAACGGGGTAATCGTCAAGCGGGGCACCAGTGTACTTGCAAATATTTTAATATGTAACATGTTGCACAGACCTCCCTTACATTGTTTAAGACTGAAAAAGGTGCTGAAAAATCAATATATCAATAGCTGAAATAACTCAGTATTATGTATAAGACATCTTATGAAATTTCTGTTTACGTGTCAACAAGCCCTGCGCAAGGGCTGGGGTTCATCGAAGTTGATGAAACACATCATTCTTAGAAATTAGTTTGGCCATCTCAGTAGAATACAGTGGCAACACATTTCAGCATTACGTAACTGATAATAGTAACCAGAGATGGGAAACATTGCCTTAAGTCCTGTTTCAGAACTCTGCAGGTGCAACTGTGATGACATCAGCAGCAGCAGCAAATCACTGCTTATTTATTAAAGGCTTCCTTATTAAAGATGAATTTGTGGTGCACACACCTCTGCTGCATTGTGTACATGTTGCATGCACTTCCATAATTGCCTTTAAGGGGAAATTGGCGCTACTTAATCCTTGTGCAAACAGAGCTGCTCAAGAGGACATCAGGCAATGGGTTTTGTTTTGTTTTTAAACTTCTACCATTAGCCATGTTGCCAAAAAAAAAAGTCCAAAAACCCCCAAACATTCTCACTTGGCTTCACTACCATCAATCTGCTTTATGACTGTTTTAAGTGTTTATTAAGAATAACAGATTTGGAACTGAAGATACTTGTATTCCTGACCTAAAAGTAAACAGAAGATACAGGAACATGTTTTTGAATTCTGTTGTCTCCTCCATCTCACTTTCTGTAGGCTGGTCAATGAAGTTTTATCTGAAGAGTTGAAACACATTCACGCCTTTGAGCAAAGAACACTGACACCAGAACAGTGGGCAAAAGAGCAAGAAGCTAAATAACGGGACGCCTCCCTGCCCCATTTTGCTCTGGAACCGAAAGGCAATAGCCCAGAGACCCAATCAGTTGCCTGAAGGAGGACGAGAGAGATGGCTGAGGAAGCAATTTAAATGTTACAGAGGGCCCTTCAGTTAGAATACCAGGTGGACTTTGAACAGCATAAGGCAGAAAATAAAGACATGGAAACAACTTGGGTGTGAAAATGGTTTCTTAATCCTCTTTGTGCACCATCAGCTCTGAAGCTTGATCTTAACTAAAACTGTACATAGTCTGGTGCTGTCTATATGGGTAGTATTATAACTTCTATCGTTCCTAGACAGCATAGGATGATGTGTGACATTGACCAGTCCTTGTACAGCATAATGGGTTAGGGAAGACTGTACCCTACTCAATGTTTAATTCTCTTCCCTGGTTTTTGGTTTATTTATTTATTTGAATGGGACAATAGGATTTTATCAACTGTAGACATACAGTACTAGAGAGACACCCCTTGTCTTACCCCATCCACTTCAGGGCTTTTTTGGAGGAGAGGAGCTTTGCTGTCTTCACCTGACTTCTGTGTTGCTCACAATGACTCAGCACTGGCATCAGTTTTCAGAATTGCCACACAGTCTCTCCTACAACCAAAACAGCTGCTAGCCGGCCAATGATGAACTATATTGTGTTGCATGGGCCATAGAGAACCAATAAATGAAATTGCTTGTTTGGGCTCTAATGAAAAATATTAGCTGTATATCAAGAATAGTGAAATGGAAATCCTGCATTTGGTAGCACAGAGTTGCATGGAAATTGCTACTACATAATGTAATAACTGAATTTTAAAGCCATTAAATTGGGATTAGACGAGTTTATGGAAGATGAAGCAAACCATGGCTGGTACTCTGATGACAGTGTATCTCCTGTATTATCAGAAGCAGTATGCCACTGAATACTACAGTGGTGCCTCGCTTAACAACGATAATCCGTTCCAGGAAAATCACTGTTAAGCGAAAACATCGTAAAGCGAAATTAAAAACCCCATTGAAACGCATTGAAACCCATTCAATACGTTCCAATGGGGTAAAAACTCACCGTCCAGCGAAGATCCTCCATACGGCAGCCATTTTCACTGCCTGTATAGCAAGGAATCTGTCCCTAAGCACAGCTGGGAGCCATTTTAAGCACCTGGTGGCCATTTTAAAACCCCGGCGATAAGCTGTTTTCGATCGTCGTAAAGCGAAAATCGGTTCCCGAAGAAGGGAACCGATCATCGCTAAGCGAAATCCCCCCATTTAGACCATCGTTTTGCAATTGCAAAAAGATTGTCGTAAAGCGGATTCATCATAATGTGGGGCAATTGTTAAGCGAGGCACCACTGTAGTTGCTGAGGAAGAAGGGCACAAACTAGCGACGTGTCTTTTTTCTTTCTTGGACTACAAATCCCAAAATGTCCCAGCCAACTTGACCATTTTTAAAGAAAGTAACTCTTCCAAGTGCGGAATGTGGGCAGGAGGCAAAGATGTTGCACTCAAATCCTACTTGGGGGCTTCTGTCTGGTTAGCTGCCTTAGGAGCAGAATGCAACCTAGGGAGGCCTTTGAACTGATCACGGATGGTCCCTTTGTTCTTATTGAAGAGTTAGGGAGATGATGACTTGATGTAAAAAGAGAAGTTGTGGCCTTCTACAGCAGTGGTCAACAACCTTTTCCGAATTGTGGACCGGTGGGGAGGGGCCCATGCGTGGGGGGGGCAAGCACTGTAGTTGCTGAGGAAGAAGGGCACAACCTAGCGAAGTGTCTTTTTTCTTTCTTGGACTGCAAATCCCAAAATGTCCCAGCCAACATGAACGTTTTTAAAGAAAGTAACTCTTCCAAGTGCTGAATGTGGGCAGGAGGAAAAGACGTTGCACCCAAATCCTACTTGTGCAACCTAGGGAGGCCTTTGAACTGATCACGGATGGTCCCTTTGTTCTTATTGAAGAGTTAGGGAGATGATGACTTGATGTAAAAAGAGAAGTTGTGGCCTTCTACAGCAGTGGTCAACAACCTTTTCCGAATTGTGGACCGGTGGGGAGGGGCCCATGCGTGGGGGGGGCAAGGTGAGCTCATGGGGCGGGGCACCTGTGCATGGGGGGAGGAGATCTGTCTCTGTGGCCCGGTCCTGCCAAGGCCACAGACCGACACTGGACCGGGGACCCGTGGTCTACAGGATGTTGGGACTGTGACTACCATTTTGTGATGCAAGACCAGGCTTCTGTCTGGTTAGCTGCCTTAGGAGCAAAATGCAACCTAGGGAGGCTTTTGAACTGATCACGTGTGACTACCATTTTGTGATGGAAGACCACGCTACCGGATTTGGGTTTACTGACCTTGGTTGGTATCTATGCACCAGCTAATTCAATTTTGGACAGCAGGGAAACATCTGAATCTTTTTAGGCTTGTCTGATTCTAGCCTGCCCTGCATGGAAGTCTTGAGTTGGTTAATAGAGGGGTGAACAAATAAAATGGTCATTCAGTCAATGGGAGAAGGACTGCCACACAATGTAAGAAATGTGGATGGACTGATTTGGGATTAAGATTTCCATGAACATGCACATGATCAAGACGTCTAAAGAAACAAACGGTCTTTATTACAAAAGCACACAAGCTTTGAAGCACACTTATTAAGAGGTGTTTCCCCCTCTTTTCTCATACAAGTGTGACCGCCTATTTTAAAATGGGCCATCTGCAGTTTTTTAAAAATACTTGTTTTGAGGGTCCTGTGAAAAATACGAGGTAACTGACCAATGCATCTTGGCTTAACAACTGGTTTTAATTGAGCAGTTATTTAAACATTAAAACAAGAGGCAACTCCCAGCCCCAGAGCTTGAGAAAATGTATTTTTTGGACTATCAATCTGCCAGCCAACACGGCCTGTAATTATGAGAATTGTCCACAGATGTCTTAAGGACTTGATCCCCCAAATTTCACACTGAAACATAACAGTCTTTAAGGTGCCCCACATTTTTATTTTCATTCTTGCCTCCTATAGTCCAAAAAAAGTAAATTTTCCAAGCTCTGCTCCCACATTCAAAATCAGAGCAAAGAAGCTTGTCTTACAGCACTTTCTAAAGAAGTCCTGAGGGGGAAACAGGAAGTAATAGAGGAGAATGCATGCATATAATTGCCTCCCCCCCACGCGAGATGACTGCCTGCAGATTGTTCATGGAAACACTTGTCTTTTTGTGACCTCACAAGGGCTTTGCCTGTGCATTTAACATCACCCAAGCAGAACCAAGACCTTAGGTGCAAGCTAGCTAGCCAAAAGAGAAAGACCCGTCCAGAACTGGCAAGCTTGAGTTTTTGCCCTGAGTTTGAGATGGGTGGAGCAGAATAATGCCCTGAGGATCCACCCGCAGGAAGTTGAGAGGTTTTTAAAAGGCCAATGAAACAAAGTTCAATACAACTGATGGTAAACAGGATTGGTTTTGAAGAGGAGGTAGGGTGGCTATTTCTTCACAATCTTCTCCAGCTCTGAGATGCGTCGTTCCTGTTCTGAGACTGTGGCCTGCAGCCGTTTCAGGTCCTCTGAGAGCTGCTCTAACGCTGGACCCTACAAAAGATCATAGGTGAAGGTTCCCCTTGACATTAAGTCCAATTGTGTCCTACTCTAGGGTTCATCCCCGTTTCCAAGCCATAGAGCCAGCGTTTGTCCATAGACAGTTTCCATGGTCACGTGGCCAGCGCGACTAGACACGGAACGCCATTACCTTCCCAACACGGTGGTACCTATTTATCTACTTGCATTTACATGCTCTTGAACTGCTAGGTTGGCAGGAGTTGGGACAAGCGACAGGAGCTCATTCCGTCACGTGGATTCGATCTTACGACTGTTGGTCTTCCCTCCACCCAGCTCTGTCTTTTCTTTCCATTCTGTATCTCCAATTCATTGGTTCTCCTTTGCTGACAACCCATGAGCCTGACTGGTTTTCCTGAACCAGCCTCTCCCTTATACGCATTGGAATAGAATGCCCATAATTCCCAACCAGAAGGGCCATGGAATCTCCCCTCCTTACCCCAGTTGCTGTTCCTTCATGGCTTCTTTTCGGACCTTGAAGGAGAGTCTGGTTGACCTTGAACTCTCGGGTCTTCTGGGGAGTGTAACCATCCTTGAGGGAGATAAGGATGGGGCTGGCATTCTTCCCTGCCAGCCACTCCTCGGATGTCAGCGCAGCATCTGGGCCAGCCGTGTCTGGGTACAGATCTTCCTGGAAAAGGTCTGACTGCAAAAGGCATATGAAGAGTGATTAGAGGCATCAAGGGAAAGAGATCCCTCCTATAGGTTGAGCATAGCCAAAGAGATCCTCGTTTGTCTCAACATTAGGGTGAGGAAACACAATGTCCTTCACCTTGTTGGTGAAGACTATTCAGTATTTCCTGCCACACTTTATTCTGCTGTCTCTTTTGCAAGCATGATCTTTGTGCGAAATTTAAGTGAAACTGGGAAGAATGCTCCTCAGATTCAAAGAAATTAAACAATTTTTAATTCTGGCTGGCTTGTTACTCTTTTTCTTTGCAATCAGCTAATGTTTATATCTATATACGTATGTACACTGTGCACCATAATTCTTCAGGGAAAAGGACCACATAACAGATGGAAGCAAAATAAAACCTGGTTTGTCTCACAGAGTTTTGGGGAAGGTGGTTTCAAAATACCCATCAAGGTGTCTCATAGTGTTGAGACAGTAAAACATCCAAAACTTAGCAGATTTTCTTCAGATCCCTATTTTAGCAGAAAGAGGCTTGCATTCTGCTCTCTATAAAGGATTTCCTGCAAAGCCTCTTGAAAACTGAAAAGGCAATTTAAGAAAACAGGTAAATCTGAGATTAAATTTGAGGAAGAAATCTATGTTCTTCCATCAGACACATAAAGGCCTGATCAGAGGAGCAGCCTCTCGTACAGAGTGAGACAAGGTCTTCAAGGTAAATCTAAGTCATGGATCATTTGCACTGGCCAGCACCGCCAGCGGAAGGGATGGACAAGAAATTAAAACAAAAAATAATTTGCAAGCTCTGCCCCCCCACCTCTACCCCACTCTGATCCAAGACAACAACAAAACAGGAGGTTTTCTATACCTTCCGAGGCACCGTCATGGCAATGGGTTCACATTTCCTCTCATGGAGCTTGTAAAACCTGGGCAAGACAAGAAACAGGATGAAGAATGACAAGCCTTTGAAGAAGTGAAGAAATAAAGGGTCCTCAGACCAAAGACCCCAAGATATTTCCCTTCCCTGAATAGGGAGCAAGTAGTGTAGTGGTTAGAGCAGTCTTCCTCAAGCCATGACAAACTACAATGGCCATCATGGAGTTGTTGCACAATGCATCTGGAAGGCCCAGTTTGGAAGGCTGGGCCAGAGCATCCGATGAGGATCAGCAAAGGCTGGGATGATAGCCATGAAGCTCACCAGGTTATGTTGCATCAGTTAGGAAGACAGGAAGTTGCCTTATATTGAGTCAAGCAATTGGTCCTTCTAGCTCAGGATTGTGAATCCTCACTAGCTCTGGGGGGTTTCAGGCAAGATTCTTTCCTTACCCAGCTTGGAATTCTCTGGTCTTCCTTGGCAGTCTCCCATCCAAGTACTAACCAAGCATAAACTTGCTTAGCTTCTGGAATCAATCAAGACCAGTGTGCTCAGAGTGGTTTGGAGCTATTGCTATCTTGACCTAACACATCAAATGCATTGTTTGGTGTAATAGGAGAGAGAATCCAGCCAATGGCCAGTGGGTGAAATTCAAAATCTAAACTCTTGACTTGTGTTTGCTACCTGCATTTCAGAACTTGCTTTTAAGAAACATACTGGCGTGGACATCTCTCACGACTTTTAGAATCACAGAATAATTGAGTTGGAAGGGGCATGTAGGGCCATTGAGTCCAACCCCCTGCTAAGGGCAGGAACCTGGAACTTTCCAATAGAGGGTTTGCCCCATGGTGTAGTGGTTAAACTGCAATACTGCAGCCAAGCCTCTACTCATGAGCTGAGTTTGATCCTGATGGATTCAAGTAACCTCCGGCTCAAGGTACCCATCTCACTTGGGGGCAAAGTGTTAGTTGCTTAATTATGTTGTAAATTGCCCAGAGAGTGCTTTGGCATTATGAAGGTGGAACAGAAGTTGAAACAACTTTCATGTCCACCACCACCCTGCACAATATATTGGTGCACAGCCTAAAGAAGAGTAGTACAGGCTGCAAACTGGAAAGGGTGGGTTAGTGGTCTCATAAAGATATAAGTTGCCCTTGCTTTTGGGTCTGAGGAAGTGGATTTTGATTCACAGAAGCTGACACTGAAATAAATCTGCTAGTCTCAAGATATGACAATGTTTTGTCCTTTGCCCTATTCCTGGGTGAGTGGAGGTCCCTTTAATTTTGTCAGCATGATGAGACAGGCAGCTGCCTCTTCAGAGAGGTCTGCATCACAGGGCAGAATGGGGAAGGATGGGGCTCAGTTACCCTCTTCTGAGCTCCTTAGAAGAAGGACAGCAGAAAAACACGCCTCACCACACACCTGGCAATCTCGCACTTGCTGACATCCAGGCCTCGCTTCGGCATCCAACCTCCTCCTCGCTGGGACTCCTTGGAGCTGAACATGGACAGGTAGTGCACAAAGGGCGCCTCGCCCGTCAGCTCAAAATAGCGGATGCTGCTGTCACCCTGCAATTGCAAAAAAATGTCCCACATACGAACCCCTTTCTTGTCTGTAACAGACTGAGATGCTCTCAAAACCGCTGCCATATTCAGGCATCATCTATGAGATTGCTATCAGTTTAGTGCTGACATAACTCAGTCAGTAGGAATGCCTGGCTACCGAGTCAAAGGCCAGGAGTTCAAATCCCCCCCCCCCCCGCTGTGCCTCCTAGGAAACGCACCAGCCAAAATCACAGTGGGGGGCACGAGGCCCGGTGGAGTTCCATGCCCTGCCAGTTGTGCAAGCTCACAAACCACCCAGTCCTGGACAGCCACCAGAAGGAGGGGCTGAAAAGTCACTTCTAAGTGCTTCATACCTAGAAAACCCAGGGAGGGTCACCCTAACTTAGAGACGACTGGATGGCACATCATCACTATCACTGTTCATTATCAGCCTACCTAGAAGAGGGCAGCTGGCCTTTCCCCCGTCTGCCCTTGCTTTTTCATGTGTGAGAGTGACATGGCTGAGGAGGAGAAATTGCAGTAAACTTTGTAATACATCAGATCTAAAAATGGCCAAGAACCCAGGCGTTCCGGAGCGGTCACCTGCATGGAGAGCCTGCACATGAGTAGGACTGCCTCTTCTCCAGCCGTGCTGTTCTCCAGGTGGAGAAAGCAGTGATGGAGTGGGACACGGCTAGCTGCCCCTCTCCACATTGTTACCTACTCATGATTCAGTCGGGTGACAAGAGGGCTAAGTTCACTGGAGGGTGTGAGTGTCTCCTTTCACACCTCAGTTTATTTCTCCTTCTACTGAAATGCCAGTTCCAAACTCCCCTGCTCTCTTGCCTCTCCTACATATCATTGCAGCCTCCTCAGTTCACCACTGCCGGTAGCACACATTTCCTACAGGTATCCACGAGGCACCTGCTATTCCCATCCTTTCAGAACTTACCTTGCCAGTCAGGTAAATCACATTGGTGTCTGGATCGTAGTAAGGCAGGAGGACTCCGCTGCTTGTGTCTAGCTCCTGCAGGGTCAGTGCTTCCCCTGGATTCCTCTAGAGCAGGAGACGACAAACGAATAACATTGAAGGGACCGTTGGACTACAACTTCCAGATTCCTCATCCATCTTAGGCATGATGCCTGGGGACGTTTTGGTAATATCGTTCAAGATAAACAGGGTAGATCATGACCTGGGGTAGACCTCCAAGAAATCAAAACCTTGAGTTTTGAAGGAGACTCTCTGATTAGGTAAGCTGAATTACACTCTCAGCTTCCCCTCTCTTCCTCCATCTATAATGTACAATGGCTTGTTTATGAATTACTGAAATTATGAAAAACAAGTGTTTTGGACACCTAACACTGCTGTATAGCTAAACAATATAGCATTATTTAAAATCTTGTTTCAGTGAGTGGCCTAGACCACTGGTTCTTAACCTTGGGCTACTCAGGTGTTTTTGGACTGCAACTCCCAGAAGCCTTCACCACCAGCAGTGCTGGCTGGGGTTTCTGGGAGTTGCAGTTCAAAAACATCTGAGTACCAAAGGTTAAGAACCACTGGCCTAGACTACTCATTGGGTAGCATGACCGGTGACTTCTGGAGCGATGCCTGTAGACAACGTATACTCTTAAAAGGCTTGTTATTTTATTATACCTGCTAATGATCATTTTATTATACCTGCTAATGATCATGGTCATTGTAATGTAAAAGACAATAAATAAATAAAATAAATAAATAAAGGAGGGATGAAGTAAGCTGTTACTCTGCTGTTACTGTTACTAACGGGCCAATGTTCCAGCTGTTTGGTACTAAAAGAGGACCTCCTTCAAAGGGTATGCATGGTCCTCCTTCAGCACCACAGGAGGGTCTCCCCTCATCCCAATAAAAGGGTGTTGGGTTCTGTAAAAAGAAGACATCCTTGTTTATCCTCACCGGATCCCACAGCGCCACCTGCCGCTCACTCATGCGGCTGAAGCCTGTTGTGAACAGCTTTCCGTCGTTCACGGTAACAGCCCGGACAGGACGCGAGCCTTCATGTGGGCGGGACAGCTCCTGTTGGAAAGACCAAAAACACAGGAGAGAACATCAGCGATGCCCTGAACACCAACAATGTGGAATGGCCCTAAGTGAGAGAACATCAGCGATGCCCTGAACACCACCTATGTGGAATGGCCCTCTTTCACAATATAGCTTTATCTTGCTCATTCTCTTAGTCAAAATGTGGCAGACTCAGGGTTATGCAACTGAACTGTTTGGCAAAGACAACAGGATGAGCAAAAGGAAGTCGCTCTCTGGGCTTCATCCACTGGAGAGAGGTTGCGAAGTCCACTAGCAGAAGCGGTTTTGAAAGCATGAAGCAAGACTAGGCAATGCTAAGAGCCTGTTGCTTAGCCCAGCAAAGTCATGTTAGACTAGACCCATTGAATCAGTGGGGATTTGGGGAGTCCACGCCTCCATAGGTTCCACTGATTCAAATAAGCGTTGCTCTAGTTGTGACTTACCATAGTGTTATGCATTATAAATCAACACAACATAAGTTGCATTGATTCATAACAGAATTATTCTAATTGCAACTTATGGAGGCACGGACTCATCAAATTCCCACTGATTCAAAGGGGCTGTTCTCATATGACTTACTGCGCTAAGCAATAAGACTTTGGTGAATATGTATATTGATGGCTGTTATGGGGCCTGCAACAAAATGTTGCAGCATGGACAACTTCTGTTCAGGAACACAGATAATATATAACCCGTGCTTGCCAACCTTGGATTACCTGAGTGTTCTTGGAATTCCCAGAAATCCTGACCAGCACAGTTGGTAGAGAATTGCAGTCCAAGAATAATACCTGGGCAACCCAAGGTTGAGAACCACTGATCTATACTATCCTTCCTCCTTCGCACTTTTCACACGTACCCTGATAGTATCCCACTGAGCATGCTCAATCTTCACTGGGTTGCCTAGGGGGCGAAATTACTACCGCATTTTCCCTCCCTAATGATATTTATACTTCTGCGAATTCTGGGATTCCCTCAAAGGCTGCTGACATCTCTCTGGTGCAGCTTTGGCTACATAAGAATTAGTCATCCAGGAACTGAGATCAGCATTTGTATATGCCTGAGGATTAGCAATGCAGGTGCTCCTGGGCACCAATGTGCTCCTGACATCCACCAGGGCATCCAGTCCCAATTAGTTTTATTAAAAAAAAAACAGACAAGTATCAACAAAGTCTTCAATGGCATCTTAAAGACTAGGAAGTTTTATTTGGTATAAGCTTTCCAGGACTGGAGCCCCCCTTCTTCAGATGCAAGTGGGCTGCAGCACTCCATGAAAGCTAATGTCAAATAAAACTTCTTAATTCTTTAAGCTGCCATGAGGTACTGGCTGGATAGTGTGACAGACCTGGGTTTGAATCTCTGCTTGGCCATGAAAAATCATTGGAGGACTGGTGGCACTTGTAAACCTCTCTTTAAACATCTCTCATACCTTGAAAACTCTACTAGGGTCACTATAATTCGGATGCAACTTGACAGCACATAAAAAGTGAGCAAAGATTCTCGCAGTTTTTGCTGTGAAAGACTAGCACGGCTACACCTAGCGCTGTTGCCACCACTACCTGCCACTAGCTTCTTTTTCCATAAACGTCTCAAGAATCTTAAGAGGTGAAATGGCAGGTGGTTGGAAGCCCGTGCTTCAATTTGGGACACACCAGGCTGCTCAGAAGTGAAGTTACATCAGAAAAAGGGGTCTACTCACCACTGCCTGATAAGCAAAAGATCGTAGTAGCACTGGAGAAAACCAGCAGGAGGATAGGAAGGAAGTTGGCAGAAACAGGCAGAGCCATTTGGCCTTGCTGCCTGGCAGAGTTAGGAGCAAAAAATGTAACTTTTCCATGGTGTGCATGTGCTGTACAGGTATCTGTGCTTCTGTATATATATATTTTTCTGTACGTGTGTCTACGTGGTCAACAAATGTGCTTCTAGCCGCAAAGCAGCCATTCTGTGACTCTGTCCACTACATTTCTTTAACATTCCAAATATGCCCACCAGACCTCAAAAGTAGGAGATTCCTACATTACATGATAGTTAGGAATGAAGCCTCCATATTCAGATACAAGGTACCCATGGATATAGTCCTCAAGCAACAGGAGATGCATAGCTTCATCCTGTATCTTTCTGTTGGCGCTCGCTGGCCAACATGGATAGATAATGTCCATGTCCAGAACAGTCAGCACTAACAAAATGAGGCAAGATAAAGCCACATATCTCCTGCTGCTTGGGGACTACATCTCTTCATTCATGGGAGGCTTGTATCCAAATATGGAAGCTTTATTCCTAACTATCATTTTGTTGTGTCACAACTCCGGGAGGCAGTGGAAGATAGTAGGGCCTGGCGTGCTCTGGTTCATGGGGTCACGAAGAGTCGGACATGACTAAACGACTAAAGTACTACTATCATTTTGTTGCACTCATGATTCCCATCAGTGTTAGCTAGGAGGGTCACTGGTTGGGGTGATGGGCTTTTTCTCCTAGCAACATCTGGAAGGCCACATGTTCCCCACCCCTTGGCAGGGGTTCATTTGGGGACCCCTTTGGTCCATCTCGATAAGTCAACTAATTGTTTAATTGAACACTGGTCTAAATTTACTCCATTTTGGCACTTGTTCCCTTGCTTACAGTTTGTACATACGTTGGCAATGGTTCCTCCAGCCCTAGGGTCAAATAATCGGACACGTTTGTCCCGACAAGCTGTGCAGAGCAGAGACCCATCCTGGTTCCAGGTGGCACTGTAGATGGCATCTGGGTGCAGGTCATCTAATGAGAGGGGTGCCTGCCCAATCCCCACGTCCCAAACTTTGACCACATTGTCACAGCCTGCAAGGGAAGAGGAGAAGAACTGAAGATAAAGCCAAGAATGGCAGGTGTATCTGCCAGACTGTCATTGCTGCCTCCTGCCAGAGGCCATGCCTGCTACTTGTTACCTGCACTCAGCAAGAGGTTCTGCGCTGTGGGATGCCAGGAAACAATCCCCACCCGCTTGGAATGGCCTTCGAGGGTCACCAGGGGTTCATTCAAGGGTCGCGTAAGGCCAACTTCAGGAATTGCCCAGACCTGACAGTAAAACAGCCACAAAAGACAAAATGAAGGATGCCAGAAGTCAACAAGGAAGAGGAAAATTCTAACGCTCAATGCGGCACAGCAGAGATAGAAAAAGTTACTTTTTCTGGACAGTAGCTACCCAAATACACAAGTGAACATGGTCAATAGCTGCACTGATTGGGGTTTTTTAGGAGTCACAGTCCAGAACAGTAGATTTTCTCATTTCTAAGCCAGGGGAAGGAGCCAGTGGTACACACACAGAGGAGCTGAGGCTACTGGGATTGGAGTGGACTTTGGTTTGTAGGAGACCAGGTAAACTGCTCAAAGTAATTGGTTCCCAAATTGGGTCCCCAGATGTTCTTCGGCTAAAACTCCCAGAAGTCTTGACTACTAGCTGTGCTGGCCAGGATTTCTGGGAACTGCAGCCAAAGAACATCTAGGGATCCAAGGTTGAGAACCACTGCTCCAAATGACTCCTCGTTCTGGGAGAAGCAGCCTTCAGCCAAGCTCCTGCCTCCCCTTTTACTCTCTCTGATCTGCCTGGCTACTCACCATAACACTGCAGTCCTCGGATCCGCTGGCAATCACATGGTCATTGTGGGGGCACCATTCCACATCCAGGACAGGGGCTGTGTGCCCCGAGACCACAGGGTGGGCTTTATCCAGACGCCCAGTCTGCAAAAGTGGAGGGGGGGGGAAAGGATTGTGATACCTTATCATTCACTGCCCCAGAGAGTCATGTTATGTTAAAGAGATATTAATGATTTTATGTGACTCAGAACTCTGCAAGAGAGCCCGTTTCTTGATTTCCAGTGAACGTAACCCACCTCTCTGCATAACCTTTTTTTTTTCTTGAAAGGACAGCACTGGCAACACCCCCTCAGTCAAGAGCCTCAAAGTCGCTTCCATGTGAAGTAACTTAGCTGGGAGGGGGAAGGGAGGCTCTTACTGGACCTGGCCCAGAAGGATGGGAGAGTCCAGAGAGAGCCTGGGGGAAGACTGGTTCAATTTGGAAGGTCAGAAGCATCCACCCCACTGTTACTTCCCCCCTTTAAAAAACACCCAAGCATCTAGCTCTGCAAAGAAGACCTCAAATCTCTCTCAGGTATGAATTGTCATCACTTCTTCTCTTGGGCAGGTGCCTGCTGTCTTGAAAGTAACAACAAGCAAAAACTGTTTCCCATGATTTTCAGTGTTGCCACGTGACACTGGATCATTTTAAAAGCACAAGCACACCAGAGATGGCCCCCTGGCTCCCCTGCAACCCAAAGCTGAAAATATTCCTTTCTTGGACACCAGTTCCCAGCATCCGCCAGCCAGCTCAGCCAGCAGGATATTCAGGAAGCCATGGTTCAAAAAAAAAAAAGGCGTTGTCAAGCTCCATGGCAACTCATCCTGAAAATATCCTCCGTTTCCCTCTTCACCATAAGCAACATTTCTCAAATGTTTGTAATGAAATCAACATCCTCTCCCACATCTAAACCTAAGAAGTGTGGGTGGTGGAGGGCCATTGTGATTGGTGGGTAGATGGCACCACATCAGTGTGCAAAACTGGGCATGACAGACAGACAGACAGACAGACAGACAGACAGACAGACAGACAGACACACAGACACACACACACACACACACAGAGGGGGGGAACAACCAGGAGGGAAACACAAGCTGAGCCCTGGCCCTCCAGCGTCCAGGAGGGGGAAAAAGAAACTGGTAATTTTCAATAAATCCAAAGATGAAAGGGAAAAGTCTAAGAATGTATACAAATATAGATTTATTACAATTTGTGCAGGTTTAAAACTGTAATAAATTGTTGTTGTTGTTGTTATTTTTATTATTGTGTGCCATTAACTCAGTTCTGAGTTACATGACCCTTTTTCAGGGTATTCTAGGTGGAAAAAATACTGTACTCAGATGTGGTCTACCATTCCCCTCGTCTGGAGGCCTCCTGGGACTGTGAAGCTGGCCCAAGGCCACCCAGGCTGCCTCTTCTGGGATGCACAGGGGGAACTGAACTCCCAGCCTCTGGCTCTGCAGCCGGATACCTAACTCACCGAGCCAGCCTCAAATTAAATACAAATAAATTCTTCAGATTTTACACAATTGTTATGATAATACAAAACTCTTACAGGGCTGCAGCGTTTCTTAAGCTTCACCTCCCTTAGAACCTGAATCTATCTTAAGTGGGCCCAGCCTTTTTTGGGAGGGGGGCAGCATCTCAGCAGGTGTCCGGCCATACTAACCTCTAATGACGGTTCTACCTTTTTTTCTTTTCATAAAATGTCTAGGTCTCAATTATAGCAACAACTGCATGTCATCCAGCTGATTCCAATTTAACTCTTCTCTGGGTACTCTCGGTATAAAGGAGTCAGAAGTGCTTTTCCCATCCCCTTCTTCTGCGGGAGTCCTGGGACTCTGCAGCTTGCCCAAGGCCATATAGGCTGGTCCTTGTCCCAGGTGGGAGCCAACTACTCCAATTCAATGAGCGAACCAGAGCCTGATTTTCTAGAAGCGTAGCATAAATCAGTCCCCATAAATCAGTCCTAGGTATCAGTCACTAGGCCCCATTTGAACCATCAAGGGCTAGCAGGCACCTGGATTTTCATAGCCCTTCCTCTGTGAGTAATTTCTACAAAGCTCAGCCCCTTGCCCGCCCCTTCCGCCATCCACCTAAGATCTCCACTTTCCTTGCCTCGTTCACTGTTTTCTACACACACAGGCACCTGCCACCCCTTCCCACCTCTCCTACCGGCCCCAAATACCCGCAACACTCTGATTTCAGCCTAAAATAATCATAGGATTGCCAGTTTTTCAACCAGCCTCTGCACCTGTGCCCATAACAATAGGTTGATTTGGAGACACAATTACCCATCAGATGCTATTTTTATCTCTTCAGTTAATACATCACTCCTTAGCAAGCAGAACCACATACATAGCACATCACATTTACTCCATATTGTGAAAACCTGCGCCTGTCAACATCAAGCTGCTATGAAAGGCGCATTGAGTAGCCCTAGCCGGCTTTGTTTCATCAGTTGCTAAAAATGTAGTTATTGAAGGTGTAGCCATCAGGCTTTTATAAATTTGTGCTACCTTTTTAGCACCCCGTGTTGCTGACTTTGTAACCTTCAACTGGGAGACACTGAGATTTGAGAAGACATGATAAGATGTCAGAATACATCTAGCTACTTATCCTTGGGCTGGTGCCACATGCCCTAACAAACCCCAATGTTGTCCATGTCAGCACCGAAACTCATCTCCCTCCCTTCTACTGTGACCACGAATTTCTTTCTGTTGTTTCCAAAGGGACACTTATCCCATCAGACCAATGGAGGGGCTGGGACCACAAGCATCAATGAGTACCCAGTGAGAAAATAAAGACAATGGATCAACACCCACCATGTGCTCAACTGGAAAGAAGAGCTTAGAGCGGTTTCCCCAGCATCAGACAAGCTCATGTAGTATCCCCCCTTTCCCGTCCCCTCCCCTCGCATTTGTTGTGCTTGCTCTTTAAGAGTAAGAATCCGCGCCTCCTCCTTCTATCACGCTGGAGTCATGAGACATTTCCTAGGGGCAAGCATAAGATCTTCACCAAGAAAACTGGGGGGAAGTGGGGCCAGCCTAGACCATGGTTGCTAAACCAAATAGTAGCTAAAGAAAGGCCTAAACTCCCTTTCAGTGGCTCAAAACCTGAGCAAGCAGCTCAAACAAGCTCTATTTGGGGAGTTATAACTGTACCGGAGGTTAAGTCACACCAAGGCTCAAGAGACAGAAGAGACTCAAATGCCACAACCGAGTATGTAGCAAACAGTGACGACAAAAGCATTGTAAAAAGTGGGAGAGGAACACCAAACACCCTTGATGGATACCACTGGGCAACCTAGATAGGATCGGAGCCTGGAACGTTGCTGTGCTGTAGTGGCAGAATGCTAGCTGGGGGATTCTGGGAGTTTTTGTCAAAAAAAAGTAGTTTCTTAGCTCTGAATAGACTGCAAAAAGGGGAAAGGATGGAAATCACATCTTTCTGTGATTTCCATTTTCTGGATGCATGAGGGACCCAGGCAGAGCCAAAAGCCAAGATACCCAGGTTTTTTAGGAGAGCAGCTATGGGGGGATTAAATTCAGGTGTGTGTGTGGAAGTGGGGCAGACCTATGGAAAAAAAAAAGACAAGAGCTTCAATGATTACCAACCACTCCTTGCTTCCTTTCCCCACTGCCTGCCCCAAACCCACTTCCTCTTTTCTCAGGGCCTCATTTCCGCAGCAGGTTCAAACTTCAAGCCATTTAAGGCAAGAAAAAAAAGGCCTGCCCCGAAAAAGATCTGTCGTTTTGGCAGTTTCACAAGTTTGTGATGCCCTCCTCCCTGCGATCGTCAACGAGCTCCCCGGAAACACACAGGAGGTTGGATTTCAGCTTTTAGATGGAGGTGGGTGGCCCAAGGTGAATTGAACTGAGGCGGGAAATAAGGGTTAAGGTAAAAACAGAGATGATTGGGGAAGAATTAGGAAGCACTGGGGGGGAGTGAGGGGATGGTCAGGTACCTTAGCCAACGGCAAAACCAAGAAGGCTCCTCCACCACTGGCTTCCACAACGATGGCCAGGAATTTGGGGTTCACAGAGCAAAAATTCCCATCCCAGGTCATCTGGGAAACTCGGATGTCGTCATAACACTGGTCGGCCTTGACGGGCTGTCCATAGACATGGCGGAATTTGCTGGATCTCACAACTTTACGGCTCATGGTTCCTGCAAAAGAGTTCAAGGCAGAGCTTAACACAGTATGATCCCCGTTGACAGCGTCCAACGGCAATGCCTCCTGTATCTCAATATCAGCTCTTAAAAGTATGGGGGCTGGCTCTCTGCCGAAATTTGTTCCCTGGAGTTTGATACAGCCTCTGACTCTCAACCCGGCATCGCTTCCCCAGGCAGTTAAACAGCAGATCTAGGAGATCTCATTTTAGCCAGAGCTTGGAAAAGATTAGTTTTCTAGATTATGATGTACAGCACCCTTCCAATTAGCAGGGGCCAGTGGCCATGATGACTGAGAGAGTTGCAGTCCAAAAAAACACAACTGTTCCAAGCTCTATTTTTCAGCCATGTCTTCTGTTGGCTGAAGACTGAAACAAGCACGGCCGAACACGCAGCCCAAGCCGCTGCCTTCTCCTGCATGAGCTTCCTAATATTAAGGAGCTGCCCTGAAAGCACCCAGACCAAGAAATTAATCCAAAGCCATTGACAAAAATTAGGAGTGGCAGAAAGTTTTGTAAGCATGGAGCAGGCAACCCATCGTAGAGATAGCTGCATGTTTCAGATGAATGGGACCCAGCCTGACTCTATACCGGATTGAGTCCGAAAGAGACTCCAGTGGGACTCCAGTAAGCACGCTTCATCCTTCAGGCTGTCAAAACAGTTGAGATGCCACAAGCCACCAAGTCAAGCCATATATTAGACCAAATATGCAAAATAAATGTATACATTCAATTCTTCCCTCTCCTAAATTGCTCCAAGAAGTCTGTTCCCTTTTATCTTTGCAAGAACCCTGCAGGGTAGATCAAGACGAGGGATTAATAGCTTGCCCAAAGCCACCCTGTTTCCTTTATAGTTGAAGGGGCTCCAACCCAACCTGTACCTCCTCTAATACCCTCCTATCACCTTTCATCTAACAAGAACCGATCACCTTTCCCAATCAAATTGGTTCCCTGGTATCGGAGTGCATATCATCTGCAAAAGAGTAGAACCTGCTCTCCCTCCAATCAGAGATTGAGCTGCAGGAGAAAAGACTCCGGGTTCCCAGGCTTTAAAATGGGCACAACACCCTCCACAACCTACCTCATCAAGAGGATTCGTAGGATTCTGAATGTGCTTTGCACATTCAAAAATGCTGGGGACATGGTCAGATAATGTGAAGAGTCACCCACTGCTCTGTAATCAAAAGCCCCCTCCTCCTGGTGCTGCCCGCCCAGTCCCGAAGCCCATCTCCCCATAAGCCCCCAAATGCAAGGAGCAATTACCTGCAGCCTCTAGAGTGGATGTGCCACACAATGAATTGGAAGCGATGAAGCCGCTCAGAGCTTTTTAACAGAGCCATCGCCCTGGAACTGTCAGCACTGGGAGGGTTGTTCTCTTAAAGGGCCAGCGTGTAGGGAGCTGACAGGCTCTGCTTAGCATGTCCTTTCTCATTTTTCCCTAGCATCTGTCTTCAGATATTCTGCCCTGCTCTCCATTTCTCTCATTTCTTCACCATCCATTTCCCACACACACACTCTCTCTTTCGTATCATTAAGAAAACTTCCGAATTATAAAGCTCATGGGCTCCATCTATGCTAAAGAAAGGCACACTGGACAGTTTGGAAGCAATCAGTTGTGAAGTAAAAACATAATCGGTGTGGTATAATGATGAGAGTGCTGGATCGGGATTTGGACAGATCCAGGTTCTTCTGCCCTCTGAGCCATAAAAGTCAGTGGGTCACCTCGGGGGCAAGTCCCTCACAGACCTCTTGGGATGATCAAATGAAGAGCAGGGACGCCATGTTATGAAAAGGTGCCGTACAGAAAGAAGTGTTTGAAAGATGGATGCTGCCAATTGGTTTCCCACTTTCCTTGGAAAGAAGGCCTCATAAACAGGAGGGCTTGCTTCTCAATAAATTGCTTGTATCCTTTGGGTGCATGGGTGTGTGTACGAGAGAAGGAGAGAGACAGAAAAAAATGTTTTGCAGCTGCTTTGAGGACAAACAGAGAGAGAGAGAGAAAAGTTTCTGGCCGAAGTTTGCAGAAACTTGGGCTGCAGCCTTCCCAAGGCGAATGACCAAGTTGGGTGTCCTAACTTGGAGAAAGACCTACTGTATTTGCTTACATGGGCGCTCAGCTTTTATTCATTAATTATATCAGTTAGACTACAGATGGACACACTTCAAGCTTGCAGGTTTGACCTTGATGTTCATCAACACCCAGGTCCACTCAAGCCCAGTATCAAATCTCTACATTCCTCTGAGTTGCTTTATAAGCGGCAGATAACAACTGCAATTAAGTTGGGTTTTATTATTAATTTTACTGTGATTTGTAATACTGTATTTTATGGCCTGTGTATCGATCACGTAAAAAATAATGTGGTCTATGTTCATGTGATTGATGTGCTCTGTTTAGTAATATGTGTTTTAATGATTTACTTTCAGCCCCTGAAGAAGGCCCTGGAAAAAATACTGTGCCAAAATGTGTTGGGCTTTTTTCCAAAAGAGAAAAGAAATGAAGTTATAGGACGTTTATTGGCATTCTGAGAATTTTCCTGTTTGGTTCATATCAGGGATATTCGCAAGTATTTAGGTCTGAATCCTAAGTCCAAGTCTTTGGGTCCGAGTTCCAAGCCTAGAGCCAGAGGCTCGAGTCATTTGCCCCGTAACACTCCCAGGGAGCGCATGCACACAGACAGCAGGCCTGGAAAGGAAGCCAGGTGGGCACCTATGCATGCACAGAGGCGACCATTGGACTTCCCTTCCCAAAGCTGGCCTCTGCCTCTGCACATGCACTCACTGGCCTATCAGCTGGGTAGCGGGCGCATGGGTGGAGGGGACAGCTTGCTCCCGGAAGGATGGCAGGGGAGGCAGAAGCAGGTAGGGGAGCCCATCCCTAAGAGGGACTTGAAAATGTGACTTGGAAAGTTGAGTTCAAGCCCAAGTCTTCCCAAAAATTACTCAAGTTGCCAATGCAACTTCTGATGGACTCAACAGCAAGTCATGATTTATGAGTTTCCATCCCTGGTTTATATGCTCCTATCACCGCAGCCATTAGTAGCAGCACAAGAAATCATATAAAACCAAAAGTCTATATTAAAGTGCCACAATTTCAACAACAATTAGAAGTGAAACCTGAGAAAACACTGCAGGAGGAGAACCATCCTTAAACCACAGTGAAATACAACGGTAAAGATATGAAAGTTGATGTTTATAAAATTAAGAAAGTGATGCTGGTCCAGGAGGGAAAAGAAGTCTAAACGCCACCTCTGGGGAATATCTTTGTCAGGACTAATTAAATCTAAGTGTGTAAGCTTCAGAGTTTTCCAGAATTCTTCATCAGACTAGATGGGACAAAAACAGGAGGGGATAGAGAAGAAAGAGGAGTTGGTCGATGAGAATTTATTGCCGTGAGGTCTGGAGTCTAGAGACTACAAGCTGACCGAAACCTTTGTTTTAAGAAATGGAGACTGGCCAATGCTTCTTTATCCCAGAATGCATCACTTGGTGGTGTGTGATATCTACACATCTACCCATGATTCTTTATGCTTGAAATGTTCATTGTGAGAGGCAGTTAAACCATCAAACCTATGGACGCAACGGCTTGCTAATTTTATAGGAAGAATGTGATATTAATTATTGGAAACATTGCTGTGGAAAGATTAGTACCCTGAATTTGAGTTTTGAAACGAACAAGTAACCCATGAATTTTGATTAAGCTAAGGAGGCTTGGGCTTAGCACCTGTACTGTGACATATCTGAGCTGAGATGGACCCATCAAAAACCTGTCTGCCATCTTCTGCAGGAACGGATCATTCTAGTTCACTTCCAAGGCCAGGCCCACATACTTATTGTACAAGCCAACCAAGGGGCTACTTCAGCCAAACTACTTTGGTCCAGAAAAAAAGCTGGCAAAAGATACTCACTGTTATTCAAACCACCTGGACTTCTAATGAGGAGCATGTTCTTAGGTTCAAGGTGTAAACCTAATATTTTAGGGGGGAGAAAAACTCACACAGAACAGAATGTATAACCAACTATCCCAAAAACACAGATAACATAAATAGAGATAGAATATTCATATTTGTATATGAATATCCTGGACTCAGGTAGCCAGGAAGCCCAGTCCCACCTCCGTGAACTGATCTGTCCGCTTACAGGTCACCACATGGCACTCACGGCCAGTTTCCTGTTCATCGTGCCAATTTCAGATACTGTATATCTCAGCTGGTGCTTCTTTGCCTCCCTACACTGCTGGCCACTCTAGCCACAGGTGGGATGATGAATCTCCCCACTCAGCTGCTGAGTGGCCAGAAGTATAGGGAAGCAGAGACGTGCCAACTAGGCTACGTCCGAGATTAACACGATGAGTAGAACACTGGCCACACATGCTGTGCAGCAACCATAAGTGGACGGGTCAGTTTGTGGAGGTAGGACTGGGCTTCCTGGCCACTTGGGTTCAGGATATTTATATTTGTGTACTGTGAGACTGGGGGCGAGAGGAAGGAGTCTCTCACTGGAGTGCCATCCTTTCTACAGACCACTGAGAGGGAAAGCCAGACCTCACCCACTCCAGCTCCCCACAGAAGAGAACAACAGGGCACTGACACTCGAGATTTTGAGAGGGAGTTGCATGGGTTAACGGTAGCCATTCAAACAGAGGATTTGGCTGGAATAGGAAGAGCAAAGAGGGTGGAGATTTAGGCGGGAACAGCGGAAATAAAAAGGGGAGAAAGCCCGTTGCTGCCAGGTTGGGAATGGGTGTGGCTACAAGACCCATGGACTAGAGAATGGGAGTGGCTGTGGGTTCTCAAGGAAGAGGCTGACTAACGGCGCCGGAGAGAGATTCCCCGGCTTAGACCACCCAATTGGGGTGAGGCCGAGCCCTGAGAGTGGCGGACGAGATTGAGGGAGGGAAAAAGAGAAGCTGGAAAGAGAGAAAAGGGAAAGATTGGCATGGAGGGTAGAGGAGATGAAGAGGAGAGGCTTTCAGGAGGACCCTGGGTGACCTTTCCCCCAACAAGAGACGCTGGGTGGATCAACACCCCCCCAGAGGACAAAGCCGTTCCCCTATTGGAAAGAGAGGTTGGAGAGGTTGTGAAAGACGACATGATGACTGGGTGGCCAGGACTGTGGAAAGTTAATGTGTGTTAACACAGAGTACTGTACAGCTTTAATGCTCACTTACAATTCTGTTGTACTGTAATATATTTATCATTAGCAATATTTTGAAAAAGTATTTATATAACCAGCACTGTGAAGATACTACTTCTTATTAGCACTCTCCCACATCCATGAACAATGTGTATATGCATGTGTGGCCCAAATATTGCACACTATGTATCCGAGGAATTAGATTTCAGTTTATTAAAGTCTTAAACATGCTATTAGACTTTGGAAATCAATGCTAAGATTTTAAGATCTTGAAAAAAATCGACTTAAGATTTAGGTTCAAAGAATAGTACAAAATGTGTGCCCCCTAGTGGCTTCTAGTCATCATGGCTGAATATTCATGAGTTTTAAAATGCCATGTTAAAAGGGCTAGTTTAAAGCTAGGCAGAAAAGGGTGGGCTAAAATCCATTTCAAGTTAGCATGATTAAAAAATCCCTTCCAGAGATGCTTTGGGTTTTCTCAGGTTCATATACTCTTGAGTGCCACCAATCCAAATCAGCAGGAGATTTCCCTGATGATTTGATAGAGCCGTGCAAGACCCATCACACGTTACAACATCAAACAAGAATCCTCTGTGTCCTGCAGATTTGACGCAGCAGAAATCAAATGCTGACTCCTACTTTTGTTGTTTAGTCATTGTTGTGTCCAACTCCCCATGGACCAGAGCACGCCAGGCCCTCCTGTCTTCCACTGCCTCCCAGCGTTTGGTAAAATTCATGTTGGTTGCTTCGATGACACTGTCCAGCCATCTCATCCTCTGTCGTCCCCTTCTCCTCTTGCCAACATCAGGGGCTTTTCCAGGGAGTCTTCTCTTCTCATGAGATGGACAACATGTTGGACCCTCAGTTTCAGGATCAGTCCTTCCAGTGAGCACTCAGGGCTGATTTCCTTTAGAATGGATAGGTTTGCTCTCTTTGCAGTCTAGGGGACTCTCAAGAGTTTCCTCCAGCACCAGAATTGAAAAACATCAATTCTTAGGTGGTCAGTCCTCCTACTACTGGAAGTCAAAACACCACTAATAACAAATCACCTGAACAAGTGGGAGCGATACATAGACAGACAGCAAATCATTTTAGATATATCTTCCTCCACCCTTTGCATTGACTTCTTTAAGTAACTACTTGATGGTATGCAAATTGACACAGGTTTTACTTCCTCCTCCTTCTTGTTCTTTGCTACAGAAAGGAAGAACTTGAGGTCTCCTCCATGATGGTTATCACTAGTATATTTCCATGCATAAAAGCAAGTATTTGGAGCTTCTATGACCCAGCTTCATCCTTCATCCTGCACTACCTCTGTATGTTTTTCCAGAAGAAATAAATACAAGGCCAAAATCTTGTTTTGCAAGAGGAATCTTATAATTTGCTATGCTGGACATGTGAGCAGAAGCATGAGTGGGCAAAGGGGGCCTCCCCGCCTCATCAGTTTGCCATAGCAACTTATGAGGTTTCTTTTGTTTGTGTGTGTAAATCTCAACAGGATTTTGATCAAAGTTCTTTTCCAGAATGAATACTTCTGTTTAACAGATAGCGGCCCATAGTAACAGAACTAGGCAACTGCATTCCACTGGTATAATTCATACAAGTATTTCTGGAAGTTTGCTTTTCCCAAAGATTTCTGAGACACTTAAGTGCTAGAAAAATAAAATTAAGTCCAAAATATTGACTTCCTACTTAAAAAACAGTTCATTTTTATCTTGTTTGTACTGAAAAATCTTGAAAATGACAGCTAGGGGGGAAAAACTTGACCGGCTACTGCAAATTTCATATCTCAATACCAGTTTCCTCAGGCTCCCAATTAGGCCCACAGATAATTAGCTTTAAGTGGCATTTGATAATATATATCTACTGGAGTCTTCTGTTAGCTGGTACAAGCTGAATGAGTATCTGGGGGGGGCGGCGTAAAGACCAGTTTCAAAGAAACAGGGCAGAGAGCTGGACAAAAGACAGATGAGAATGGAACACCAAGGGTTTTTAACCTAGGTGAAATCAGATATGCTTGGTAGCACAAAATACACTACCACAGATCGACTCTCCCTATAACAGATTCCTCATCACTTGAAAGTAGTACCTTCTGTGACTACCACATTCACAGCTTCCCCGGAGTCCTGTAAGTATAAAACAAAGTTCAGAACATTATTTTTTTCAGTATGAACTGGTGGTAATGTTACTGATTGTTCCGAGGCAATCACGCAACTCTTATCCTTCCTCTGTTCACCCTGTCCCCAAACCAAATTGCTTAATCCCAACATCCTGTTATGCTAAAGGGAAATAGTCTCTGGTCTCCTCTACCGGCCTATCTTGATATTGCACCTTGGGCCATCCATCAAGAGGCCTCCCACTTAGGGTGACCCCAGTGGGCTTTGAGGTGCAGAAGTTCCTAGAATGTTTTGTCTTTGCCACTCTGCAGTGAATTTCCAGTCGGGTGGGGGTCTAAACCTGAATCCTAGCAATCCTAGCGCCACACCCTACCCATTGACGACCCCACACTGGTTCCGTGTTTGCTTACAAATATACAAATATACAAATATACAAAACAAAACTCCCTGGCCACTTCGGATTGATAACGTAATAGCTTAAAATGTGAATGAGTCTTGTCAAAATGTCTTAGAATGCCCTTTAGAAGCAGCTGCTGAAAAGAACTAGAAAATATTATTTGCACAAAAATAACACCACTATCTATTAATCTTCTGAAACGGTCCCATCTTCTTTGCCAGAAAGTACCGCTTCCCCGGCGGTAACAGTTCCTTTTAACCATGTTCCCTATAACTAGTAGTTACTTTTAAACTCTGGTGGGGACAGGAAATTTAATTTTTGTCTGTGAGAACTCCAGTGAGCCTCTCTTTTCTAAAGGAGCTTCCCTTTTCTAGCTGTACTTTCAACAAGTAGATCAGGGATACAAACCTAAACTGTCCTTTAGAGGCAGACCCCACTGAAAGGCAGGAGGACTTAGATTCCATATAGACATGCTGAAGACAGTTAAGTATTTTATTTCCTCTCTTAAGGAAATAAATTGCTAAATTGATCCCCAGCTTTAGCACTTTACAGTATATTAGTTCTGCAGTCCCTGGTACTTAGTCTTTTGCCCATTACTTTCTATAGACTCTAAATATTTCTGTTGGGATCTAAACTAAACTAAATATTTCTGTTAGGATCTATGACTAAAAGGCATCTTATAAAGGGAGGCACGGAGAACCTCGTTTCGATGCACAATAAACACAACGATCATATACCCAACAGGTGCAGATTTCTGTATCTACAATCATTATGTACACCTTTTAAAAACTGTACTAATTTTTTAAATCGGAAAAGCGAGACTCGAACCTACAACTCCACGCAGAGCGCCCCCTGAAATGAGAGCCTCGTGGATGAAACCATTCGCTTGGCGTGCAGCCGAGGATTGGAGGCGCGCTGAGCCAAGAGGCGTGGCCCAATCGGAGCCAAAGGGCGTGGCCTATTGAGCCTCAAACTGGCCAGAGGGCGGGGCTTCGCGTTCAGTGGAATGTTTTGGGCGCGGCGCTTCCGGGTTGAGTTCATGACGGCCGAATCTGATTCAGGCGAGCCGAGGCCTGCAAAACGCTAACATTGCAGCCTGCGCGCATGCGTCCTAAGGGACCCTCAAGCCGCAGCTCCCGCGGAGCGCATGAGCAGTAACCGTCCCTCCGTTTCCTAGGCGAGTGCATGCGCAGTGTTGTCGGGCGGTGTCGGTTCCGGGTGAAGCGGCGGCAGGAGCGGCTGTGGGAGCTTCTTGATTAGATCGGCCATGGCGGCAGCGGCGGCGACAGCAGCCCCGGGCGGGGCAGGAGCCGTGCCGGTACCTGGAGCGCCGAGGCTGGGAGTGGAGACGGTGAAAGGGCAGGTGTTTGACGTGGGGCCGCGTTACACGGATCTGCAGTACATTGGCGAGGGGGCGTACGGCATGGTCTGGTGAGTGAGCGCGAGCCGTGCGGAATGGCCCTGCCCGGGTGCCGTACGCCGGTGGAACGTCCAGGGCTGGGCTGGCCAAACTTATGGTCCCAGATTGGCCCAGCGCGGTTGCCGTATTTTCTCCGCCATATTGTTTCTTAGTTACTAAGCCCTGTATCGAGGGCTGCTGTCGTGTTGTCAGTGTTTCTCTGCGCTCCCCTCCATGGGTCCCTTCCCTCTTTGATCCCCAGCGCTTCGTCCTCTTTCTTACAAAGATATGTCCTGCCCGTTCCCACCCAGCCCCACCCAGATCTCGCCTGTGGCATATTTATTCTGCAAGTGGTCCCTCTCAAACTTCAGTGTACAGTATCTGGAACAACCCCATAAACACACCCGAACCCTGTCAAGTCATTGTTACAGCTTGAAGCCCCTCCCAGGGACGGGCTTTTGTAAACCGCTATCTGCTTAAGCCGATCTCTACCAGTCTTGTGAACGCCCACAGTGCCTGGGCTCTGATTGGTGGGAGCACCCGTTGCTGCTGTTGCAAGGAGCAGCAACTTTTGAAGAGTAAAATGGGAAGAAAATCGTTGGGCGCTGCTTTCTGATTATTCCTCATTGTCAGAAGGGAAGTTAAGGTGGGCAAACTGCCTTGTCGCACAGGTGTAACACCACAGGAGCCAAGAGTTGGTTGGTTCATCCTGCGGCCAGATCTTTTCTTGGCTTGTAGTTATGAAGAACTACATAAAGGTGTCAGCTCTACTGAGTTCGTGTCCTGTGTACACTATTAGACCTGCAGCCTAAATAATTTCAGTTCAATTGCCAAGTTGCTCCTTGGTTCTTGCTACGCATGCATACAGTATCTGCTTTTACACTCAAAGGTACATTTGCCCTACAGCTTCTGTGTTAATGTCACTGTACAACTGTCTTAGAACTTTCAGGAGGGCTGTACATGCATTTGTTGCATTCCCAACTGATGCTCCAGACAAGGTGTTCTTTGTATTGTTCCAGCATGCCAAACCCACCCACCAGACTCTTGGGCGAACAGCTTGAATTTGGCAGCTGTACTTGTACTTCAAACTCTAAAACCCCTTTGCAAGTAACTGTCGATTACCATGTTAATAAATGTCTTGTCCCTCTAGGTGTTGGCACTCATGCTCTTAGTCCCAACAGTTCCAAATTGCCTAGTGTCACAACTCTCTGGGTCACTACTCTCAGACCTAGCAGCGTTGTCCACTACTAGCGTCTGCCAAATTACTGTTTCCTGTGCCAGACCACTGGCATGTGTGAATAACTGTTATTTGTAGTCTCTTATCTGTACTGATATATTTATTCTTTCCTCATTTTCTCTATTACTTGTGTTTTCCACCTCACTTTGTTACTGCTATCCTTGAATTAATCCAGTTGATTGAAATCCAAAACTGGGATGTTCACCAAGGGGTTTTCTGAGTGGCTTCTTGGATGCAGTTCTCCATGTTAGTGGTTCATGTCAGCTACCAGGTTGCTGTCTTCCAGTGGGGGAGAGGAAAATGGCATATGGCAATTTTGAGAAGGAAGGTATGCATACAGAAGAGACCACCTCGGTATGTGCAAAAGCTGGGGATTTTGCTCCATATTGGAATTTGCTTTCTTTTCTTTGTAGTTCTGCCTATGACCATGTCAACAAGATCCGGGCTGCTATCAAAAAGATAAGTCCCTTTGAGCACCAGACATACTGCCAACGCACACTGCGAGAGATCAAGATCCTTCTGCGCTTCAAGCATGAAAATGTCATCGGCATCAATGACATTCTGCGTGCGCCTACCATTGATCAGATGCGAGACGTGTATCCTTGCAAATTATTGCTGCTCTTTCCAAGTATAAAAGAATACTATCTGAATGGATGCTTTTATGCACAGAGGACATGGACTCCTTATTGTGATCTGCAGGGGCTATGCTGCTGTATTTCTGTTTTGGTAATTAAATATCGGCTATTTTGTTAACAAAACTGAGCTTGAAGCCAAATTATCATTTGGCAGATAGATGGATGAATGAAATTTAAAGAATAGCATGAGCCTTGGATCTGTTTCAGCCTCAGCACCTGCAGTCCATCTTTGAACCAAATGTCAATCTTGGAAACTTGGAGCTGATTCAAAACATAAAATGATATGTTTTGTGTTTGCTGGAGATAGCTTGTACCATTACCTGTATTGGTTTCTTTTTACTTGCAGGGCATGGCTCCCAGTATTAAGCTGTTAATGGTTTGGACCTAGGAAATTGTTTACTCCTATGTATGTATGTATGTCATCTTAGTTTAAGAACATCTTCTCATTGCCCCCCCCAAATACATTTTTAAATCATAACCATGTAAAGAGGTGATAGCTATAACTGCCTTATGACGATGAAGATACATTTGGCTGAGGATTCACACATGCTAGTTGCCCCTTCTTCCTGGCTAACAAACAACCCAATTGGGGGAAGATGTTTATAGGTAGCGTTATGGGTTATCTGATTGTGGGTGCACAGCCCCAAAAACTGTGTACACTGTGCAGAAAATTAACTTTCCTTGACTCTTCTGCTTGCCTCTCCTTTCCTGGAGGGGATGCAATTTTATTCTTTTCAGATACATAGTTCAGGATTTAATGGAAACAGATCTCTATAAATTGCTGAAGACCCAGCAGCTCAGCAATGACCACATCTGCTACTTCCTCTACCAGATTCTCAGAGGGCTAAAATACATTCACTCCGCCAATGTGCTTCATCGGGACTTGAAGCCCAGCAATCTTCTCATTAATACCACGTGTGACCTGAAGGTGGCATTCAGCAGCTTTTGCTAGATTTCCCTGCTTCCTTTCCTTCTGACACCAACCTCTTCCAGTAGCATTCTGCATTTTGCTTAAATCTGCTCTTTTTTCCCCCTAGCCACTCTTGCATCTCCCTTTATTTTATCTCTCCTAACAGATCTGTGATTTTGGCCTGGCCCGGATTGCTGACCCAGACCATGACCATACAGGTTTCTTGACAGAATATGTTGCTACTCGCTGGTACCGAGCCCCAGAAATTATGCTTAATTCCAAGGTAAGTTGTATAGGATGGCTGAAGCTTAGAAGCCAGGACACCTAAGAAAGGAAACAGGGATACCAAGTCTGTTCGAGTAGCTGTGAGATTTTCCAACATTCCTGGGAAGAAAAGCAAGGTCTAAGCATGGACACAAAAACAGCATGAAGACATTTTTAAATGTTCCACAATTGTAAAATGAAGGTGTAGCTTACACTTGGTAGAAGGGTGTTGTTTGAATACTTCACTGGAGTGAAAAACACAAAGCGACAACGTCATTATCAATTTTCTTTGTTTCCTGCCTGTTATCTGCCAAGGCTCATGTGACTGAGCCTACTCAGACTCATTGCCTGTTAACTCCTTAAGGCCCCAGTGTCTTGCACCCTCTACCACTTTCCTTCCATTTCCTTTCTTGCCCTTCTCAACCGTCTCTACGTTTCTTGAAGCACCACTTCATTTTTGCTGTTGATAACATGGAAGCCTCTCTCTTTTGCTCTTCATGTCATTGTTGGCTAGGCAGGAACAACTATTGTATTCCAGTCAGTCTACTGTACTTCCCTTGGGTTCACTAATATTCTTTTCTAACAGAGGGTTTGAGATTTAATTTATTCAATTGGTTGTTGGGAAGTGAGGGAAGAGCATCTCAGTTCATGAATTAGTATATGTGGCCCTGATAGATGACAACAGAGAAGGACCAAGATGCCCCAAATTCTGGTTTCTTTTTCCGTTTTTCCCCAATTCCCAGGGCTATACCAAGTCCATTGATATATGGTCTGTGGGCTGCATCCTGGCTGAGATGCTGTCAAACCGACCCATCTTCCCTGGCAAGCATTACTTGGACCAGCTCAACCACATCCTGGGTAAGGAGGAAAGAGGAAGAGCAGAGCTCTTAGCAAGATTGCATAAGAGATATTTTCTCAGTTTGCTGTTGAATGATTGATTCTACCTTTCTCCCAGTCTCTGACTGCACTCTTTTCAGTGTCTGAGATTTTACTTGTTATAGATTTAATGCCTGTTTCTCCAACAGGATGTATTCTATTCTAGATAGTCAGTGGCTTTCTGTCTACATACTTTTACAGGTATTCTGGGTTCCCCATCTCAGGATGACCTGAACTGTATTATCAACATGAAGGCTCGCAACTATCTCCAGTCACTGCCCCAAAAGCCCAAAGTTCCATGGGCCAAACTGTTTCCAAAAGCTGATCCCAAAGGTAAGCGAGAAATAATGCAGAAGATGCAAAAATCGCATAAATTAAAGGGTACATTGTCAGGGGCCCATCCTTAATTTCACTACATACCAGAAGACTCCTGTTCTAACAAATATTTTTGTCTTCATTCCATATTTGTCAGTAAGATGAAAAGTAGGGTCCTACAAGCATGTAGGACTATAGTCTTCCCTTGTTTTTTAAATAAAATGATGGAGAAGCATCCATCCAAGTTTGTGAGTGCACTCCAGATTTTTCACTAACCTCACATCAGATGTGCATCATGTTGGGCCTAGCTTTATTTCCAATTATTTGTGTGTCTCCCCCCTCTTTTTTTTTAAATGACAGTTGTTAGACCTAGGAACTAATAGGGCTGAGTTGTAGGCAGAAGAGAAGATTTGGGGTGTGAATTGAATGGAATTAAAGACAGTTTTTTAGAACATAAATCTAGCATACAGTACAATTGTGGTCTAGGTGCTACAGTATCTAAGTTACCTATCTTTCCATACCTGCTAAAATTTCTATACCTGCAATGAATGATGCAGAAGTTTTAATCCGCTCTGGTAGCCAAAAGGTATTTCTGCAATACCTAATATGGCAAAATGTGCATAATAATGTTCCCATTCCCCTCAGCAAGTGGTAGCATCTCATCTCTAGAATTAAGAAGAAAGGCTATTGGGTTAAAATGATATTGTGCTGCAGATGCCTGAGTCTCCTGAAAATTAAATGTTTTCCAAGTTTTGGGGAGCAGACCCCAACATTGCACAGCCAGCAAAACCAGGGTTCTAAAAGTTAGGAATTTGCCTTTCTCACCACCCAAAAGATATTCTGTATTTTATTCTTTCCCTGCAGCAGCCTGCTTTCATCATCCTTTTTGTTTGCCTGTTAATTGGACTTTTTTGTGCCATGCAAAGGGAGAGTGAGAAAGGAGCCAGTTGCAAGTGGGACTGGGGAACAGTAAAAGGCTGCAGGGAAATGGACATAGTAATAAGCAAAAGAGATTTGAAACTGCTTTTTTCCTGTCCATTCAGTAAATCATATAGCACAGAGCCACCTACAAATAGCAGGAGGTGACAATTTGACAACAGTCATCTATTCCTTTGTTATATAGCATCTTTACAGGATATTCTGTAGGTGGCTTCCTCAGAATCTCCACTTGTTGCATTGTGCAACAGCTACTAAGTAATACACAAGTATCAAGAGTTTATGATACTGATAATCTGCCCAGATTGCAAATTGCTTCTTGGGCCCCAAATCAAAGTGCTGATTTTAACCTTTTAAAGCCTACAAGCCAGTTGGGGGTCTCACTATTTAAGAAAATACCCTTGCTTATTACAAGCCTCCCCAAGATTAAGATGATCAGGATATGACCTATTGAGAACACCAGTACCTCTAGAGGCCAGCTTGACTAGCACATGAGGAAGGCTTTATCTTGTGGTGAACCCCAGGCTTTGGAATGCATGCCCTTTTAAAGCTGCAGTTCAGCTGACCAGATAGTTTCGTGAGTTAGGTATCTGGCTGTGGAGTCAGAGATTGAGTTCAGATACTCACTGTACCTCCTGGGAGAAAAGCCAGTTTGTATAGCCTTGGGTCCCAGAAGAAAGGAGTGGTAAACCACTTCTGAGTTTTCTTTACCTGGAAAGGGTTGCCAAAAGTCAGATCAAGTTGATGGCATGCAATTATTAACTGGTTGAAGACCAGATCATGTAGGGCTATTTTCCTAGCAGATGGAAGCTACAGCAGGGGCCTCTCATTATCTTATAGGATCAAATGGGGGTAGAGAATGATCCTATTTTATTTGTGATCTGAAGTTAGGAGTAACCAAGGTTGCAGATGACACAAAAATTACTCATGCTAGTGAAATCCAAAATAGTTTTTGAAAAACCCATATGAATATATAATATGTTTGCTTCTCTTGTAATGTTTACTGTCCAGAGATTCAAGTTGAGGTCATTACTATTACCTCATATGTAATCATAATACTGTACCTGGAATTGGATCTGGAATGGATGCATACAATACATGTATTCTAAGCTATGGACCCACACCTTATTTCAGGAGCAGGTTTCTAAAATGTACATGTGGACATAAAACAGTAATTTACCCCTTATTTCAGGAGCAGGTTTCTAAAATGTACATGTGGACATAAAGCAGTAATTTGAGAGTCAGTATTGTGATGCACCTTAGACAGAAATCTTGATATACAGACTGATGTGGTCTGAATTGGTTCTAATGGTCCAGGAAAGAGGTCTTCAGGTTGTAGTGGACAGTTCAGCGAAAGCATGAAACTAGCATGGCAGTAAGAAGAGGCTTTCAGAGAGCGGAAATTATTAGGAAGAGTTGAAAATGAAAATAAAAACTGAATAGCTATCTGCTGCCTCCTGTGGCTCCATTCCATTTCTGTATTAACCATTTGTTTTTCCATGTACAGTGGTGCCTTGCTAGGCAATTGCCTCGCAAAATGGTTTATTCGCAAGACAATGAATTTTTGCGATCACTATAGTGCTTCGCAAAATGGTTTTCCCTATGGGCGATTTTCGCTGGACCATGTTTCAGTCTGTGCTTCACAAGACGGTTTTTTTCCCCAGGACCGTTTTTCGCAAGATGACGATTTTGACAGCTGGTCTGTGCTTTGCAAAACGGTTTTCCCTATGGGTGATTTTCGCAAGATGACAACTATTTTCCCCATTGGAACGCATTAAATGGATTTCAATGCATTCCAATGGGGAAACCGCATTTCACAAGACAATGTTTTCGCAAAACACCGATTTTCACGAAACGAATTAAAATAGTCTTGTGAGGCATTACTGTATTAGTGTGTTTTTCCTGTTGCCATCTGCTGTCTGGTTGATCACAGTGCATCCTCTTTTGGTTTTCTCTCTTTTTAGCTCTGGACCTGCTGGACAAAATGTTGACCTTTAACCCCAATAAGCGCATCACAGTGGAGGAGTCCTTGGCCCATCCTTACCTAGAACAGTACTACGACCCTTCAGATGAGGTGCTTTGGTCCCTTGGAATTGAAGACTTTTCACATTACAAAATTACAGCAGGTCCACTGGCTGCTGATCTGTTTCCAGGCAAAATTCAAAGTGCTGGTTTTAATCCCAGAAAGTTCTAAACAGCTTGAATCCAAGCTATCATAAGAATGGCATCTTCCTTTATGAGCCTGCTGAAGTATTAAGATCATCGGGATGGGGTGGGGGGGCTTTCTCTTATTCCCACCATCCTCACAGCTATGTTTGGCAAGGTAATAGGAGAGGGTGTTCTCTGTCGCTGCTCCCAGATTCTGAAACGTCCTTCTATGGGAGGCCAAGCTGGCCCCATCTATGCTGTCTTTCTGGAAGCAGGTGAAAACCTTTCTCAAGCCAGCTTTCCTTTAAGGATTGGCTAAGAGTTTTTTTTTTCCTTTAAGAATTGGCTAAGAGGATTTTAGGGACGTGGTGGCGCTGCGGGTTAAACTGCAGAAGCCTCTGTGCTGCAAGGTTAGAAGACCAGCAGTCGTAAGATCGAATCCACGCGACTGAGTGAGCTCCCATCACTTGTCCCAGCTCCTGCCAACCTAGCAGTTCGAAAGCATGTAAAAATGCGAGTAGATAAAAGGTACCACCTTGGTGGGAAATTAACGGTGTGCTGTGTCTAGTTGTGCTGGCCACGTGACCACAGAAACTCTTCAGACAAACGCTGGCTCTATGGCTTGGAAACGGGGATGAGCACTGCGCCCTAGAGTCGGACACGCCTGGACAAAATTTCAAGGGGAACCTTTACCTCATCTTTTAAGAGGGTTTTTAAAAATAGGACGGGTTGTACTTTTGTTGCTTTTAAATCTGCTCTACTAATGCTTTTAAATCTCATATTTTTAGTATGATGTGTATTTACTTTTTAGAAAATACACATAATTTGATTTTAGGTTTTAATGTTTTTTTAATGAATAAAGGTGCGGTAAAATATTTTAAATGAAATGATAAATAAATAAATCTGAGGATAGGGAGTGAAAGAGGAGGAAAATAGAAGAGGAAGGCATTTGGAAACTAGGATTACTGGGTTTTATCTCTCCCTCTCTTTCCTCATTTGGCTCCCCCTAGCCGGTTGCTGAGGAACCATTCACTTTTGACATGGAACTGGATGACCTGCCCAAAGAGAAGCTGAAAGAACTGATATTTGAGGAAACAGCACGATTCCAGCCCGGCTACCAAGGGCCCTGAAGGGCAGTTTGGACCACTGGTACGTTTCTCTTCTGGGGATGCTAGTGTACAGCTGGCTTACTATCGCCTTTACAAACATAGAAAGCATCTTTATATGGAGTCAGCCTGTGTAGCCCATTATTGTCAACCCTGATTCATCATCACTTTCTCCAAAGTTTCGGACAGGATTCTTAACCGTGTTTGGTGATATGCCCAGGGTTGAATCTAGAGCCTACTGCCTATAAAGCATAAGACACATCACTGAATTATGCCTCTTCCCCAAATGTTGTGCCTAATATTTCCTGGAAATTACCTATTCAAGTATTAACCAGGTCTGACTCTCCTTTGCTTTCAAAAATCAGATGGATTTGAGCATGCTCCAGGGTTTGATGGTTGTTTTGACCTAATAGATGCCTTAAATTACATTTATATGATAAAAAACAAAGTTGCATAATAATCAAGATACAAATAATAATCTTAGAACTGCAGAGGTAAGATATTATTATTTATTTGTATTCTGTTACACACACACACAAATAATGTGGAAATGGCACGGCTTATGAAGCTATGTTGGTTTCTATCATATAAATGTAATTTAAGACATCCTTAAATCAAAACAACTATCACATTGGTAATATTTCTGTGGCATTTTGTTTCTGAGCAAAAAGCGGTTCCCACAACGTACTAATCTTGAAGAAATAAACTCATGATTCATCCCATCAAACAAGTAAGTCGAGCAGCCTCCTACCATTTCCAGCAGACTTATGGAGATGATGTTTTCATCCTCTGGGATTTCCCACATGATGCGGCTGACCTGTTCAGAAAGCGCACTTAACATAAAGTTAAAAAATATATGTAGAACGTTGTTCTTCCTGATGTTTCGAGAATATATGTAGAACATTTGATATGCTGCCTGTCTGCCTAACATATGAAAGGGCCTTGACAGAGTTTCAGCTGAAGGAGTTTTGTGCTCATTTTGTGTTTCATCATTGCCTGAAAATAGCTCTGTATCTCACCCTGTTGGATGGTGTAGTGTGAGGAAAGGGAAGAAGCAGCTCCTTGGTGCTCCTGAGTGTTCCTCAGCCTTTATCGTGACATGTCAATGTTTTTTCTACTACAGAGTTCAGAAAGACACACACCTTTTTATGGATATGTGTTGTCTTTGTTTGGGCTTCCCTAAAGCAAGGCTGGCAAAGCAGCACCTGCTGCAACCAAGTGATTAAATGTTGCTGCATCATAGTTATCTATGGCCAGGACTGTAACTGTGATAATCATGAGCTCCCTTCTGCTTTCAGGTCTCTGCTTCACCAGGAGATGATTTGGGACTGCATCCGGCTCCCCTGCTGGATTTGAGGGGAGCCCAGGATTCAGGGGGTACCAATTTGGGGATGCCCCTGTCGACTTGCTGTACAACTGCGCTTTGCTACGTGGCTGTGAACCCTGGTAACCCATCTCTGGACCCCCTTAATGTGATGTGTCAGGGTGAGACCCTGGTGCCCAGATTGAGGAAGGGGAGGAACTACTACTCCCCCTTACAGGAGGGAAGGGAATTTGGTTCCCCCTACCCTTTATACCTCTTCAAAGAAATTGAAGGGGGAGTATCATCTCCTTTTTTTCTTTTTCTTTTTTTGGCATTTTATTGTCTTTGTTAATGAGTTAATAAACTAATGCTGATTTTAGCAGGGCCATTCTCTGATCCCTTGGGCATTATTAGCAGGGGAGTTGAACATAAAATCCTGGCTCCTGGAGTCTCCCTCGTATAATCCACTGAGCCCCTGCTACCCTTTGTAAATGGGAACAGGACACAATGGTTCTGTCACCCAGCTTTGCACAAGACTCCTCAAGAACCCAGGAGTCCTGGATCTTCCCTGCACAAATGGAGGGCATGACTGTGCTAACCTTTGTTCATGGGTTAGTCCCATTCTGAATTGCTTGTAATGCACATCTGACCATACTGATCACTGTGGATGACATCTGGTATGCAGTGCAAGATAAGAGCCATCAGATGCTGTCAAGTATGCCGGGTTTGAAGAGGGGGCTATATTCCCCCCCCTTCCTGCTTTAATTATGTTATTTGAAAAGCTGCGCAGATGGAAAGGAAGGCTTCTAAGTTCATCTGCTTCTTCTGATTGGAGAAGGCAGAGTTTGTGGATGTCTCCCTCTCCACCCTTTACCACCAACCCCATTTGCATCTGTTCAATTGGGCAGCTGGTTATGTAAACTCTTGCATACATCAAGATACCAACTGGTCTCTGCAACAGCACGGCACTTTGTCTTCTTGCTGCTAGAAACTAAAATGGGTGCCCTCTAATTTTTCCTTCCCCAGTGATATTTTTAAACAACGGTGTGCGTATTTTTTTTAACTCGGTCTCTTATCATGCAAAGCAGAATCGAAAAGGAGTAGAGCCTGCACTGATCAGAAAACATGAGTTTTGAAAGGGAGGGAGAGGCTGGGAAGATGACGGACCATCACATCTGTGTGTCCTGAGGGGACAGCCCAGCTTACCCTGTTAATAACCAAACAGTGTGGGTGGAGGAGATATTTCAGATACATGAGCACTAGAGCAGGTGATTCATTTTGGTGTCCGCTGTAAGTAGTAGGAGTTAAACCGCCTCATTTTGAAAGTGAGTCCTCAGCAAAGTGCTGCCTCTCATATGGATTAACTTAAGTCCTTCCATCTACATGCGTGCCATTATGGGATACCAATATGGATGAATGAGACTGCCAGAAACTTTGATTTCCCAAAGGGGGAAGTCCTGTAAGCAGAAAAAAGAATGGATTATGGGAACTTTTTTTTTGTTTCCTTGGCTTTCCAGCTGAATGAGAAGGAAGTCTCAAGCATGTTCTGACACCATTGTTCATTTGTTTAGACCAGCCATCCCCCAACCCTAGCTTCCAGATGTGTTGGACTACAGCTCCCACAATCCACAGCTGATACGCTTAATGGCAATGCTTGAGGTTGTAATCTAACAGACCTGGAGGGCACTAAGATGGGAAAGGCTGCTCCTGAAGTTAGATATGATGATGTGGGATGGGCTTCCTTTGTGTAGTGTGTAATATTTTGAGGAAACTTGGATTGAAGGGAATTAATGCCTCCCCATCTCTCTTGCTTTGAATTGTATAAAGACCCTGAAATAAATCATTCCTTTATTCCTTCAGTGTTTAATGTTATGTCTTCTTCTGGAGAGGGGAAATTTAGAATCATCACGTTGGAAATGAGCTTCACAATGTCATCTGGTCCAACTCCCAGCATTGCAAGAAATGCATAGTTACATCTCCAGTAAAGGAGAATCCACCATTTCCCAAATCAGCCTGTTCTAATGTTTAATGGCTTGTTAATGTTTCATAGGAAATGACCTTTCAGAGGGGTAGGGGTGTTTTTTTTTTTCAAGCATTCATCTCTCTGTTCTTATTAACCATCCAAGAAGATGCTGCTCCCTGAAGGAGGAAGACTTTGTATACTTAAAAACTGGTTTGTCAGTTAAGGCACACAGTTCATATTACCTCAGCATTCTATAATCAGGATTAATTGTGGACATTTGCCTATCCATTTGTTGTTGTAACTCCTTAGGAAGTGAGTAGCAGTCATTCTGTAGCTTAACGGAAATTGTTGGCCACCACTATAAGAGGAAAACAGCTGTCTAGGGTATTAAGGGTACACAAAGGGTGTCAGGAATTTATGTCTTGTCAGGGAATATGAGTATAAGCAGAGATTAGTAACATTGCTGTTATTCTTCCTAACTTTGGAGGCTGCAAATGTCAATAGGCTTCTGATGTAATTGTGGGAGCTAGAAAAATTAATATCTAAAGATGTTCCAGAGGCAGGGGGCCACTGCTGAGAAGGCCCGGTGCCTAGTTCTCTCCTTCAAGACCTCTCTTGGGGTCAAAATCTTCAGTTGCCCAGCATGGCTAGATCGAGTGACACAAGTAGAGCTAGGTGGGAGCAGGTGCTTTGCCAGGTATCAAAGTCCTAAACCGTTTAGGGCTTTATATGTAAGCATTACTGTAATACCTTGAAGTCAATACCATCAGCCAACTTCCAGATCTTGCCCAGGACAGTGTTGGGCAGCTTTGACTTGACCATCTCTTTCTTGACACTGGCCCCCATGATCTGGCCATTGACAAGCGAGTGTCTAGAAAATCTCATCATAGGTGGCTTGTCCTTGCCCACCACCCACTCCACATCGTCAATGCCCGTCTGCCCTTTCACCATAGCCATGCCCAAAGGGCCCATTCGTGGTGCCCTCCAAGGCCCCGCCCTTCACCACCTGCGTTGGCATTTGTGACTCCTCCTGCCGCACCATCACCATCAGCCAGGCAATGTTGTTTGCCTGCATGTCATCCACAGCGTCCAGCAGATTCTGCTTCAATGGCTGGAGCTTGCTGAAGTCCTGGGTCAGGAACTGCTCCTGTGTTGAAATCATTATTTGACAAGTCAGAATTAATATTCTATTAGAAGCCCAAAATGGTTCTCATAACCTTTTGTTTTCAAGTGTTACTCTAGAAGACACTGTCTTGGGTTCTGGCAGAAATTACTTTCATTTGATAGTCACTGTGTACTTGACAATCACACCAAACAAAGCTAGAAGATGATAGCATTCACCAGGAAATTTGACTGGAACTGGCAAACTCGCTATCTGTCCTTTACAGCTGGCTGCTCCTGTTCCATGTGTAGACTATAGGATATCAAACATACGTAAGTAGAACTTGCCAAGTGGCACCATTTCACCCTAAAAGGACTGTGAATGACAGAAGTTCAAAAGAGTAATGAGTAGCAACAGGCTGGTGGTTGGAAAAAGGAAAACAGTCCACTCTGTTAATGATACCATCTCTGGCATATTCATAACTTACACATTTCTGATACAGTTAAGAACAAAATTAATGTCTACCTAAATTGCATTTCCTGCCCTAGGATTACCTTGAATAGCAATTGTCCTTGTTAAACCACAATTTCAGTATAATTTTAGAAGTCAAAAAACTAGGGAGCTAGAAATCGAGTAGATAAAGAAAATGGAGATTTTGCTTATAAAAGAATATTAGTTGTGTACAAGTAACCTGTCAAAGGGCATCCCGAGTCCATTTAGGTACTACTCACCAGGGTAAAGCAGGCTAATGCTTTCTTATTAATTCAATAACACATGCACAATCTGGTAGGAAGCAGGATACATAGCAAGGCTTCTCTAAAGTGTATGTGGGCAGTGCATTCTCGAAGGCTTTCACGTCCGGAATCTGATGGTTGTTGTTTGTTTTTTGGGTTCTTTGGCCGTGTTCTGAAGGTTGTTCTTTCCTGACGTTTCGCCAGTCTCTGTGGCCGGCATCTTCAGAGGACTGGAGTAGGAACTCTGTCCATGCTGTCCATGTATATGGGCAGGTTTTTGTAGGAAAAAAAAACGTGAACCAAGGGACAATATTAGGCCTCTTCCTGTTCCAACTTCAGAATCAAACTAGCGCTCCACACAGCATGCAAATATGTTTTCTGTGAGGCCAAGAGTCAACTATTCTTTAATAGGCAGTCTCCATGACTGAGTTTGAACGGGAAAAAGTAGAGGAACTTGGCAGAGTGTCACTGAAGCACCACCCAGTGAAGAGGTACATACTGGTTTAAGGAAGATTGTTTACCACGCTGTGAACAGATGAATTATACTGTAGTCATCACTTTATAGCGTCCTTCCTTCCATTTAATAATTAGCACTCTTTTTTCAAATAGATTCTTGACCTCTGAATGCTGTTATGCAATTCTTTGCATGATCACTCATGATCTGAGAGAGAAACCAGACACCCGTCGCTTTAGCCTTGGGGGTGTTCACTGATTGGGAAGACAGGTGGGTGTATCTGAATCATGTGTTATCTCCCACTCACTTCTTGCCCTTCTCACCAAACACCACAGCCTCGTAGGTGCAAATTAGTATGTAATCTATCAAGATTCTGATTTCTTCACTTACTCTTAAGTCCTTAATGTGTTGACACCACACCTAGTACTTGCGCTTCCAGAGGAGGTGGCAACCCTCCCTGTGATGGACTGTTTCCCTTTCAGGTTGATTTATATTTCCAGCCAGTTCACTGGGTGCAGAAGAGGTGCAATGCTTGATGCACTGGGTGATTACGTTCAGTATCTGAAGTAATTTCAGCTTCCTTACTGACTGGGATTGTCTGAGACTTTGTGTACTGGCCTAGAAGAATGAGGTGACACAATGAAATTTAAAGTACAGACTTTACTATTTTGAGCACTTCACACATTTTTTTAAAATATCCCCGCAACCAAATAGCAGGGAGAGAAATTCTGCCCCGGTCTGGTCCCTAGTCTTTTGCTTGTAGGAAGATGCTGGCTTTAAAAATAGCACTCCAGCCACCGGTCTGAGGTAATCTAGTCTTATTTTATTGTCTCAGAGTTCTTCTACCTCATTGTGACACATATGTAGACCACCCGTCATCAGTGTTCCCAGGCTTATACAACACTCACTCAACAAGGTGAAAAAACCTGACAGGGCAAGAATAGTACCCAGAAACAACAGCTAAAATACAGTACCCAAAGGAGAAGATGACAGAACACCATTGGTAGAGTCACTTACAGCTACCAAGTGAGACCACTCACACACATCATCAAGGAGCTACAGACCATTCTGGACAATAATATCTTCCAAAGTTCCAGGTGGCCAGCCTGTACTTGTTTTACAGACAACATAAACTTAACTATTGTCTTGCAACAGGCCACAGAACACAGACGGAGAGCAAGACACTTCTACCAACCTAGTTGCCAATTATGTCCCCACATCTGTCTTCACTGGTTGTATCTACAGTCTTACGTATACCTGTACTGAAAAAGTTCTTTTCCCTGTTATAACTCAGTACTACTTCCTAAAAACCACTTGATCTGCACTTTCAAGAGAGCAGCCTACCATTGCTGCGCCTATTAACAGGATGTTTATGTAACCAGTACTATCAGCACACTGCCATGTACTCTGTACATAGAAACCTGTACCCTAATGATTATACTTCATGTGTCTAAGGAAGGATTTTAATCCATGAAAGTAAACACTGAAATAAAACTGCTACTCTTATTTTTTTTCTCTGTTTCTTATATATTCCCAGTCTTAGTTACAAGAACAAGTCTTTGGTGGAGATTAGAACACAGGTTGTATATGCACAGTTTTAGTGGCATTTATCCAAAGTCTTCTGGATGAAACCAACAAAACATATAAACTATTATATATACAACATAATGGGCTGATGTTACTTTACAGTAAGAATGCTTTGAAATAATTAAAGAAAACAGGCTTAAAATCATTTGCAGGGCACCTAAAGTCATAGCCTGAAGTTGGCATGATTGATCTCTGCAATATGTGTGTGTGAATGTGTATGTATTTATCTACACTACAGTATATGTGTACAGAAAGAGAGGTGCTTGTCCCCCTGCTTTTTGGTGAAATATTTAGAATGGTTCCATAAATAACCCATGAAAGTTATTACCCAAAGTTACCCCATCCTACTCTGCTGGAGCTGGCAGAGGTTACATAGGCTGAAATCTTCCACCCACAGGTCACTGAATTTTTATGCTGGACGCAGAGGAAGGAATCGTGATAGGTCAGGCCTTTGGTTTCAGTGCTGGATACAGAGACAAGATGAATGCTCCGTACTCTACCATCTTGTTCACATCTCTCAACATTTCACATTTCTCAAACTTTGCTTTTTGAAGGGAAAAGCACAACATACTGAGTTTCTCAGATTGACCCATATCTGATGTCTTCCACAAATGTACATCTGACCGTATGCAAATATGTAAAATTAATCAGGGAACAGGAAGCAATAGATAGGGATTGATTCACTTGAAACCTAAAAAGCATGCAGCTTATATACTGCCCCATAGAGCTGAAAGCACTTTCTGAGTGGATTACAAGTTAATTATGCAGGCTACACATTGCACTCCCTCCCCACAGCTGGGTACTCATTTTACTGACCTCGGAAGGATAGAAGGCTGAAGGTGTGAAGAGGAAGTCTGTCAAAAGAAAATGTAAAAGCAGAAGCAGTAAAGGCAATAAAATCTTCTATATGCTTACTCAAGATTTTATCTAGCCTCTTGCAAAGGTCATGGTCAGATAAATGCTCATAAAAAAAGATGGAAATAGCTACGGGAAAAATATATTTCCAAGAAAGAACACTGCTGTTCTCATTAATCTATTTATGAAATATTCCTGACTGGTCATAATTTTGAAAATTTTTATGAGTTTCTGAAAGCCACTAGGTAATGTCTGGGGAATGTATTACCTTCTTGATGTTGTTGTGTTGCAAATTACACAGTGCCTCACTACTGGTTATACTGGCTGTAGCCAATGGGAATTGAAGTCAAATGCGGGTAACATCTGAGGTGAAGGGATGCCTATTTCATAATCCTGCTTTATTACATAATAAAGATGATGAACAATGCTTACCCACCTCCACATTTTTACAATAAGAATGTGAATAGCACACTGATTGAGAGAGGGCAATTCCAAACCACAGCCGCATCATTTAAGCAGATCATATTGTTGCTATTGTCAGGACTGTATTTATTAAAGGAAAGCAAAGAAAGAGAATCAACCATCTTATCACACTTTAACTGTGCTTTCCACATTCTCAAATGATTAAGGAGCCATGGGCCACAACTAATCCAGGTTAAATCATCTTCAGTAGTTTAATAAAGGCAACAATAAATTAATAAATATATGACTAGGAAGTCTTTTTTTTAGCGTAGTTTCAGGGAATACAAGAAGTAACATGCAAGACAGGACTAAAGCTCCTTCTAGCCTTATCTTCTAACAATTCATCAGGCAGGCATCCAAAGCACTAGGTAGCCCGTGTGGTGTAATGGATAGTGCAGTGGAATAAGAATCAGGAAACCTGAGCTGAAATCTCCACTTGGCTATGGAAACTCACAAGGGGATGGCAATGCTAAACCACTCTGTGAACATCACAAGCAGCTTAACAACCCTATTAGGGTCATCATAACTCTGAAGTGACTTGACACCACATAACAATGGCTAACATACTCTGTCATCTGATAATCAAACAATTATTTTATTAAGTGTCATATCTATTCAAGCCCAAGTTTCCAGAACACTGCAACTCATTAAGTCTCATCCTGCTCCTTAGGAAATTAATCGCCATACTGGAAAGCCGATGTATTAAAATCTATCAGCTTAAAGATATATTAGAAGGTTTTTTTAGTTCAAACCTTCTGTTTGATTGAATGCACCAGGTGACCTTAAGCAAATTACAGCCTTTCTCAGCTTCATCATCTGCAATATGGGCATAACAATACTAACCAACCTGTAAAAATTACAATAACAATGCACTGGAAGCATATTTTAAACCTTAGAATATTACACCCATACATTACATTGTTGTAATTCCTACAAGCAGTCACTGTCACTTTATCCACTACACCACACTGGGAATCTTTTGTACTGTATTCTACTCATGACAAATAAAAAGAAGGCAAAGTCTGACAACAACCTGAATAAGGCTTTTTAAAGAACCCATTATATGTGATCAGCTACAACAGGTAATAATGTAATCTTGATGTCAGCTTTCCTATAAATATTTGCTACTAAGAAAAACAGGAGGGACTGTTTCTCCATAAAGCACTGCTTCTGAGTTTCTCAAGAGCAATTGGTCGTTCTTAGGAGACACAGTGCTAGACTATGTGGAGCTCTGGTGTGATTCAGCAGCACAGTTTGTAACATCTCCTAAAATACTATTTTCTGATCTCTGAAACAAACCATTACAAAACACCTTTTTAAACAGCATTCTCTACATTAGTGTTCCAAGGTTACAAAAGCTCAGCCTATAAAGGCAACAACGCTGTAACCAAGCAACAAATACGAACGTAACAGAAGCAAAATATCTAACAAGTCTTCACACTTTGGCAAGCAAGCAAAACACACAAACACACTTCTGATAGGGTATCTGTGGAAAGATTGGTAGCAATTAGGCAGCTGGACCATTGTTGCTGTTGTTTGAGGTGGGGGGCTTTTATTGCTGGTGCCTTCTCCGAAAGAGAATAAGCATCTCTGTCACTCTGGGTCTGACCTTCCATTTTGCTAGGGTGAGGATGTGAAGGCAAGCATGCGCCCCACAGTTGCTAGGCAACTGCCACTGCGAGATGCTGCTGTACTGGGTTCCCTTGGCAACTAAAGGATTTCCCTTTTTATCTCCTAAGGCAGCGAATTGGCCAAAACATCATCAGGGAAGGACAATAGGAGGACAGAAAGGACAGATGGGGAAGCAGTAGGGCAAGTGGCAACAAAGAAGGAACTGAGGCACTCTGCAAATATAATAAATAATAGCCTTAGAACTGCAGAGCTGGAAGGGACCCTGTGGATCATTAGGTTCAACCCCTCTCAAGGAGGCACCGTGGGGAATCGAACTCCCAACCAGATGCCTAAGCTACTGAGCTATTCAATAGTTAAGTAGCTAGGTAAGAAGAAAAGGGGAATACTTCTCAAATAGATGTGAGGGAAGGTGCAGAACTGAAGAAGATCTTCCAAGGGGGTAAAACTGGGACCTAATGTTGATAATTTTATCACAAAGGACATTCCATGTAAAGGAGCTGCCTTTTCTTAGCTGGGAACTCAAAGAGGAATTTCTATATTTCCCTCATTTCCATACTAATTTACAAAGTGGTTCAGAACATTAAGAACAAAGCACAATCCTTTAAAAGAAAACAAATAAAACTTTTTTAAAAGTAACCATCAAAAGAGTAGAGTGGGCGGAGTCTCACAATTTCAAACCCTGACAGAGCAATCTTTTTTTAAAAAGTGGGTCTGAGAAGCAACAAATGTCAAGAACAAACTTCCTATGAAAGGGTATTTTGCTATATTGAGGACATAACTGAAAAGTCCTGGATCCTAGTAGATTTTAGTGTTGCATCCATAAAAATGGCTGTGACCTAAGCACCATTTTGTTCTAAACAATCTTCAAGGGCAACTTTACGTAGAGTGCATTACCAAAGTCTAAGATGAAGGCACTGAATTAGAAACACCAGCTTAATTTCTGAATGCCTCCAAGCTTATAGACCTCATGCTTTGAGGGAGCGCGATCCCTGTCCAAACCAGATTTCCTCAGCCAACTGGTCATTATCATGTTCTAATTCACATCTATCAATCAATTACTGAATCAAAGCAATTGTTTAGGGATATAATTAGAATTGGGTCTGGATGTCATTAGCCCTCTGATATGACAACACACCAAGGAACACCTCCATTAGTTAATATGGATGTTTAAAAAGCACAGGAGACAAGACTGATTCTTGAGGATCTTCATAGAGCATTGCTCATGGGAACAAGTAAAAAATACTACCCTTCCTCCTAACCTTGACTGGAGACAGGGATGGATCTGCTATGAAATTAATGAAGCATAAGCTTCAGAGCCACTAATCCCGGAGGGGCTCTAGAAGCTACTTCTAAGTCCACATTGCTTAAAAATTTTACGTATTGGTTAAGTTTGTAAAAAAGAATTGTGGTGATCTGTTGTGGAACAACCCCACTGAAGAAGATAACAATGGTTACCCAGTCCTTGTTGCTGGTTGCCAAGGAGTCCCCATAACAGTTCAAGTTTCAGGGCCCAAAAAAACGTAGGTTCGCTACTGCTTAAGGTACAGTCCAGAGTCACTCTCCCTCAGTATCGCTTGGTTGTGTAATTACTAACCCAAGGAGGCTTGCCTGGTTCTTTTGCTATCAGTTTCACTAAAAATAAAAAAGAGAGCGTTTTTCTACCAGGCTTTTTATGTTTTGGTTCTTAACCATTTCAATGAGCCACTTTTAATTGCCAGTTGTTGGCAAGTGTGTGTTATTTATTACTTGTTTTTATTCTGATTTGTTATGTTTTTATTTTTTATTCCCTTGTGAACAACCCTGGAACCAATTTGTTGAAGGGTGGAACATAAATTAAGAGAAATAAATGAAATACATATATTTAAAAATCAGAAGGCATTTCAGTCTGAAAAATCAAACCTGAAAGTGGGCTGAAACAGATAACAAGAGTCAGCTTCATCTATAAATGTCTCTCAATCCACTTTCTTCTCTCTCCAAAATTGCACTCTGGAGATTATCCTACAGTTATCATGATAATCACCACCGAATACTGATTTCTCTAAGAATGCTGTATCCACTGCCTCCTTTAAGAAGGCAGGTTTGTGTTCTTCTGACAGTGATGCATTGATCAGTGAACTGCGCGTGTGCACAGGCACACACAACACATCCAGCTCACATAAATGAGTTGACAGAAAAAAGATTTGGGTGGAAAAAAAGCAATAAAGCAATTTCTTTCTGACCCTGCAGAAAAGGCTGGACGATTAGACAGAAACACGGATCCTCTCCTTTTCACTACAAGCAGCTAGGGATGAAATTTATCTTGTCTCAGCCAGACTCAAATATATCATAGTCAGCTGCCAAAAAGGTGGCACAATAACAAAGGACAGAAGTAACATTGATCCCTTCCTCTCTTAGACCCAAACTACAGCTGGATACCAGTGAGTATTTTAAAAGGAAAATTGCATCAGGTGGAAAGGGAGGGGGGTGTTTCACTGATACATAATACAATCTGAAGGAATTTAACTTTTTCCTGCTCCATTATTTTTCGGGGGGGGGGGAAGCCAAAACCTTTCATGAAGCTGTTATTCACATTAGAAGGAAATTCCTCACTGGCCGGCTGCCTTCTTTGGCTTCTACTACGATGTCTGAGAACTATTGGCTTAAGGAGAAGTGAGGATTTAGGAGCACTCTGGAAATTTGTCCTGTTTAAGGACACAAGTTTCCTGGTCTCTCTATCAGAGGAATGAGGTCAAGTGGTTCCAAGCAGGAAGGACCAAGAGGACATCTTGGTTTATTGCTGCCAAGAAAATTGATCTTTATCCTCTGGGAGTGGCAAGGGTTTAAGCTGTGCAGGTTGCCAGGAGGAGGGAGGGACAAGAACGCAACTTAATTGTGCGTGTGCTTATGACAAATACTGTCATTCATGCGAATGAACAGGTGCAAGGTGAAGACTGAGGAGGTTCGGGCAGGCAAAGGGGAGGGATAGGTTTCTGTATCCTCTACACCCTTTTACACACCCTTCTTCCTTCTCTTGTACTTCAGAAACCACATGAACCTGCTGATCCAGCTGTTCCTGGAGGGGATGGCAACGTTCTCTATACTCACCACATATTGCACCTGACCGAGGACCCAGGAATTCAGGGATCCAATTCTACTCGATTTCATCTACTGATGCCAGTCTCTTTCCAGAGGATCTGAAGAACCTGTTGCTCACTCTGCTTTTCCTCTTCTGCTCATAATCCATGAACATCACCATTTTCAGAAAACCTAGGTGTTCAGGCTTCAGACCATTCTTTCCTGCTATAACCCACAAGCCTGGGACTTCCAGATAACTGCCTCTACCAGTAGCACAATGGGCTACCACATACTCTTATTTGGGGTCCCTGCCATTGGGATCTATGCACTAGCCTCTCATTGCCTGCTGAAGAAGCCACATTTGCTCCACAAACCAAAGAGGTTTCCTGTTCGATGCCGACACGTTTCCCACAGAGGTGGTGAGTCTCTATTCCATTATTTGGGGATTTGGCATAAGGATCCTTTACACAGCTTGGAAAGGAGAGGTGGTATGTTGTAGTTTGAAAGTAAAGTAGTAACGCCAAGAGGGAAAAATCAGTCCCAGATTTTTTTTCCCCCAGACTCTCCCTCTGGCCTGCGGGTTGTGTATACTTTTTTCTGCTCTAGTTATTTGGACTCATATTGCTGCATTCCTAAAGCCAAGAGCACAGGTACTTCACTTCACTGAAAGGGAAAATAAGATCAAACGTTGGGCGCTTCAGGGCCTGCCTTATCAACAACCCTGTTTCTTCCCCAGGCAGCGGAGAACGAATTGAGAACACGTTGGAAGCCTTTAGCCAGTAAGTGATGCCATCCCACTACCCTTTGGCCCACCTTGAGCTGATGCTGATTCCATCCAGCCTCTTATGTTTTCCTCACTTTCCCCCTTCCCAGTGCATTGAGCCAAGGGACAAATCTGCTGGAAATTGACTGCCTTATGACAAGAGACGGGGTTGTGGTTGTGTCCCATGACGATAATCTCGAACGGCAGACAGGGCACAACATCGAGATCAGCAAAACAGACTATGTGGTGAGGACCCTTGAGATTCTAGTTCCCAATTCAGCCTGCTTCTCTTATTTATGGGTTTTGTTAACAGGGATATCCCATGTTTCTGCTATGATGAAACTCAGCGCAATGTGGAGTTCTCACTCTGTTTCCCACCCAAGCCCTGCCCATACTGAAATAAGCTTTGTTTCCACAAGGGGGTTATATCGCATGCCTGCAGACTGTTATCTCTGACATCATGCCTATATCTTGGAACCTATAGCCTAAAAATACAAGAGGTCTTGCCTCGATCCATAAAACACATGCACCCATTCTCAGCCACTTAATCCTACATCTCATCAAGAGACCAGAGTTGATCTGGTTGCCTTCATTGTGTCCCATAGGATCTGCCACCATATAAAGACTCTCTGGAGGTGACCTTTTCACCAGGTGAGTAGAAATAAGTTACTTCATGGTAAATGGCACTGCAAGAAATCAGCAAAAGATTCAGTGGGGTTCTTTTCCAGCCAAGATGCTCTGGTCCTCCTTGGTCATCCCACCTCCCCCTTTTCAATAGGTTGCTTCTCCCATGGCAACGATCATCGAATTCCAAGGCTGGAAGAGGTTTTCCAGAAATTCCCTGGTGTACCTATCAATATTGAAATTAAACAGGACAATGATGAACTCATATATAAGGTAAGCTCATTTTCCTTCTAGCATTCCCATCAGATAACTCTATAGATTTCGCCACTTTCCCTTTTGAGTGTTCAGTCTCCAGCAGTGCCTCCCCTTACTATAGTTAGGGGATGAAACTCACCACTGTATCTTTTAGTGGATTCTCTCCACCCAGCCAAAATGAGTCTTGCTGTCTTTCATGCACCTCTTAAATTTTCATGCTTCCATCCATAAAAAGGAGTCTTAATGGCACTTTAAAGTGTAACAGATTTATTGTGGTATAAATATTCCTAGCATAGAAGCCCCAGATAAATGACGATAGATCTTCTGGAAGGGTGTAAAAGCAGGTGCCACTGTGTTAATCTTTAAGGTGTTTTAAACTTCCACTTTGGTTTTTCGGGAAGAGACTCAAATGGCCATACTGTTGTTCTTGTCATATGCCATCAAGTGATCTCTGACCTAAGTAGTATAAGGGACCCTTATACTGCTGAACTATGGTGACTTTATGAATCAACAATCTCCAAAATGTCCTGTCCTGCTCAGCTCTTGCTAACTCAAGCTTGTAGCTTCCTTTTGGGAATCAATCCATTTCATTTTCTTGCTGCCTTCAACCCCTCCCAGCATTATTGTCTCTTCCAGAGAATCTTGTCTTCTTATGGTGTGCCCAAAGCAGGACAGCCTCAGTTTCAACATTTTTGCCCCCAGAGACAGTTCACACTTGATTTGATTTAGAACCACTTGTTCATCTTTCTGGCTCTCCAGGCTATCTACAAAGCTCTCCTCCAGCACCACTACTCCACTTGTTCTCCCATTCATATAATTCAGTCACACACATAGGCTCCAGAAAATAAGGCAGAAACAGATCTCCCAGTGAAATTCTATTTCTGTAGCAATCTAGGCTTCTCAAAACATTTTCGGGAATGAAGGCTGGCCATTCTGGGGTTAACAAATAAGCATTTTATTATTATTGTATCTCACTTCATACACCGCTTTTATTAACAGGAATATCAGGCATATTATTTCAGAAAAAGTCTATATATGATTTGTCACAGGACCTTCTACCCTTCTCTCAGGATTCTGAGCTCAGTTAAAATGTCAGAAGAAACTTTACTGTTCTTACCGGAGCAGATTAACTTGGTTACCCCTCCTAAGAATATTCTCCCAAAGAATAATGGTCTTTGAAATTATTGCCTACTAAACATTGAGCTGAAAGTCTGAAAGGCTTAATTACGTATCTCTATAATATACACTGATACACAAATTTAGCTTGAGTCAAATGAGCAGTAATTCTAGAGACCATCTGCCAAATCTTTTCAAACCTCAGACTTCTGCTCAGTTTCTACTGTTTAACTTACTATGAAAAATCAATGTTCCTTAAAAATAAAAACTTTGGTTAGCTGATTTTTTTTTTTGCTTTTGTTAGATGTCACACTATTGTGTATTACTATTAACAAAAAATAAAAAATAAAAATGGTGGCCCTACCCTGTCTTCTTCTCTTGCACACAGGTAGCAGATCTTGTCCGGCAATATGAGCGTTCTCATATAAGCATCTGGGCATCCTTTGAGGGAGGAGTCCTGAAGAAATGTTGTGCAGCTGTATGTATTAATCATCTTCTGCCACCATTATGGCTACCAGATACTCAGGCAATGTTTCACAGGCATTGATAAATAAAGCAATACTTTTTATTGGACAAAATGTCCATAGAAGAGTCTTCAGACTTTCGTACTACACAGGACTCTTTATATAGTCGAAAAAGAAAGAAATATCCCACATACCATAATAAACAAATCAGGGCATGTCTGAGAGACACCTTCCTGTTGTTTCTAATCGCTCAATTAGCTTCTTAAGCCTTCTTTGTTTATATTATTCATAGTTTCAAACTTGCTAAGTTATGATGTTTTCACCTGAGGAATGTTGTACCTCTGTGAAAGGGATAGGGATTTCCGACAGAGGATTCTCACGCTCTTGCATTTCCTACATTTCTTTATAGGAAGGTATCATGATTAAAATGTTTTAAATGTTCAGAATCAATGTAAATTACTCACCTATTTCTTCCCAAGGAAAGAAGGCAACCCTTTCCCCCCATGATAGGGTCACGTATATGGTGGGAAGACAGGCATACAGAGGGTCCAGAGAGTGAGGACCTGCAAAAGTCTGCTGGGTGCCTGGAGCCAATTCAGACATGTTCCTAACGCAAGTCAAGATATTACAGTCCCCATACTACCCTGTTTCCCCAAAAAGACCTAACCTGAAAATAAGCCCTAGTGTGATTTTTCAGAATGCTCGTAATATAAGCCCTACCCTAAAAATAAACCCCAGTCAAGTGAAACCCCGCCCTCTGCTATTGTGCAGCAACCGGAAGAAGATGACATGACTGTATTTGAATAAACGTAGATTGGTATACATGAAAAAAATAAAACATCCCCTTAAAACGAGCCCTTATGCATTTTTGAAGCAAAAATTAAAATAAGACTTATTTTGGGGGAAACACGTTATGTAACAGAAAATAATTTCTCCTCTATTCTCTCATCCTGCAGAACACAGAGATGCCATATATCTTTTCTCTGAAACGTGGTATTTTAATCCTCCTTCTCTACTATGTGGGACTCCTGCCCTTTTTGCCCCTGAAAGAATCGTTCCTTGAATTTGTGCTGCCTTCCCCCTTGAACAGGTGACAGCTGCATGGGGCGGTGGTGGTGGTGGTGACAGAGAGAAATGTAGAGCATTCCTAGAGTACAGATCAGCACCTGGAAGCCAAAGAACCACATGTGCTCTATTACCATGAAAAGCACAGTGTGAAAAGTGAGGTAACCATGTCAACAAGACTTGCCGGCTGCCCACTTTGGGAAATGGGTGCATAAGATGGCCAATCACCCTCCACATCTACCTCATAGCCATCCTTGTCTGAAACTAACAGCCGGTCGTAGTCCCAGAGAAACAGGCCAAAACTAAAAGTAAAAATGAGAGCTCATGAAGTATGTGCCTAACTATGGGTATTAGCCTTGACAAATGGACCTGGAAACCAAACGCTTCAACATGGAGTTCTGTTTCACTGCTTTAGTTGGTCTAGCACACTCCATTCTGTCTTTATTTCCAACCACCAATGCCCCTAAGGACATTCAGTCTTCTTTGGGTTGCTTTTCTTTGTAGGTTTCTGCCCACACATCCCCAATGTTATTTTCACTAGATTTAAAAAAAGGTTTAACATATCCAGGGCTCTGTCAAGCCCACACATGCCTCCTTATTAGTATTGGGAACTTTTGGTAAAAGGTTTTATATTAGGAATTTTGTTTTTCCTTTCATTAGCAGAGCACAAGGCAGAAAACAACAATGTGACAGATTTAGTCCAGTCTCACCATCCCTCCCTTAACATACAAATCTAGCCTTTTCTGTAGTTTTTTTTTTAAAAAACGAATCACTCTAGCTGCATTTTTAAGTAGAAAAAGTAAAGGTACAGCTACACTAGGAGCAATGGTCAAGCTTTTTGCCACTTGGGAATAGTCAGGCTTGATTAGAATAATCTAATCAAGATTTATACAGAAATGTCTCCTACCAATATCGCAAAGTGGCTTAATAAGCAAGGGGCCATTGAAAATCAGCCTGCAGCCAAAGCCATGGATTCAACGGTTGGTGATTTCTCAATTAGCCCTTTAAGGTGAGGCAAAGAAAAGTTTTTTTAAAAAGAAATTATAAGAGATATAGTGCAACAGAGTTAAGTCTTTATTGAGATGCGGATATTCATAACTGAATACGACCATCACTGTCCCAGGTGTGCCTAATATGAGTCTGGCCCTTGGAACTGGCCCGTCCACTCATGCTTCATCGCGCCACCAGCCTCCCGTTCTTCTTGCCAATCAGGGAAATAGCTCCACCATCTCTTTGCTTGGCTGGCCACCCCAGGCAGCAGGCGGGAGGACAAGTTTTCCTCGCACTGCTGCTCAGTATATACAAATTCAGGAAAAAAATAAATGTAAATAAGCATACTGTATCTTCTTCACCCTAATGCGAAGAAGAGATTTGGAATCTTTCTGTCATTGCCAAACTACACATTTCTTGGCAGTAGAGATCTGCTAAAGCACCATCTACTGCACACTGCATTACTAGGTCCTGGGAACTTACAAACAATACAGTACTTTGGGTAGCAAGAGAAATCAAGGCCACCAATGCAATTATGAACACCAAGTCAAGTAACTTTTTGTGGTTTCCGTCTGACGTACTACAGCAAACATCCATGTTTTCCACCACATTGACAGTTGGATTAAAATGCCTTTAAATGGTACTGCCTCTGCACCTGGGTTATATTTTATGTTTTTTCTATATAAGGTTTGACAAGGGAGTAAAATTAATGTTTTGTGGAATGAAGAAATGGTACAGGAGTGTGTTCAGAGGAAGACGAGATCCACTAGCTCAGAGGAAGGAACTGGAAGAAGTGAGGATTTCTTGGTGGCATGAAAGCAATTTCACCACTTTCTAATTTTGTTCAATCATAGGACCTATTTTCCAGTGAAAAAAGGCAGATTTGGAGCACTGCTGGCAAAATTTGCCTTCAAGTGAGTGACAGTAAACATTGCTTTCTTTGCTCAGTATCCTGACCCACTACCAAACCTCAAAGCATATTTCATCACCTTATCTATCTCTATCTCTTTCCCTTTATTTCTGGAAACCTATCAAGTATGTATGTGTAGGTCAAGGTGGTTAATGACACCTACAAGCCATACCTGTTGACTCTTTCGGCCAAATCATGAGTCTCCCACTGTGGCCATCACAAAACTGTTGCTAAAACATCACCAAACATTTCGCCCCTCTTTTTTCTTCTTCTTCATGTTGGAGTTGGTGTTAGTATATATATTACAGTACAAGCAGAAAAGAAGGGCTAGGATTGTACTCATGTCTTGTAAATCTTTTTCATCTTGCTTATTCCTTCTCAAACAGGGTGACAATGAGAAAAAAACTTTTCAAGCACTTGGAAGATAGAGGAATACAGGTATGTTAGAGGGAGCTGATAAATCAAGACACAGTGAAGGGAGGATTACAGTCTCTACTCCCAGGAAATTCCCAAAGCTTGAGTCTGAGCTAGAAGAGTTACAAAAGGGTTCCTGGTAGCCTGGCTTCTTGTGGCTGAGATAAATTTCTGCTGAACTGGTTTTAGCTGCCCTTTCAACACCTTTGGATGTGGGTTAGGAAGACAAAAGAAAAGAGTTGCAATTATAATTTACATTTGTATATCAGTGCCTGTCTTTCTCTCAAGAATAGAGATATACTGTAAATAAATAAGAATTGTATTCCTAAATAAGCCAGTTGTTATATAGTGGATAGAGAGGCAGACTAGGACACCCGAGACTTGGATTCAAATCTCCACTCTACCATGGAAGCACACAGAGGGAATGTGGCAATGATAAATTACTCTTTTAGTGTCTTACATAACTCAAAGCCCATATTAGAGTTAGCATACATAAGAAATGACTTACCAACATAAAACAACACAATTTCTAAGTGTATGATAAACAGCTATACAGTTCATGGTCATGTATCTGACAATCCTTAAAGTAAGACTGAACAAATTATGCTCTCACTTTAGGCTTCCCCTGTCCCAGGAAACATGATTTTAAAGTTTCAGTACTGTACATGCCTGTACACTGCTGCCTCCCTACTTCAAGCCTCTTGGGAAGATAATATATCCTCTGTGTGTTTTATGCTGTCAAGTCGAAACAGACTTCTAGTGACCCTACTAGAGCGTTCAAGGTAACTGAGATACTTAAGGAGAGGTTTTACCAGTTCAGCTTCTGCAGTGAGTTTCCATGGGGCTGAATCCTGTTCTCCAGAGTCCTAGGCTGTCACTCTATCCATTACACCACACTGAGAATCCTTAATATATCCCTTATCAAAATAATTTTGTGGCAGAATAAGAAACTGATTATGACATAAACTCTTCCTGAATCGAACCCACCAAACTCTGGACTAAGAAAGCAAGTAATACATAGAGACATGGTGCATACTGGCTGCAGGTTTTTTGCTTTTTCACTGGTTACTGCCAGCTGAGTCATTAGCATTTGCTTGTCCTCACTGGACTGGTTGGCACAATAACTACACAACAAGGCTTGTTGTTGTTTTAAATCACTTGTCATCACAAATCAAGTCTTTCCTTTAAAAGGAGGGGGAGAGACAACTGAGAAAAGACTGAAATGAAACAGGATAGCAACAACGTTGCTCTGGTTGCTCTGTAATGAGTGAATGAATAAAAAATAGCAATCCTGGAGAAAAAGGTTTGTACTTCTATATAAGCTAATTTTATCTGACCCACAAAAGTTTTCCACAATATTGCCAAATTATTTTTTCTGTAACACAGTATTCAGCTCTTCTTGTTTTGCCTATACTGTATTACTGCAACCATATGTACAACCTTACAAAGTAGCTCGCATCCATATTGCAAATGCAGACCGGAGGCTCGGAGACAACGGTTTGTGTTGTGTTTACTTCTTAATAAGCATCCAACAAACTGCAACCTCCAGGTCACAGCTGAGATAAAATTTAAACCAATGATTTCCTACCTCAAACCTGACAACCTATTGATACTTGTTCCCAGATATCTGATTCTTAGATGTACTCTTAAAATTGGTAACACGTTCATAATGACTTTACCTTATCAGGAAGTGATCCTCCTCACCACCAGCATCCTGCTGATTACAGAGTAATACAGTTGTGACTCTTCCCCAAGTAACAACATCCTGCACCATTGGGGTCAATGTTTCCACAAATAATAAGTGACCAAACTTGAAGGAAATTTTGTTTTCAGGATGACAACTAAGCTCATCTTCTTTTTAACCCCCTAATACAGATCCTTCTTTGGGTCCTGAATGAAGATAAAGATTTTGAGGAAGCCTTTAGTTATGGAGCCACCGGAGTCATGACAGATTATCCCACTCGACTCAGAAAGTATCTAGACACTCATCCACCCTTGTTCAATTAATAATCCAGAATGAGGTGGGCGACAGAGCAAAAAGGGAAAGCTTTAACATACGTATGCCTGTTACGGAATCAGAAGGAAACAAAAGCAATTCTTACCTCCATTTTGTAAGGGGGAAAATACTGTATGGGTTAAAACTATGCAACATTAAACATTATTGTTACTGATAGTGGGTATTTATTTTATTTATTTTTACATTCATACTCTATCCCTCTACTGCAAACTAGTGTTCAAGGCAGCTTATTAACATCATTAAAAAATTTTAAAAAGTACTGTAAAACCAAATTTAACAATAAAAACATTAAAATGAAGTAAAACCATGGCCACCATAAAAACCTTAAAGTCAACCATGTACACAAGGAAAAACAACACAGCAGATTAAACACTATATGCCAGTTATAAAGGATGTGTTTCTAAAAACAGTGAAAATAACAATTGATCACAACTATGACGGGAATGCTTTCCACAGTCTGGATCCACAAAGTATAAAACTCTCCCCTATGTGCCTGTTAGCATGCAACTCCATGCTAAAAGGCATGAATTGCCCCAGAATTGGCACAGGTGAATTTGAAGTATTTTTAATGATCAGATAACATTAAAGGTCAACACAAATCAACCATCCTTTTTTAGCTCCAATCTGGACTTTCTCCCCTTCTACGTATGTTTTTCTAACCACAATGATTGAAACAGCAATTTGCATATGTGATCATTTGTTTCATTCTACAAAAGGAATGGAGGAGGGGGATGACTCTGGATGGCAACATTGGGGTTTGATGTTTTAGAACAGTAGGAATGCCCACCCTTTGATCTTTCTCCCTAGTCACTCCATAGTATTTTTAATTTATTTTTTAAAAAAAACAAACTATTGAATCTAATGCTAGATCACCTTATCACTGTATTGCTAAACTAATTTAGCACTAGATCACCTCTGCAAAAAGAGAGAGAGATTAATATAAAATTGAAACAACTCAGAATAGCTCCATCAGACTACAGTATTCCCATGTTATGTGTGTATGTCTGTATATGTATGGAGAACTCTGGAAAACTGTCCCCTTTTCCTACTGCCATACAATCCTTAAACCATTCTAGTGGCTTTGACAGCAGACCAAAAAAAAGAAAACTAAAGATATGCAGGATGGCAGTAGCACAGGTAGGGGGCCTATGGGTATAGCTCAAATGAACCAGTTGTATTGACTCTTGCCTTTCCATTGGATTATTTCAGCGACATGGAGAGGGGGGATTTTCTGCTTGGGTAACAGCCTATCCTCCATATTATTTTACCCAGGCTTCGTGCTCTGGAAAGGACACTCATACAGAGCACGTTACCATAGTCTCTTGAGACTAAAGGATGCCTAAGAGAGATCAGATTGAGAGGCCAGTGTGGACACTGGCCCTGAAACAACCTGGGCTCTTTGTGTGGTCTCCTAAATTGAATGCTGTTGCAGATGAGATTGTGGATTAAGCCAACATAATGATCTAATCAGGCTTGCTAATGTAGTCACATGCTTAGGTGGTGTGTGGTTAAACTCCAATACTGCAGTCAAGATTCTGCTCACAACCTGAGTTAAATCCTGATGGGCTCAGATTGCCCACTCAGGGGTGAATTAACCTTCCATCCCTCCAAGGTCAGTAAACTGAGTGTTCAGGTCGCTGAGAGGGCAATGTGTAGTCTGCATTATGAATGTATAAATGGCCCAGATTATGATTCACCTGCTATGGTGCAATATATAAACAGCACAGCTTGCCTTAGGTTGGCCTCTGCAACTATTGCTATTTTTAAGAAGATTCTCTCCTGAAAATCTTAACACAACTGTAACTGGCATAGTAAACAAAACTATGCAAAGGCATTCTTCCTTCCTCTCACCACCTGGGAAGCCAAGGCAATGCAGAATCAAACAGGATTCCCAGACTATAAGGAGTACTCCCAGACTACAAACGTGGTCTGTCAGGTGAAGCACCACCCCTTCTTGAACAGTTTAAATTCCAATTCTTGAATCCGATTTTCGACTGACTATGAATACCTTCATCTAGTCAAGATTTTATTTCAGCTTATTCAACCTCATCCAGCTCATTACAAAGCTCAGAAACACTCAAGGGTCGTGACTGCTTATTCAAACCATTTTTCTCAAGTAGCAGTGAAATCAAGAGCCTCACCGTTCCCTGGTCACATTCTTGGCATTATCAGGAAACAGTAAGTGACAGCACAAATTTACAAACATGGTTTCCATTTGTTTTTTCTTATCTCTTTCCCAGAACCAGTAGGAACACCCAGGAGACTTAAGTTTATGACTAGTTCCTTATTCAACCCCAATACAGAAGCAGCTCGAAAAAGGAACTGAAGCTTACACATCTCTGTGTAACACTAGTTCCCAACTTCTCTACTCAATAATTGCAGCCCTTGAAGACTGACCTCAACTGTAATTTTGAGACAACAGCCCTAATGCAGCCTGCATCTTTCCTGACTTACATCTAAGACAGACATCCATCTTTCCAAGACCTTGTTGACTTTATGTCTAAGAGTAATTTTCCTGGCAAAAACCATTTTGCCATTAACTTTTGAACTTGGCTCTTCCTACTGCTACATGCCTGATGAAATGGATGGTCCTGAACCATTAAAGCTTGCAGATTGTACGATTATTTTTAAGATGGTCTGTAAGGATATTGCTTATTCTTGCATTTGTATTTTGTATTGACTATATGGCTCCCTTAAATTTCACTTAAAAAGAAGGTAGTTCAAAACACAATGCTGTATTTCTCAGTTCATTGTGCTTCCATTTTCATATTTGCTTAGATCAGCTGCAGAACTTGCAGTAGTTCCCTTTTTTACTAGAATTTCCAGATCACTCCAGCCAACATGAAATTCTCAAGTGCTTTCATACAAAAATGCATTTCTGATTTTCCCAAGCATTTTCCCCAGAAAACCAAATTAAGAGAGAAAACTTTTTAGTTGCTGCTATTTCTAGGCAGTCAACCATCAGAAACCCACATCAATCTACTGCAAATCACCCAGAGATATACCTGCAGATCCTAATCCACTTTTCTTTAATTCAATCATTCTTAGATCTTTAATGCTCAAGAGATAAGTGAAATCAGTTCTCAAAGGTGTGACAGGCATTTCTCATATCTCTCTTGAATACACTAAACTACTGTATTATGTAAGTTTCTAGACCTGGAGGTTGGCCCAAAAAAAGAAAAAAAGACTCAGGCCTCCCTCACTGGAATTTCTTCTTCAAATTATGGCATAATAATATATCTTCTGTCTGTCTAGTAATTATTTCACACTCATTTCACATGCTAGCAAGGTTATGCTCAAAATCCTACAAGGTAGGCTTCAGCAGTATGTGGACGGAGAACTCCAGAAGTACAAGCTAGATTTCAAAGGGGCAGAGAAACTAGAGACCAACGACTCCCCACACTCATTTCACATGCTAGCAAGGTTATGCTCAAAATCCTACAAGGTAGGCTTCAGCAGTATGTGGACTGAGAACTCCCAGAAGTACAAGCTGGATTTCAAAGGGGCAGAGGAACTAGAGACCAACTAGAGACTCCCAAATGGGACTGCCTGACCACCCGACCACCTTATCTGTCTCCTGAGAAATCTATACACGGCACAGGAAACAACAGTTAGAACTGGATATGGAACAACTGATTGGTTCAAAATTGGGAAAGGAGAACGACAAGGCTGTACAATATATTGTCTCCCTGCTTATTTAACTTATATGCAGAATACATCATGCAAAAGGCTGGACTGGAGGAATCCCAAGCCAGAAGAAATGTCGGAAGAAATATCAACAACCTCAGATATGCAGATGACACCACTCTGATGGCAGAAAGTGAAGAGGAATTAAAGAACCTCTTAATGAGGGTGAAAGAGGAGAGCGCAACAAATGGTCTGAAGCTCAACGTCAAAAAAACTAAGATCATGGCCACCGGAGTGCTCCCTGGAAGGACAGATCCTGAAGCTGAGGCTCCAATCCTTTGGCCATCTCATGAGAAGAGAAGACTCCCTGGAAAAGACCCTGATGATGGGAACGTGTGAAGGCAAGAGGAGAAGGGGACGACAGAGGACGAGATGGCTGGACAATGTAAAATAGTGTTTTAGGTCTCTGGCTATGGAACCAGAGGTTGGGAGTTCGATTCCCCGACTGTGACTCCTTTACAGGGGCTGGACTTGATGATCCATAGGACCCCTTCCAGCAGTGCAGTTCTTAAGGTTATTAATAGTATTTATTTAATTTTAAATTGATTGACTGACTGATTGATTGATTGCCTATCCTGCCCATCTGGCTGCCAAGTCCACTCTACTTCCTGGCTGGGAAAGTGTCCCATGATGTCTTTCAAGCCAATCTTGGTTCTCTGAATGGTTTGACCCTCTACCATGGGGCCACTTCCATTTTCAACAGATTGCCAAGAATTTTGCCTTGCGTTGTGACAAGTCCGACAAAGGTGGGGTCCGTCCGTCCCCCCACCCGAGCAGGCCAGTCTCAAGCTCTGCTGCTTTGCCCGAGGGCATCACTCGCCCAGCATGGCCCCCGGCAGCCAGACGGACGGACGGACGGCCCTTCTGCCTGCAAGCTTTCCCTCAGCAGTTTCTCTGGAAAGGGTCCAGGGTGAGTTTCCTCTTTGGTGGCTTGGCTTTCAGGGCAACCCTTTTCCAGCTAACTCAAGAATCCCAGCTAACTCTCTGACACGTGTGGTGTGGAATGATGATCCATCAAGGACCGTCTCGCTCCAAACTTTGGCTTTGTTGGCACTCTGCTACAACAACGGCACCAAGCAAGGCTTCTGATCAGCAGCCGAACATCTGCCAAGCAGGGCAGCATCCCAGCCACAGACTCTCCTTTTTCTATTACTGTAGTTTGTTTCCTTGCTTGCTTGTTTTGCAGCCGTTCCTTCCTGTGGGCAGCTCGTTCTAGGCAGCATGTTTTGAAAACATAAGCACCCTCTGCAGCCCCTGGGTGATTCTAGGTACAAAATAGGTCAAAAGTGTCTACCAGGCAGCTTGCCCCAGGCTACACAGGCCGGCTCTTCTCCTGGGAAGCCCAGTGAGGGATAGAACTCCCGACCTCTCGCTCCGCAGCCACAGACCTGCCTGCCTGCCTGCCTAAGTGATTTAACTCAGTGGGCGAGGCTTTCTTTCAAATAGGCACGGAGCTAATTGCTTGTTACACTGGCATTCGCTCAGTTTCCCTCCATGCATGAAACCAAGAGTGCGTGAGATGGAACGGACACAGAGACTCCGCAGAGTCAGGCCGGCTAAATGCCAAGGTGCCCCAAAGTCAGAGGTTGGAGGTGCCGAAAAATACCACTGCCCTAATCAGAGAACCTCCACTTTTTTGGACTTGCCTGCAGAGACCTTTTGGGGAGGGACCATAAACATCACCTCAGCATCTTCTTCTGTGCCAGCTGCAGCTTTTGCTCCAAATACATCCATTTTCTTTTCAAGGTTCATCCAGGGGAACGAGTCCCTCCCTGCCCCAAACCGCCTCTCTCTTGTGGAACTGTGTACCTGTCCTGGTGGGATGATTATGGGTGCAAAAGCAATAGGGAAAGGGAAGGTGAGGTGGAGGCAAGGCTCTGAAGAAGACCCACCCGCTCCGTGAAAGCTTCTGAGCACCTTGGACTCGGCTGGAAGCACTCGGACTGTTGCTGCCTCTGTGTGGAGCAATGATTCTTGGACTGGAACTGTCAGCAGCCCCAAGAAAGGCCACAGAGAGAACCCTCGGCGATGCTAAATCAAGGTGTCTGTGTGGGATGATAGCCAGGGTCCATTTCCAGGACCAACTTGGGAGCTTTGTTGTTTAGTCGTTAAGCCGTGGCTGACTCTTCGTGACCCCCATGGACCAGAGCACATGCCAGGCCCTCCTGTCTTCCACTGCCTCCCGGAGTTGGGTCA